CCTCTTAAAAACTCTAAACCCTCTAAACCTATAAACCCTATAAACCCTGTAAACCCTAGTTACAGTGAGGCCGACACCCAGGACTAGGGACTGCAGTAGGGAAGACATGATCCTTCTTGGAAGCCTGGCTTTAGGGGTTTAGGGGTTTAGGGGGTTAGGGCTAGGGTTTAGGGCTTAGGGTTTAGGGCTTGGGTTTAGGGTTTTGGGCTCATAGGAGTTGAGGCTTAGAGGGTTTACGGACTACCTTTACTGGTTCTGACGGGCGTCTCCGCTAAGTTCGGGTGCGTCTCTGAAGCCCTTCGGAGACGAGCTGCAAGGGCCCTCTGGCACTTGACATGCCGGGTTTAGAGTTTAGGGTTTAGGGTTTAGGATTTAGGGTTGAGGGTTTAGGGTTCAGGAATGAGTCCTAAGCCCCGAAAGCCCCCAAACTTACGGCCTTAAGGGCCTATAAGCCCATCCCCTAAACCTTTGGCCCCAGAAACCCTAAACCCTAACCCTCTAAGGTTAGTTTATTTGGTCCCTTACCTCCTTTATAGGGTTCTGATGTATGGGCCTTACTTAATTTGCATAGGACGCATTAGGGGTATGGAAGGGGTACCCTTGTAAGGGCCTATACCAAGGGACCATGTAAGCCCCAAACCCCAAACCCCAAACCCCAAACCCTAAACCCTAAACCCCAAACCCTAAACCCTAAGCCCTAGACCCTAAGCCCTAAACCCCAAACCCTCAACCCCTGGCTTTCTCTTGGCCCCTCTCCGCGCCTTCATGGCGTGAGGATCGCCCTCAGCGCCGAGGCGCATCACCGTCGGCAGCGCCATGTGGGCTTACTGAAAGCCCTGAAGCCCTAAGCACTAAGCACTAAGCCCTAAACCCCAAACCCCTTAGCCCGGTAACCCTAAACCCTAAACCCTCAACCCTCAACCCTAAACCCTAAACCCTAAACCCTAATCTGGGTTTAGGGATTCTCGTGTAGAAGGGCCCCTATGGGTTGAAGGTTTTAGGGCTCTAGGGTTTGGAATTTAAGGTCGGGTTACGATTTAGGATTCAGAGCTCAGGGTTTAGGTTTGAGGGTTTAGGGCTTAGAACTCACTGCCTTTCGGCCTCTCTTCAACCCCGCAGCCTGAAACCCGAAGTGTTAAATCCTTAAGCCCCCCAACCCCAAAGCCCCAAGCCTGAACCCCAAGCCCTGCTCCTTAACTAGGTTGGCCCCTAAAGCCCTCTGAAAAAAAATTCCTGAATATGATCCTCTTAAACCCAAATAAGGGAAAATATAACATGTCCCAAGGGCCTACCTAGTTAAGAACCCCACATTGAGCCCGATTCCTGGGAAGGGGGGGGGGGGGGGAGATTAACGTTCTTCTTCCGGGCAAATCGCCTCAGATATCCCTAATCCCTAAACCCTAAACCCTAAACCCTATACCCTAAACCCTAAACCCTAAACTCTAAACCCTAAACCCTGTCCCTAAATGGGGCCCTCTGGAGATCCCGAGTCAGGAAAAGCCGCACAACTTTTAGGGCTCAGGGTTTAGGGTTTAGGGGTTTAAGACATAGGGCCTAGGGTTCAGGATACAGGGCCTGGTTTAGGATATAGGGTTTAGGGCTTAGGATTTAGGGCTTATCATCGGGTCTAGGGTTCAGGGTTCAGGGGGGTTCAGGGTTCAGGGTTTAGGGTTTAGGGTTTAGGTTTTAGGGTTTAGGGCTTAGGGTTTCGTAAACCTCTTGCATGCCCTCCTGCCTAGGCGCCGCCGGATCGTGGCGGGTGGCCACCTCTCACCCGGCAGCAGCCACGTGCTAAGACCCTAAACCCTAAACCCTAAACCCTAAACCCTAAACCCTAAACCCTAAACCCTAAACCCTAACCCCTAAGCCCTGCACCCTAAACCTTAAACCTTAAACCTTAAACCATCTTAAACCCCAAGCCCTAAACCCTAAACACTAAACCTAAACCCCAGGCCCTGCTTTGGGCTCAAGGCGTTCAGATCCAAACAGCCCCTTTCACTTATTGGGGCGAGTTTGGGTCGGCGTGGGCTTAGGGTTCAGGGTTTGGGGTTTAGGGTTTCGGGTCTAGGGTTTAGAGGTACAAGTCCCCCAAAATCAACAACAGGAAGCTGACACTGCCAGGCAGCCAACCACAAGTATGAGTCCTAGTTCGCTAAGGACAGGAACACGCTGAGCTTCATGTAACTCCTATTCCGTTCAAGTTAAGAAAAACAACAATAAAAAATAGCTAAGGCAGCTGAAGCCCCAATTACACCCCGGCCTCCAAGCCAATGACCCTAAACCCTAAACCCTAAACCCGAAACCCTAAACCCTAAACCCTAAACCCTAAACCCTAAACCCTAAACCCTAAACCCTACAGTAGCTGAAGCTGATTTGAAGCTTTGCGGAGAGCTGTAAAGCAGACAGAATCCATCGCTCTAGGGGTAGTAGCTGCATACAAACTAAGGGCCCAGACGTCAGAACCCTATAATTAGGGTTTAGGGTTTAGGGTTTAGGGTTTAGGGTTTAGGGTTTAGGGTTTAGGGTTTAGGGTTTAGGGTTTAAGAACCCCAAAAAAGAATATTCTTCCTTATCAGGGTACTAGAGGGAACCTTATTTTTGTGATTTTTGGGGGTTCTTAAGCAAATAGTTTAGTAGAAATAAGGAGGCCAGGGACCATATTAAGGGCCCATGGAAACTACCCTTAGATCGCTTGGCCTGCTGGAGCCTGGGGATCTAAGGCTCCGGGTTTTTGGGGGGTTTAGGGTTTAGGGTTTAGGGTTTCGGGTTTCGGATTTCGGGTTTCGGGTTTCGGGTTTCAGGTTTCGGGTTTCGGGTTTCGGGTCCCTTGCCAGCCATTTTGCGGTTCCTTCCCTTCCGCATGCCATCCATGCTGTCCCATTCAGACGCCTTGGACTGAAGGATAGGCCACTTGCCTGAATTCGGGATCCGCATGCGATCGCTGCGTCGTGTTCCTGCACTCTGGTGGCGACAGGCGATTGAAACTGGCAAGAAGCATCTGAGCGAGTACGGTCTGGGCACTGCTTCGTGAAGCTAGGCAATTCTCAAAAATCACGTTAGCTGTGGTGCTCATTTAAACCTCGGAGTGCTGAGATCAAAAAAGCCCGAACCCAGCCCAAGCCCAGAAGCTGCGCGGTTTCGCTCACAGAGGTAGTATTGAAAACGCCTCTGCGGGCAATTGCTACGATGTTTCGTAGCCAGCTGGAAGATAAGATCGCTCTTGCAGCTGTAGAACGGCATCCTCCCTGCTTTGCACAAACATGACTTCTTAGTTGTCCAGTACCTAGGGGTTTTAAAGGTTAACCTTTGGGATTACAAGGGGGATGTATTACCCCAACAAGGTGAAAGGTTACCGACTCTGCTACTAATACTTAGACTAACCTGAACAATCCTAACGTCTCCGGTTCACCCCCTTCGGGACGTTCCGGAAATTGCAGGGCTTGGCATAATTTTCCAGACTTACTACGACTGCGCTGTTGATAAGAATAGCGAAGAGGGTCATGTGCCCTCGCATGCACATGCGAATTTAGACGTAGGGGCACATGGCTGTGGCGGGCAGCATGAGGAAGGATCGCGGTCGGACCTCATGCCTCAATGTGATGATATGCGTTCATAACCACGAGACCCAGCCATAGCTGAACTTGACTGCTGAGTATCCTTCGTGTCGAAAGTTGGTTAAGCTCTGCAGCAGAGGTCCCGCATGCATTTCTTACATCGAATCATTTTCCCCTAAAGATGGTGTGAGAAGCGGGAACCGTTATGGCTCCGCAATGCCACGGCAGAATATGGCCCCACGCCAAAACCATTCAGCATCCTCCTGATCTTGCGATTGGGCTGCGTATTTTTTTCGACGAGACGCAGCTCTAGCTATACACAAGATATACATATCAACATAGCTACATGCTACAATACAAGCGAAAACACAACGCAGCGGCGCTAGGGTTCCCGAGTGCAAGTTGCAGGCTCAGGGCCTGCGGCGAGTGAGGAGTGCTGTCGGGCGTGAAGCCCTTGTGCTGGTCACAGTGCCTTTTGGTGAAGTCCACTCTGCCTGGTGTGGTGGGCCTTGTTGACTTTCGAGACATGGGCGGTCCTCTAAGCTAAGTTCCCCTTTTGGGGGTCCTTATCTTGACGGCCCCAACTTAAGGGACCCGAATTCCGAGAAGTACTCACATGAAAGATATAGAGCGGACTTACACACATGGTGTCCCCAAACCATAAACTATGCAATGCATTGCCCGGGTCCCGACGAACTCCTCGCTTTTAGTTCAGGAAGGGTGTGAGATTTTACGGCTTCCGGGTTTGAGGGGCATCGAAGGCTTCAGGATTTTGGGCTTTCGGCGGAGGGTCGACTTCGCCAGTGGCCGAGCTTAAAACACGAGCATTAATCAGAGGACTCCTCTCTCACGAGGGCGCCGGCCTCATATTTCACTCTCCACATGGTTCCCTCCCCCGGAAGGATGTCCTTAAGGATGTCCTGCAGGAATCCCCCAAAAAAAGTGAACAGCCTCGAAAAGGAGATTGCAAGCATCATGGCTCTTCGCAGCTATTCTTCTTGAGCTGTTTAGGGAAACCAAGCGCTCACGCACCACAACCCGGGCCCAGCGAAGGCCCATGCTTCCTGAGTTTCTGGCCGCAAAAAAACACCGTGTCCCAGCTCCCCTAGCCTGCCCAGTAACCAAGGCTTAACAAGGGTGCCCTTGTTTGCTTAAAGGGGTTTATACGGCAACCTAAAGCCCCCAAAAAGGGAATAAGGGTACTACTGGGCATCCTAGTCCCCTAAGCCCCCAAACCAAGAAAGCCCAAACTGCGAAACGCTCCCTAGAACTCAAAGCCTGAAGCCCAAACCCTGAAGCCTTGAAGCCCTGAATTCCGGGCTTCCCCTGCTCTGCAAACCCTAAACCCTAAACCCTAAACCCTAAACCCTAAACCCTAAACCCTAAACCCTAAACCCTAAACCCTAAACCCTAAACCCACCGGACCCTCATCCTCAGCTGGCCTTTCTACAGCACGTGGTCGCTGGTGTGCTCGGAGCTTGAGCTGGAGTGGCCTCTCACGAGCACAACAGGCTTTGGGGTTTAGGGTTTAGGGTTTAGAGGGCCCAGGGCTAACAGCTCAGGTTGCCCTGTAGGGTTTGTGGGGTGTGGGGGAGGAGGTCACTCTGCCACCCTAAACCCTAAACCCTAAAACCCTAAAACCCTAAAACCCTAAAACCCTAAAACCCTAAAACCCTATAAATAGGGGCCTGAAGAATTAGAGTAGGGCTTTGGGATGGTGATTGTGGTAGAATTACACATGGACCATAAGGGAATATTATGAGGTTTAGGGTTTAGGGTTATGAGTAATTCTTCCGACCCCCTATAGTAGACCCAGGCCTGTGCCGCTGCTGTTGGAGGTCGTGCCGCTGGTCATGGCACTCAGGCGGCTGCCCTTCTTCTTCGCGCCCTTTGTCGCGCGGATCATCCTGGGTGGTACTTGGAGGTTCATGGGTACTTAGTAACCAATTAGAACTGTACGCATAACCCACTTATAAGCCCCTTAAGTGCCCTAAAACGTATAGCCCACTTAAAAGCCCCTTAAGTGCCCTAAAATGGTTATTAAGTACAGTTATAAGTACCAGGAACCTGCAAGTAAGGCAAGGCATGGCGCACGACAAGACCCAATGGCACGACAGGAAACCCAAGAAGAAGTGGTCAAATCATCTCGAAGTGGCAGCTCCAGCATACATACTGTATCATCTTATTGATACAAAAAACATGTTGTGATATCTTCATCCCTGTTCCCCTAGGAAGAATAAAAGGATCCTTTTTGCTCATGTATAAGAAAGCCCATAACCCAAAAAGTAAAAAGGATCCCTAACACTGATTTAGATATTATGATATTCTGATATTTTGATATCATGATACTATTACATCATGATATCATGATATTAGTGCATTAAACACCCCCAAACCTCCTCGGATTCCCAGCTAACCGCAGGTCCCTCTGAGGCATGCGGCAGTTTCTCCAAGCGCTCAAAGCGGTCCTGCGATGCCGAAACTACGGGCCTACTAAGCCATAAAACCCTAAACCCTAAACCCTAAACCCTAAACCCTAAACCCTAAACCCTAAACCCTAAACCCTAAACCCTAAACCCTGCTCCCGGTTTCTTGGGGGCACTTGAGGGCGAGGGACCTCCCAAAACCTCCGAAATCGGGGCCCCCGCAACTTCAACAACTGGCTGGTTCTTAGTAGGGCATGAGGGAATGAGGTACCCTACATAGTCCCTTAAAGGGTATATAGAGGGCCCCAATTCCCTCATTCCCTACTAAGAACCAGGGGGCCTAAACCCTAAACCCTAAAGGGCAGTGTGTCGGAACACAAGGACAACACCAAACACTTATCGGTCCGTGCAGCTGGCTCCGGTGCTGCTTAGGGTTTAGGGTTTAGGGTTTAGGGTTCAGGGTTCAGGGTTCAGGGTTCAGGGTTCAGGGTTCAGGGTTCAGGGTTCAGGGTTCAGGGTTCAGGGTTTAGGGTTTAGGGTTTAGGGTTTAGGGTTTAGGGTTTAGGGTTTAGGGTTGAGGGTTTGCAAGGTTTTGCAGGTTCCAGTATCCGTGGGAACTTTCTTCCACAGCGCGCACTGGGTGGCCTTGCAATCACCAAGGCCAGAAACCTAAACCCTAAACCCTAAACCCTAAGCCCTAAGCCCTAAACCCTAAACCCTAAACCCTCGCCCAGCTCAGCGTCTTTGCGCTTTCTCGTGGGGCACCTCATCCCTCTTCTTGTGAAAGATGCCTCGCTTTGGGCCGCCGTGACTTGGCTCGAGTTTGCCTCTGGAACCCCGGAGACCCTGAACCCTAAACCCTAAACCCTAAACCCTAAACCCCAGACCCTAAACCCTAAGCCTTAACTTAAGCCCTAAACCCAATGACGCTTGCGGGAGGCCCTGAGATCTGGGATACCCTGCCACAAGTCGCCCTTCGTTCCCTGGTTCAGGCTTCAGGGGCTGGTTCTTAGTAGGGAAATCAGGGAATGAGTGCCTTAAAAATCCCTTAAAAGGTAGATGATAGGGCAGTCATTCCCTCATTCCCTGCTAAGAACCAGGGGCTTAAGGGGCCTCAGGGGTTTAGGAAGCTTCCCTCTTGCTCTTCCCGAGTCGAAGGTCCTGGGGAGACGGGGCTGCCGCGGTGGAGAGCCAGAGAAAAGAGGCAACACGCTGGAATAGGGTTTAGGGTTTAGGGGTTTAGGGTTGAGGGTTTAGGGTTTAGGGTTTAGGGTTTAGGGTTTAGGGCTTAGGGCTTAGGGCTGAGGGCTTCGCCCCGGCAGTCCTCGTCACTGTAATGCTTCTCGTCCTCCGGCCAGGGCATGCTGGGAGATGTGGAGCCGCCAAATCGGCGAATGGAGTCCACCTCACGGGCTCCGTGCGGTCGACGGTTTAATTGGGGTTTAGGGTTTAGGGTTTAGGGTTTAGGGTTTCGGGTTTAGGGTTTAGGGTTTAATTAAGAGCCGCATGAACCGGAACCGTTCCAGAGTATGTACCGGAAACCGAATTTCGTTTCGGAAACGAACCTACACGAACCGTGGCCTTGCTGTAATTAGGGTTTAGGGTGGGGTGAGGGGCGTTGTGGCCTCAGGCTTCCGGATGCTTAGGGGGCGTGGGGGGGGGGGGGGGGCGGCGCTGAAGGGTTTAGGGTTTAGGGTTTAGAGTTTAGGGTTTAGGGTTTAGGGTTTAGGGTTTAGGGTTTAGGGTTTCAGCGCGCAGGGCTCAGGTGGGTTGAGGGATCACTCCGAATTACCCCGAAATACCCTCACATAGCCTAGCAGCCCCTTAAAAATGTGGTGATGTGGTGGGTTTCGGGATGACCACAGGCTGAAGAACGCGGCGAAAGCGCCCCAAAAAAAGCTGAGGCCAGCGCTGTAGTCGGATTCGCCTGGGTGGGGTGGGAGTTCAGGCCTGGTTCCTCGATCACAGAATCCTGACATGACCCCCAACCTCTGAACACCGGACTGTCACTACGCAAACTTCAGCCTAGTCTAGTATCTATACTGCAGGAACCCAGTAAACCCTTAATCCTAAGCCTCATCAACAGAATCCAACGTCGCGGGTGAACCATTGCCAGTGCAGTGTCACTGTCAACCCTCGTTGAACATACTTGTGCCCTGAGAGGCCTGTGGGTAGTCATAGCTGGAGATGCAAGTAGGGGGATCTCCAGTCAAACCCCTTAACTCCCTCAAGCCGAACTCATGTTGCCGAAGGGCCCACGAGGGCTCCATCACTTGAATGCCACCTGGGTTCAAGGTCCAGGGTTTCAGGTTTCAGGGTTCAAGGTTTAGGGCTGTGTTTGATTAGGGTTTAGGGTTCAGCCTTCAGGATTTAGGACTTAGGGTTTAGGGTTTAGGGTTTAGGCAACATGTCACGCCGAGAGAGATTCAAGTGATTCGCCCATCTGGGGGTCGAGGCTCTAGAGCTGCCAGATAGGTGTTTAAGATGGTTCCTAAACCCTAAACCCTAAACCCTAAACCCTAAACCCTAAACCCTAAACCCTAAACCCTAAACCCTAAACCCTAAACCCTAAACCCTAAACCCTAAACCCTAAACCTCTAAGGGTTTAAGGGCTTAAGTGCTTGAGGGCTTAAGGGCTTCAGGGATGCCATTCCAGCACTTGGAGGTTCAGGGTACTTATTACCCAATTAAAGCTGTAATTATAACTGTACTTCTAACTGTACTTATAACTGTATTTATAACTGTACTTATAACTGTAGTTATAACTGTACTTATAACTGTACTTATAACTGTACTTCTAACTAATTTAGGGCACTTAAGGGGCTTATAAGTGGGTTGTAAGTCCAGTTAGAATTGGTTACTAAGTACCATGAACCTCCAAGTAGGGGCTGCTTCAACCCCAATTACACCCTACATCTGCGACTTACGAAGGCAAAGCATTTAAAGGTGGGTGGCACCTCCCAAACCCTAAGTCCGAATCCTAAACCCTCAAACCCCGAACTCCAAACCCTAACTCCAAATCTTCCACTTCTAGACCCAAAGACATGAAACCTCCCAAAGCCCTAAACCCTTAAACCCTAAAACCCTAAACCCTTAAACCCTAAACCCTTAAACCCTCGACCCCCGAAACCCTAAACCCGAAACCCTAAACCCTAAACCCTGAACCCTAAACCCTAAACCCTAAACCCTAAACCCCAAATGTCCCCCCCAGCAACGGCCTGCAAGGCCCACGTCCCCCTCGTTGAACTCCAAGCGCTCGTCGAGGTTCAGGCTTTGGAGGAACTTGGACCATCCTTGGGGGCTTTTGGTAGGGTTTAGGGTTTAGGGTTTAGGGTTTGGGGTTTGGGGTTTGGGGTTTGGGGTTTGGGCTTTGGGGTTTAGGGTTTAGGGTTTAGGGCTTAGGGTTTAGGGTTTATGGGGTCGAGGGTTTAAGGGTTTAGGGTTTAGGGTTTGGGGTTTGGGGCTTAGGGTTTAGGGTTTAGGGTTTAGGGTGATTTGGGGCTTAACTTCTTGGGGTTTAGGGATTAGGGCTTGTGGTTTTGGGGCTTAAGGGCTTTTTGGGGTGTGGGATGGTTTGGGGTTTAGGGGTTGAGGATTTGGGATTTGGTTTCAGGGTTTAGGATTTATTGTTTGGAGTTTAGGGTTGAGGGGTTGAGGCGCTGAGGGATCGTGGGGGTCGTGGGGGTCGTGGGGGTCGTGGGGGTCGTGGGGGTCGTGGCTGTCGTAACTGTCGTAACTGTCGTGGGGTTGTGGGGTTGTGGGGTTGTGGGGTTTAGGGGGCTTAGGGGTTTAGGGGCCTTTGAGGTTGAGGGGTTTGGTGATTTGGGGGCATTGGGGGGTTTTGGACTTGAGGCTGGGAGGGCCAGGCTAGTGATGGGGGTTGAGGGTTTAGGGGTTCTCAAGGCTTCGGGGTTCAGGGTCTATCGTGGGTTCGGCTTTGGGATTCGTACGATAAAGCACTTGGAGGCTCATGGGTCGAACAATGCATAGAGCCTGCCCGGTTGTACTAAACTATGGGCAAAGATGCTCCTCAATATGTTGCCCCCTAAACCCTAAACCTGAACCCCAAACCCTAAGGAGATCTTCCCCCCTGGTGTCTAGCAGTCGAACCCATCTCGTGCACCGTGCTCCAGCCCCGCAGACTTAGGGCGCAGCTCTTCTGGGAGACCTGATCCACGGTGGCCCTGAGGTGGCACCGGGTTCAAAGAGTTTAGGGTTTAGGGTTTAGGGTTTAGGGTTTAGGGTTTAGGGTTTAGGGTTTCGGGCTTCGGGTTGAGGAGGGGGGGTTCAGGGTTTAGGGTTTTGGGCATCGGTCGTTGGGATGTGATACTTTTTTGAATGGTAGGGTCGCGCTTTGAGGGCCACAGCAAAGGAGCACCCTAGACTGAGCAACTGGGGTCCACAGCTTGCGCGCGCTTCCTCTTAAACACTTACCTAATGACCCCCTAGAAGCCCTGAATCCCACATTTTTGCTCCTAGCAGAGTGCTTAGCCTTCAGGGCGTGGCAATTCTCTTGAGCAAGCCTGCCTCTTGCATGCAAACGAAGGCTCACAACCTGTAGGCCCCACAACGCCCAGGGTTCCTAAACCCTAAACCCTTAACCCTTAACCCTAAACCCTATACCCACCCTAAATCCTAAACCCTAAACCCTAAACCCCTAAACCCCTAAACCTCTAAACCCTAACCCCTAAACCCCTAAACCCCTAAACCTCTAAACCCTAAACCCTAAAGTAGCCCTGGGCGTCTGCTAAGCCCGGCAGAGCCCTGAAATGTACCCAAGGGCCGGGCACGATCACAGAAGCCCGGTTCAGGCCTCACGTCGCTTCGTCCGAAAAAGGCTTCTCAGGGTTTTAGGGTTTTGGGTTTGGGGTTTGGGGTTTAGGGTCTAGGGTTTAGGGTTTAGCGGTTGAGGGCTTAGGGTGGAGGATGTGGTGGTTTCCGAAGTTACTTTTTGGGGTCCTTGGTATAAGGGGATCCTACTATTGGTGGGTCCCCTTTTTCGTGCACCCCTATGTAGGGCGTAAGGTTGAGGTGAGAGGGATGCTGTGGTGTTTCGGGGCGTAAACAACCAGCCTGCAAACCCGAGAAGACCCAAGAACTGCGAATCCTCGTAGCCAAGCCCCTTAAGCCCTAGCATCGTGACAACTCAATGTGAAGGCCCAAAACAAAAACCTGAACCTTAAATGCTGTACAACCTCAATGCTGTGGATCCGATGCCTTCTAAAGCCTGAACCCCAAGCCAAAGAGCCTCATAAATCCCCAGCTCTGAGGGCTAACAGCTCGGCAAACCCCAATGAAACCCCGACAAGCCCAAAAAACTCCGGACGGCCCCCTAGAAAAGCCTGTGAAGCCATAAGACCGCCTACCTGAGCCCGATAACCCGGTAAACATTGCAGCCGAAACCCTAAACTCGAAACCCTAAACCTTAACCCACAGGGAAAGCTAGTGCCGTCGAGGGACGCGCGTAGCCCTGCATGTCTGGGAAAATGATCTGGTAGGCCTGGTTCAGCTGCGCGACCAGGAGGTTCCTTGGACTGTGTTTGTTTTGGTGGGGCTGAGGTAGGCGCTTTGTTTGGCTTGCGTTTTTGTTATCTTGGGGGGTCAGGGGGGAAGGTAGGGGGTTAGGTAAGGTCGGTAAACTTTAACTCCAAACCCTCCACCCTGACTCTGAGATAAGATTTGGATTAGTTGAAAGCTCATCGCCAAACCGAAAGTTGTCAACATGCAACTTGCAACGTCATGTTGCAGCTTGACTGGTTTTATGGGGTGAGGCTTTGAGGGGCGGCGCGTGCCGCTGAAGTGCTATGCCCAGAAAACTCTGACCCCCCGAAGCCCTTGATGTACCGGCGAAGGGCAGCAAGAAGATCGCTACTAGGATGGTGAAGACGGACACCGTGATCAGGACGCCTACGGAATCCTCACGGGCGCACGGGCACGTTCCCCTCCGAAGACAACAAGGATACAACTTAGGGGCTAGGGTTTGGGTTTAAGGCTATTGCTGCTTGGAGTAGCAGATATGCTTCCATGTCATGCCTTTCTGTAACCCTCGTTTGGGGCTTAAAGTTGAGGGCATCATCATCTCATCTCCGACAACTTCGGAAACCCCTCATGAGATTGTTCAGCGAGGGGGGGGGGGGGGCGCTTGATCAAACCTGTGTGCAGTGTACTAGAGCGGAAACCTTTTCCCTCTTCCAGCAGTTTTCCAGAGGCAAGTTGCAGAGAAAGAGCCTCAACCCTCAACCAGGGCCGAGGAAACCCCAAACCTTTCCTGATGGAACAGAGCGTGAGGCCGCAACACCCTTGCAAGCATGTGAAAGTGGGAGGTGCTCGTTGAAATAGGAGTTCAGGAGTTTGGGAGAGCTTAGGGGTACAGCAAGGGCCTGGCGCCTGTGGAGTCTCGGGTTGGGCGCAGTAGCATTGGCCCCAACCCCACACTCTCCCCCCCTGTACCCCGCTACACCCCCCTACACACGCCCCTACACCCCACCCCACTACACCCCACTACACCCCCAGAACAGCTTCATGAGCATGAGCGTCTTAGGGCAGAGGCCCCTAAACCCAGCGCCACTCCCGCTCGGCCTTGAGCTCACCGAGGTTGTCTGTAGGATAGAGACCCAGTGTCATGGCGAAGAGTGAGAAGGCCGCATTGCCGATGCCTGAAGAAGGGGGCTCGGGGGCTTAGGGTTTTGGATTTAGGGTTTAGGGCTTCGGGAGGTGCCTCCCGAAACCCGGAAGCTTTAAAGCACAAAACACTAGAGCAGAGATACCCTAAACCCTCTTAAACCCTAAACCCTAAGCCCTAAACCCTAAACGCCCTAAACCCTAAACCCTAAACCCTAAACCCCAAGAGCTTTGCAGGATTCTCTAGGCGACCACAGCCTGGACCTGGGGTGCTGCCCAAATAGGGGGGGTACCCCCTTTACATGGACACCCCAAAACACCCCATAAAGCCCAAACACCCTAAACCCTAAACCCGAAACCCTAGACCCTAAACCCTAAACCCTAAACCCATAAATCCTACAAGCCCTGAAAAGCCTCTTCTTAACCCTACAGACCCTACAAGCCGTGTAAAGCCGTTCAAAAACCCTACAGGCCGCTACGGCACAGTCGGAAACCCCCTCCCCGTCACCCTAAACCCTAAACCCTAAACCCTAAACCCAAAACCCATTAAGACCTCATGAGACTGACGCTTCTTGGCGGCCTTCGAAGCTCGGGCTCTGCCGGTCGAGGGCGCCTTGGTGGGGTTTGGGGTTTAGGGTTTAGGGTTTAGGGTTTAGGGTTCAGGGTTTAGGGTTTAGGGTTTAGGGTTTAGGGTTTAGGGTTTAGGGTTTAGGGTTTAGGGTTTAGGGCCCACTCAGGCTCAGAAAAAACCTGCGCCACTCTCAACTCTGGGGTCTCACAGGGGGGCTTCAATTGAAGCTCCCCCCCCCCCCCCAAGGGGTTTAGGGTTTAGGGTTTAGGGTTTAGGGTTTAGGGTTTAGGGTTTAGGGTTTAGGGTTTATGGTAGCTGCAGGGTTTGGAAGTTCCCCACACAAAGTTCTCACCACGAGCCGAGACTTCCCAACAAGTCCCTAAACCCTTAACCCTAAACCCTAAACCCTAAACCCTAAACCCTAAACCGACGGGGGAACCGAGGCGCTAATGCCCAGGGAGAAGGACACGATCAGGAAGACAGCAGCCATCCTCAGTCAGGTCTGGCTCCGGTGTTCGCTTTTCTCTTTGGTTTTTTATTTAGGGTTTAGGGTTTAGGGTTTAGGGTTTAGGGTTTAGGGTTTAGGGTTTAGGGTCTAGGGTCTAGGGTCTAGGGTCTAGGGTCTAGGGTCTAGGGTCTAGGGTCTAGGGTCTAGGGTCTAGGGTCTAGGCTCTAGGGTCTAGGGTTAGGTTTTCGGGTTTAAGGCTTGGGGATTGGGATCTGGGGCCTGGGGGTTTAGAGGTTTGGGAGGCTTACGGGGTCCCCTGAACTCCAACATGCTCCGGGGTTTAAGGGCTCTAGCACTGTTGGATGGCTGCGGTTCGGGTGCTCGCCATAGAAGCCTTGAACCTCTAGGGCGCACCAAAAGGCCCCGCAGTTCCTCTTGCCCAAGAGCACCCGAAAAATGGGCGGGCGGGGTTCTACATTTGGCTTTGCTTTTGGCTATACAGTACGAGACCTAGTGTTCAGGGCCATACCTACCTACATCTTTAACCCTAAACCCTAAACCCTAAACCCCTAAACCCCTAAACCCCTAAACCCCTAAACCCCTAAACCCCTAAACCCCTAAACCCCTAAACCCCTAAACCCCTAAACCCTAAACCCTAAACCCTAAACCCTAAGCCGGGGTGCAAGAAGAGACCCACCTCCGCGACGACCCGCCCGCAAACCAGGACGAAGGCGGAGATCCGCATGGAGACGATGCTGAGGTCCAGGATCAGTAGGCAGTACAAGAGCATGGCTGCGCCTTAGGGTTTAGGGTTTAGGGTTTAGGGTTTAGGGTTTGGGTTTAGGGTTTAGGGTTTAGGGTCTAGGGTCTAGGGTCTAGGGTCTAGGGTCTAGGGTCTAGGTTTTAGGGTTTAGGGTTTAGGGTTTAGGGTTTAGGGTTTAGGGTTTAGGGTTTAGGGTTCGGCGTTTTGAAAGGCTTGGGCTTCGATCCGGGAATGTGGGGTGGGTTTGCGGGCTGCCGGGTGAAAGTTTTGTGGCTCAGCGTGTGCACGCCAAGATGCAAGAGAACGCCGCGTATGCCTCCTGGCAAAGCATGTTCACGCCCGTAGTAGGTGGGCTATCTCGACACATTTCAGGGAATGCATTCGATACCAAGCGCCCTAAACCCTAAACCCTAAACCCCGAACCCTAAACTTGTTCCCAGGAGCCTTGTGCTGCTCGCCGGCATCACAGGAAGTGGTAAAGAGGCCTGCCCTCAGGAAGAAAAAACGCTCGGCTTTGACGTGCGATGAGTGATCCGCTGCATCCCCCTTCTTCAACGATCTCTACTTGGAGGTTCATGGGTACTTGTAACACCAATTCCAACTGTGCTTTAGAAGGTCCCTTAAGTAGGTTACCAGCAGAACTTACAATTGGGGTTCTAAGTCCCCGTGAACCTCCCTAAACCCTAAACCCTAAACCCTAAACCCCAAACCCAGGTCCGAGGCCCATGCCCGGGGAAGTCGCCGTACATGTCAGGGATGCACCACCAGATGGGCTCTTGGGCGCACATGAAGATCCTTGGATCGGTCCGCCGCGGGCAGGCCAGGGGGGTCTGTGGTTCAGGGGATTTATTTATTTATGTTTGCATTGTCATTTAATTATTTACACTCATGTTTTTTACATTGCTATGTATTTGTATTTATATTTATTTGTATTTAATTCTTTGAATTTCTTTATCCATTTATATAAGTTGGGGATATTGGGTACCTTAGTTGGGGTCATACTGGGTCCACGCATCAAAAGCGCGCCTTCCTTATGTCGATTCCTACGGGTTTAGGGTTTAGGGTTTAGGGTTTAGGGTTTAGGGTTTAGGGTTTAGGGTTTACGGTTTAGGGTTTAGGGTTTAGGGTTTAGGGTTTAGGGTTTAGGGTTTAGGGTTTAGGAACCTCTGTCGGTGAGTGCTGCTCCCGAACTCGCAGCTTCACGGGCTTGGCTGACGTCACACAACGAGTGTCTACCTGGGGTTACTACGGATATGGCGCTTATTTATGCCCTAAACCCTAAACCCTAAACCCTAAACCCTAAACCCTAAACCCTAAACCCGCAGATTACAGCACCCCCTTGACCCTCAGGTGCCAGGGCACAGCATGAAGAGCAGCAGCAGGTTGCCTAGCTCTTGGCCACCTTGGATTAGGGTTTAGGGCTTAGGGTTTAGGGTTCAGGGTTTAGGGTTCAGGCCCCCTGCTTCTTAGTAGGGAATGTGGGAACGAGGTGCCCTATGTATACCCTTTTATATATTATGCCCTTTAAGGGATTGTATAAGGTGCCTCATTCCCTCATTCCCTACTAAGAGCCAGCCATGTATGGCCCTATGTATACCCTTTATATACTTGCCCTTTTAAGGGATTGCACAAGGTACCTCATTCCCTCATTCCCTACTAAGAGCCAGCCATGTAGGGCTTAGGGAAGGAAACACCTTTGAGGAGTTTTACTGCTTAACTTGAACCTGTCCTCGTGGCCCCTGGACCCTAAATCAAATCCTGGGACTCGCTCAGCCAAGTTGCTGCACAAGAACTCGGGAATGGGAACCTTGTTGAAGAGCCTGCATGCACTGGCGCAGACGCACTTGCGTGTGCCCTGGCTGAGGAACCCTCCTCTAAGCCGCCCTGAACTCCTTTAGATGAGAAGGCAGTAGTATCCATGTGGATTTCTACCTGTATTTCTTACCTTACTTGGTACGCCAGCAACCATATTATAACAAGGGCACCCTTTTTGGTTGGTTAATTAATAAGGGAACCTTGAACCAAAAAAAGGTAAAAGGGTACCACTGGGCTACCAAGCTTAGAACTTAAAAATGCAGTACCCTAAACCTCAAACCCTAAACCCTAAACCCTAAACCCTAAACCCTAAACCCTAAACCCTCTATATTTCTTACTTTAGCACTTAATAAAAAAGTGCATTACAGAGCGCAAACCCCTGGCTCAATTCGCAAAAAGGAACCCCGGACCCCCTCCGCCTCTCCATGGCTCCGTGGCGCCAGTCATGTACAAAAAGCCGAATCTCACCTGCAGGTTTGGGCTTTAAGGTTTAGGGTTTAGGGTTTAGGGTTTAGGGTTTAGGGTTTAGGGTTTAGGGTTTAGGGTTTAGGGTTTAGGGTTTAGGGTTTAGGGCCCGCACCCAAAGCCCGCCGCCCGCAAAAATCTCGAAACTTCAAGGAGGACTAGAGCTCGGATTGTTACGTTGTTTACGGTGCTCTTTGTTCCAGGGTTCAGGGCTTTGAAGGGTTTAGGGCAATAAGAAGATGTAAGAAATGGGTGCTGGGAGTAGGAAAGCTGCACATGTACCCCGCGAACGAAACTATGTATACGACGCGAAGCCCTGCATGAACGGCGATATGCCTTCAAGTAGCTTCTTTCCGCCAATTACATTTCTCTGCACTGGCCAAAGCCCTAAACCCGAAACCCTGAACCCTAAACTAAAAGTCTGCTACACGGCTGAGGCCCGCGCGGATAAACATGTGCAACCTCGTCAAGGCCGGAGGCTAGAGGTTGAACGAAAAAAACACGCTACAAAACGCGGCGCAACATCATTCATGAGTAGGGTTTAGGGTTTAGGGTTTAGGGTTTAGGGTTTAGGGTTTAGGGCTTAGGGCTTAGGGCTTAGGGCTTAGGGCTTAGGGCTTAGGGCTTAGGGCTTAGGGCTTAGGGCTTAGGGCTTAGGGCTTAGGGCTTAGGGCTTAGGGTTTAGGGTTTAGGGTTTAGGGTTTAGGGTTTAGGGGTCATCTCAACACACGTCTGGAGTGTTCAATGCGATGAAGGACGCAAGGAAGGCTGGCGCTGCCGGGCGGCATGCTTCCCACGTAGATGAATGCGCGGCACACGAAAATTGCAATGTTTTCCTGCAGTCTTGAGCTCAGCGAAGCATCTCCAAACCCTCTCACTCAAAGACCTTTTCTCAGCTACGACCCCAGAAGCACGAGGTCTTCACTGTAATCCACCGAAGCAAGTTCGGAGGAATTTGCCCTCTTTTTGCCTCACGGCCCCCAAAAAGCGGGCTTAGGGTTTCACGTTTCTGGCAGCTGCTCGGGTCCTCTTCGCTGTGAGTTCTTGCGTCGGAGCTTCCCAGTATGGCCTGGCCTTGGGCAAGAGGTGGGCAGCAATATAGGGGCCTGAATAAGTAGAATACTTCGGGGGCATATTATAGTATAACGACAAAGGGGCCATACGGGAATATTGTTAGTAACTCGCCCGACCCCTATAGGACCAGTTGGTTATAAGTACAGATACAAGTAAGTACAGTTATAATTACCCTAAACCCTAAACCCTAATAAGTACCATGAACCTCCGAGGATCAGTCTCCGGATTCCTTGAGGTTTGGCGTTTAGAGGGCTGAGGGCCTACAGGCCTCCGCCAAGGGGCTGGTGGCAAAGACACAGAGTGTCAGCAAGAAGTAGAGTCTCCTGGCATATGAAGTAGGGTCTAGGGTTTAGGGATTAGGGATTAGGGATTAGGGATTAGGGTTTAGGGATTAGGGTTTAGGGTTTAGGGTTTATAAACCCTGCTTCATATGAAGCCAAGGCAGGCGCAGACATGCTTTGCGCGCGATCCGAAACCGGCTGCAGAGTCTGGGCTCTGGGCGCCCTAAACCCTAAACCCTAAACCCTAAACCCTAGACCCTAAATTGCCAAGTCTCGTGAGAAGGAAGTAGTACATGGCCAGGCGGTTCCAGACAATGTCTGCAAAAAGCGCCTCGGATGAGAGAGGCTGTGCCGCAAAAGTGGGGGGGCACATGGTCAGTTTCTCAAGATGAAGTGACCCCAATGCAGAGAATACGGGACCTTCTTGGGGTCCTTACTACAAGAGGATCCTAATATTTGGGGGTCTATCTTAGGGTTCCCGTATGTTCGTAAACCCCCAAATGCCACGGCCTAAGCCTTAAAAAAGGATAAGCAGCCCTAAACCCTAAACCCTAAACCCTAAAACCCATGTATAGGCACCTGCTTCTTTTGCCTCAGAGTCATGGATGGCGAACTGTACAGCTCGAGCTCTTGCTACCCGACCGAAGGCAGGAAGCAGCGAGGGCGCACATGCTACACAATGCGCGATCCCGCTGCTTAGGGTTTAGGGTTTAGGGTTTAGGGTTTAGGGTTTAGGGTTTAGGGTTCAGGGTTCAGGGTTCAGGGTTCAGGGTTCAGGGTTCAGGGTTCAGGGTTCAGGGTTTAGGGCTTCATTCTTGGTAAGCCCCCCAACTCTCACGGATGTGCTGTGATGACCTCCGCCCTTGCCATGGCATCCTCTGTGTCGGCCGTCGAGACATCATCAAGGTGCTCTGCCTTTGTTCCTTTGACACGAAGACACGGCTCCCCTGCTTGCGGGTCCTTTTGCAACTGCCGGGTCAGCCAGTCCAGGCCCTCATTCAGACCCCTGCCTTCCTTGGTAGCCCAGTAACCATATTATAAGAAAGGGCGCCCTTTTTTGGGGTTGTTTTATACGGGAACGCAGAACCAAAAAAAACCTGATAGGATCCACGAACCCGAATGCAGAAAGCAATCACCTATACCGTAAATATAACGTAATATAAACGAAACGTCGGTGGTGGGCGGACGGACCACCACCCCACGACCACCACCACAGGACCACCACCATGGGACCAGCACCATGAGACCACCACCACGGGACCACCACCACGGGACCACACCACAGACACGGGACCACCACCACGGACACGGGACCACCACCACCACGGGACCACCACCACGGACCACCACCACGGGACCACACCATGGGACCACCACCACGCGACCGGGACCACCACCACCACGGGACCACCACCATGGCACAACGCCACGGGACGACCACCACGGGACCACCACCACGGACGACCACCACGTGACCACCACCACGGACCACCACCTGGAACCACCACCTCGGACCACCACCACGGACCACCACCACGGACCACCACCACGGGAGCACCACCACGGGACCACCACCACGGGACCACCGCCATGGGACCACCACCACGGGACCACACCACGGAACCACCACCACGGGACCACCACCACGGGACCACCGCCACAGGACCACACCACGGGACCACCACCACAGGACCACCACCACGGGACCACCACCACGGGACCACACCATGGGACCACCACCATGGGACCACCACCACGGACCACCACCCCGGACCACCACCACGGGACCACCACCACGGACCACCACCATGGACACCACCAAGGGACCACCACCACGGCCACCACCATGGGACCACCGCCACGGGACCAGGACCACAACCCCTGCACCACCACCCCGGCACCACCACCACGGGACCACCACCACGGGACCACCACCACGGGACCGCCAACACAGGACCACCACGGGGCCACGCAGAACGCCGTGGGGGCGCGCATCCTGTGGAGTTCCCCTCAGCCAGATTCGGAACACCGCGGAACGCCACGTGGAACGGTGCCGGGAATCGTGCCCTGTGGAGTTCCCCCTTAGCTTGATTGATGGATTAAGAACGCCGCGGAACGCCACGTGGAACGCCACCCCGGCGCGCGTCCTGTGGAGTTCCCCCTTAGCTTGACGCATTCGGAACGCCGCGGAACGCCACGTGGAAGCATGCCATGTGGAGTTCGGAACACCGCGGAACGCCACGTGGAACGCCACGGCGGCGCGCGTCCTATAAAGTTCCCCCTTAGCTTGACGCATTCGGAACGCCGCGGAACGCCACGTGGAACGCCCCCGGGACGCCTGCCCTGTGGAGTTCCCCCTTAGCTTGACGCCACGTCGAACGCCACGGCGGCGCGCGTCCTGTGGAGTTCCCCCTTAGCTTGACGGATTCGTAACGCCGCGGAGCGCCACGTCGAACACCCCAGCAGCGCGCGTCCTGTGGAGTTTCCCTTAATTTAGCTTAACGGATTCGGAACACCGCGGAACGCCTTAGCTTGACGCATTCGGAACGCCGCAGAACGCCACAGCGGCGCGCGTCCTGTGGAGTTCCCCCTTAGCTTGACGGATTCGGAACGCCGCGGAACGCCGCGTCGGCGCGCGTCCTGTGGACTTCCCCCTTAGCTTGACGGATTCGGAACGCCATGGAACGCCGCGTCGGCGCGCGTCCTGTGAAGTCCCCCCTTAACAGCACGCGTTACGCCACTCGCGAACGCTTGCGGACGCTTGCGAACGCTTGCGAACGCTTGCGGACGCTTGCGAACGCTTTGCGGACACAGCGCAACGACGTTTGGTAACCGCCCAACCCAACTTTTAAAACGGGAACCCTTCTGCGGAGCATTCGGGAAAAAAGGAAAAAGGTACCGCTGGGCTACCTGGCTTCAGTGGCCACACTCTCCTGGATGTGCCAGCGTCGGTTTCGGATGCTTTGCAGCTGAAGCTTGTCAACAAGCTCTGGCACGCTCAAGGCATCTGGGAGGTCTTGCTTGTTTGCAAAGACAAGGAGAGGCTTCTCCAACAGACCGTCCTCACGGAGCATGTTGTCCAGCTCCATCTGGGCCTCCTCGATCCGACATCGGTCACTGGAATCGACGATGAAGATGAGGGCATCTACGTTCCTGAGTTGCTGATTTCAGAAGCCCCCAAAAAAGTGCACACTCTCAGTTCTATAGGGAGATTCTGGTATCCCAAAAAGTGGGTTTAGGGTTTAGGGTTTAGGGTTTAGGGTTTAGGGTTTAGGGTTTAGGGTCACTCAGCTACTGAGATTCTGATAGCCCTGCATGTAGGCTCGCCAGAGCGGCCTCATCTTGCAACGGCCACCAACGTGCCACGACACCATCGACGTGAGGCTCACCTTTCCTTGTTTTGGGCTTAGGGTTTAGGGTTTAGGGTTTAGGGTTTAGGGTTTAGGGTTTGGGGTTTGGGGTTTGGGGTTTGGGGTTTGGGGTTTGGGGTTTGGGGTTTGGGGTTTAGGGTTTAGGGTTTAGGGTTCTTTTTTGGTTTGGTTACTTCAGAAGGGATCCCAGAACCAAAAAAAAACGGGTACAGGGTACCACTGGGCTACCAAGTTTCCCTGAATCTCGAGGGTCTTGACGCAAAAGCCAATGGTGGGGATGTCCATGCGGACCTCGCCAGCCTTCAGCATCTGCATCATGGTCTCCTTTCCTGCACTATCCAGGCCCAGGACAAGTATGCCCTGCTTGCGACGGCCATCCCTGAAAAACGAGGAGGCAACCCCCATGTCGCGCGCAAGTGGCCGATGCTACTAAGGCTTTTAGCCGCGTGTCCCGGCCTTGAGTTGAAACGGCACCCTGCGGTCCGCCGGATAAGGCCGGGACAACTGTTCGATTCAATATCATTGCTGCGCTCTCTGACTATGTGGAAACCCTAAACCCTAAACCCGAAACCCTAAGGCTCTGATGCGTGCAAGCCGCTACCACTGAGTGGCTGATGATCTGTGGGTCTTTGAAATCTGCCAGCCACTCCAGCGCCTGGCCACCGCCAGAAGCAAGGAGGTTTAGGGTTTAGGGTTTAGGGTTGAGGGTTGAGGGTTTAGGGTTTAGGGTTTAGGGTTTAGGGTTTAGGGTTCTCATAAGCATGCACACAGATAAGGTGATGGGCCCCACTGGCGCAAAGGATCTTGATTCCGGCACAGGCCTGATTGAACCGGCCCTCCTCAGTCTGCACCAGGTGCCTCGAATTCTGAGTCGCTCTCGTGGGCTAAACCCTAAACCCTAAACCCTAAACCCTAAACCCTAAACCCCAAACCCTAAACCCTAAACCCTAAACCGACTGCACAGAGCCCGGGCTGTTCAGCCCATGGCATGTCGCCTTAGGAGCTTCTTATACAACATGTCAGGCAAGATGCTTCAGGTAATAGTTCACGCGCCGCTTGCCTGCGACCAGAACCGTAAGAACTGCTGCTTCTGAGGCCCTCTGATGCTTTAAGGGAAGTGGGTGGGGGAGTTGGGGGGGGGGATTGGGGGGGGAGGGGGGAAGGCGGGCCGTGAAGGCCATGGTGCCGTTGATTTAGTTGGGACAAACCCTAAACCGTAAACCCTAAACCCTAGATACCTAGATACCCTGGGCGCAGCTTCTCCTTCCATGGAGGGATTCTACTACACCAAAAAAGGCCTTAAAAAAAAAAATCACCTACTCCACCACATAAGACTGCTCTACAACTCAGAGGCCTTGGAATGTAAGGTTCTTAAGGTTACCTACTCCACCACTCAGAGGCCTTGGAATCCAAGGCTAGAAGTTACCTACTCTACATCTCAGAGGCCTTGGAATGTAAGATTCAAGGTGACCTACTCCACCACGAAGAAGTCTTGGATTATATTACCCCAAAAAAAGCTAAAGGCCACCTACTCCACCACGAAGAGGCCTTGGAAGGTGATACGCGAGCGCCAGACAAGCCCGTCAAGAAGCGGCTTCAGCAGCGTGGGAGCCTCGGCACCTGGGGGTACATCGCCCGGGTCGGAGGCCAGCTAATGCGAAGACCCCTAAACCCTAAACCCTAAACCCTAAACCCTAAACCCTAAACCCTGAACCCTGAACCCTGAACCCTGAACCCTGAACCCTAAACCTAAACCCTAAACCCTGAACCCTAAACCCTAAACCCTAAACCCTCAACCCTAAACCCCTAAACCTAAACCCTAAACAGCCTCGTTCAGCTGCTTCTGAACATGGAGTTGCCTATTGGGTGCCCGATGTATATATATATATACATATACATATACGTATACACCTATACATATACACATCTATGCATATATACATACTTACTTACTTACTTACCTACATTCATACACCTATACATATACACATCTATATGTATATATATATATATACATACATACATTTGCACTTCAAGATGCCTCCATAACTCCCGAAGACCCTGCGAGCCCCTACGAAGACCTGTCGAAGGAGCCCCGCCGATCTGGTGCCCCTGCCATACCCTAAACCCTAAACCCTAAACCCCAAACCCGAAATCCTAAACCCTAAACCCTAAACCCTAAACCCTAAACCCTAAACCCATCCAAATTTGGGTCCAGGCTTTAAGGCTTGAGCTTTGGACTGCCCCTGCTCAGCCCTGCGCAGAGCTTCTGAATGATGTTTGGGTGGCGGCTGAAGAGATCATCGCAGCCTCACTTTCGAAGTGCCCATCTGGAGTTTCCCTTCCAGGGTTTAGGGTTTAGGGTTTAGGGTTTAGGGTTTAGGGTTTAGGGTTTAGGGTTTAGGGCTTAGGGCTTAGGGCTTAGGGCTTAGGGTTTAGGGTCATCACGGGATTCCCCATAAAAAGGGTCCCCAGCAAATGGGGAGCTACCCAAAGGTCAGCCACCCGAATGATTGAATCAACAATGTCAATGCGCCGGCGATATGGAGACTTCTGAAACAATTATCCTGCTGCACTGCCGGGACAGATGGCTGTTCCCCAAAATAGGGTGGTACCCCTTTTAGCACCCCAAATTTGAAGAGAATCCCCTTAAATGGACCCCCAAACAGGGTACCCCTATTTTCGGAAACCCTAAACCCTAGACCCTAAACCCTAAACCCTAAACCCCCAAACCCCCAAACAGGGTACCCCTATTTTCGGAAACCCCCAGGTGGGTCTCTGGGCTGGCGCCAGGCGGCCGTAGTAGTAGTTGTCACGATCTGCGCGGATCGTCAGCAAGTCCTGGATCATGGCCTGGCCGGTTTAGGGTTTAGGGTTTAGGGTTTAGGGTTCAGGGTTTAGGGTTTAGGGTTTAGGGTTTAGGGTTCTTAAGGGAGGGGGCTTCCAGGGGGGTAGGTACCTAGGGAACAGGGCTTCAGGGTTTCAGGGTTTTGGGGTTTTAGGGTTTTAGGGTTTAGGGTTCTTTAGGGCTCTTTGCGATTCACGGCGATTCCTTCTATAGAGCAGCTCATGACATATCATGTTGCTCAGGGACCCACGACCCCAAAAACATCCGCAAGAAAGAAGCCTTGCACTGGAACCGCAAAAAAGTTCTCAAAAACCAGCTTTACCCCACTCAGCCTTATGGAAACCTCGCAATGCGAGATTCACTTCCGAAGTGGGTCCCCTACAAAAGGGGCCAAACCCCCCCAAAACCCAAAACCGAAAGTCCTAACCCCCCCCCCCCCCCCCAAACAAAAGAAAAGAAACCTGAAACCCCGAGTTCGGGGTTAGGGTTTAGGGTTTAGGGTTTAGGGTTTAGGGTTTAGGGTTTAGGGTTTAGGGCCAGCCTCGCCTTGGCACAGTTCAGACTCCCGCTCTCGATGGCCCACATAAGTGGAGAGATCGACTGGGTGCCCACCTCTCGGAGGTTGTTGATTTGAGGCCTTGAGTAGGACTTGAGGTTGCCCCCTAAACCCTAAACCCTAAACCCTAAACCCTAAACCCTAAACCCTATACCCGTGGGCTGCAAAACCCTACATGGAGGCGCACGGGTAGTATTACTTGGGGGGATGGGGGGTGTACCCCTCTGGCCCCGAACCCTCCCAATTCAAAACTGCTATCAGGAAACCCTAAAACCTCCCCCCCCACCCCAACCCGACACCGCAAACCCCAAAAAACAAGACCATGCGTGTGCATATATATATATATATATATATATATGTATGCAGATATGTCTATATATATATATATATACATATACATATACATATACCTATACCTATACCTATACCTATACATATACATATACATATACATATACATATACATATACATATACATATACATATACCTATGCATATACATATGCATATACATGTATATGTATATGTATATGTGTTTATATATATATATGTATATCTATATATATATATATATATCTATATATCTATTTATTCATTTATTTATACATATATATATATAGCTGAAGCTAGTCATGTTTTCAGATATGCATGTATATAATGTAGATGTATATGTATATGTAGATGTCTACGTAATTGTGTGTATGCAATCGAATATACCTCTTGTCATTTATTTTCTCTTTTTTATACTTATCTACGAAGAGGATGTGTTTGTATGCTTCCTTTATAAGCTTGTTATGTACATATGAACCACCACTACCACCACCACCCACAGCCACCACAACAGCCACCACAACCCACAGCCCCACCCCCCCCCCCCCAGAGTCGCGCCCGGATCTCCAGCAGCTCGGTGGCGCGCCGGCCGCGGGGCGCCACGGCGATGGCCTTTCGAAGCGCCTGCTTTGGAGCTCTGAGGGCGTTTTGTTGGGAGGAGGGGCGGAGGGTTGGGGGTTTCGGGTTTAAGGCTTAGGGTTTTTGAAGGGTATAGGTTGGGCTGCGGGGGCTTGAAGGAATTGAGGGTTTCGGGGTTGAAGGTTAAAATTTCGAGGTTGAGGACTGGGGGCTTTTGGGAGAGAGGAGGGCTGAGAGGTCTTAGCTATGACGATACTGCCCATGGAACCCCTGGGATGGCTTCATATAATGTTCACAGGGTTTCGGGCTAGGGGAGCGGCGGTACCAAGTATGGAAGTTTAGGTGGGGAAAAGGTAAAGGGAGGCTTTTGGCTTGGGACTTTAGGGTTTAGGGTTTCGGGTTTAGGGTTTGGGGTTGCAGCATCAAGGAACTCGGTTCAATGCCATCTGAAGCTTCACACGGGCTTCCAGACCCAAGAGGAACCTAGGAATGAAAAGGGTGCCCTTCTTGGTTGGTGGTTATGAGGGACCCGAAATCCCAAAAAAAAAGGGAATGAGGGCCTGCTCTGGGTCCTAGTTGGACCGTTCGACAATTAGACGATGTCTTAAGGGTGAGCATACACGGGGCTCCCGGTGGGAGGAGGGGTGAGGAGGGACGGATTGTTTGTGCACCGTGCTGCTCGCTACTGTAGGCCTTCTCCTGGTTGGTGTTGATGGCCCGCATCACAATCGTGGAGCCTGCAAACTTCAAGATTACCCTATCCCGAAAGCCCCACCAGACCCCTAAACTCTTTGCCAGAAACTTGCAACGCCCACGAGTCGAACCTCAGAGCCGGGAGACTTTTCAGTGCCCTTGTGGAAGTTCATAGGTGTGTACGGCAAGGCATCTGCGGTATTAGGTTCAGGGCTTGAATTGCGTGGATGGATGCGCCTAAACCCTAAACCCTAAACCCCAAAACCCTAAGTGCAACAGCAAGAACAAGAGCAGAAGCCAGGAACCTTCCAGCACTGTTCGCACCAGGATCTTTGAAACCAGGGTCAGCGACCAGCGGAATGCGGCTTCGGCCACTTCGTCCTTGAAAGGACGCAGACGGGCACTTGGAGGCTCAGGGTGCCCATAACCCCAACTGTAACTGCACCGACTAGCTCCCTAAGTCCCCAAAGTAGGCCAGAAGTGGGCTTCTGGTTAGGGTTGCAAGTACACATGAACCTCCGGGTAGGCTTCGATGCTTGCAGGGTTGAAGGCTGCTACTGTGTCGGGGTACTAAACCCTAAACCCTAAACCCTAAACCCTAAGCCCTAAACCCTAAACCCTAGACCCTAAACCTCGAAATCCAGACGTCAGCGAGGCACCGTGGTCATCCCACGCACCACATCCACCGCAGCAGAGACCTCGGCTTCAAATGGATAAGGTATGATATGTTGGGATATCCCCTATTACTAACAGCTCCTTACTAGGGATTCTACTGGGGGGGGAACATCCCAATGATAAGGTGAAGAGTTGAAGTCTCCAACTTCTATCAGCGGACTCCTGCAATCCTGGCGGCTGTGCGCAAGGAGACAAGACTGAAAGCCCATCAGGGCCCTAAATCCTATCCTACTCACTGCTGCTGCGGCGGAGACGCAAAGGGTGCGAAGAGCTCGGTGGGAACCTCATAACCAACATGGCCTTGGTACCAAAACCCCCATGGAAGCGGCTTTGGGGGTTTTACAGGCTCAGGCTAAGATCTTCGGAGTTGGGGGGAGGGGGGGGGGTCGGCAGTCGGCGGGAGAACCCTAGGAAATTGAGCGTTTCAGGGCTTAGGGCACCAAGGGCCTTCAGGTTCTAGGGGTTTGGGGTTTAGGGTTTAGGGCTTGGGGCTTAGGGTTTAGGGCTTAGCCCTCAGCATGCCCTAGGGGATAAGATTAGGGGGACCCTTGGGGATCTAGACCCTCTCAATAAGGTCCTTGACTAAGAGAGCCAGAAGAAGGTTACGTAAGCCTTTTAAGGGTCCCTTATCCTACCTAAAACCCTAAACCCTAAACCGTAAATCCTAAACCCTCAACCCTAAACCCTAAACCCTAAACCCTAAACCCTTAACCCTTAACCCTAAACCCGTATCCTACCTAGGACGCCCAGTGGCGGAGACCAAGGGCTGAGATGTCGACGACCTGGGAGCTGAGGAACATGCCGAAGGAATCGAAGGAGGGAGTGGAACGAGAAATTGATACATGGGGGGGGAAAACCTTAAGCCCTAGGGTTTAGGGTTTAGGGTGTAGGATGTAGGGTTTTCAATTTCGGGTTTAGGACCCCGATTCTTAAGCCCTACACTCGGAGGCCCCCCCCTCCCTCGGTGGCAGTTTCAAGAGCGGCAAGTCCATCTACCCAGAGACTCCGAAACCCCTTAATTAAGGAATATACCTTAAATCATATTAGGGTTCCTACTATAGTTTAAGGCATGTTCCTTAATTAAGGGGTTTTGCAGTCTCTGGGTAGCCTTTTGCATGATGTTGTGACTTTCCCATCTTTGCCAGCTGGCGGCATGCGACCTGTAAGTTGTGATTCAACTGACTACACCTACACTACTTGGAGGTTCATGGTAGTTATAAACCAATTAGAACTGTACTTATATACCGCCCCTTAAGTGTCCTAATATGGTTATAAGTACGGTTATAAGTACAGTTATAATTGGCTAATAAGTGCCATGAACCTCCAAGTACTTGAGAGCCTGAGGGTCCTGCTAGATAATCATCCCCTTTTCTGGACAGCTTGAATGGCAGGGGATTATGCTGAAAGGGTCGTGATTTCAGCAACACATCGATATCTCCAAATCCTAAACCCTAAGCCCTATATAAACCCTAACCCTGAACCCTCAACCCTAGACCCTAAACCCTAAACCCTAAACTCAGAGATGAGAGGTGCAATGTCTGTAGAACTGCCACGGCGCCATCTGCCGGGGCGATCTGAAGATCTCAATGGTCATCTCGATGATCCTCACAACTTGGGATGTTAGGGCTTACGGGTTTAGGGTTTAAGGGATGGTTTAGGGTTTAGGAGTACCGAGCTGACAAAAAAAAACATTCCCAAACATTGGCTTTACCCCGCCCCCCCCCCCCCCCCCCCAAAAAAAAAAATGAAAAATAAAAATAAAAAACTAAACTTTGCAAAAAAACTAAACTTCAACCCCCTAACCCTGAGTCGAGGGCCACGGAATTGGGGTTCAGACTTGGGAGACCCTTTGAGGAACCACAGGGGTCAGAGGTTGAGGGGCTTTCTGGCTTTGGGGCAGGGTTTAGAAACTTAGGGCTTAGGGTTTAGGGTTTAGGGTTTAGAAACTCAGGGCTTAGGGCTTAGGGTTCTTAATTCGTGGTATAGGGAGTTTGGTTTGGCGTGCTTGAGGGTTTTTGTGTTGCAGGCTTCTGTTTTCAAGGGTCTTTCTGTTGATGGTGTCCTTTAGGTTTTGTTTGGGTTCATAGGGTTTAGGTTTCAGGGTTTAGGATTTAGGGTTTAGGGTTCGTGCGAATTCAGGATAAGGGCAGGTTAGAAGTCGAGATGTGTATCCAGGAGATGGAGCAAATGTGCGCTGAGAACGATTTGAAAGTATTCACTAAACCCTAAACCCTAAACCCTGAACCCTAAACCCTAAACCCTCAACCCCTCATCGTGCGGGATCAGGGTTGCTCTGCAGGGAAATGGAAGCAACAGGCAAATCCCAGAGTCCCTGGAAGATCCGCTCCAGCCTGATTAACTGGGAGGTTCTCGAAGTCCACTTTCAGGCTCCTAATACAATACAGAGCCTTTTCAGACAGAGAGAGAAGAAAGAAAGAGAGGGAGAGGATTAGCGAGAGAGTGAGAGAGAGGGGGAGAGAGAGAGAGAGAGTGTACCACAAAAGCCAACTCCCAAACAAACTCGAGGGCAGCTCTGGGGCGGTTTAGGGTTTAGGGTTTAGGGTCTAGGGTTTAGGTTTAGGGTTCAGGGTTCAGAGTTCAGGGTTCAGGGTTCAGGGTTCAGGGTTCAGGGTTCAGGGTTCAGGGTTCAGGGTTCAGGGTTTAGGGTTCAGGGTTTAGGGTTTAGGGTTTAGGGTTTAGGGTTTCGGGTTTAGGGTTTAGGGTTTAGGGTCCAAGCCAGGGCTCTTGTCTGCGATGAAGTAAAGCCGCGTGGTCGACTGCTTGAAGTGGTCCTGCCCTGCAGGGGCCACGGCGAAGAACCTCAGACGCACATGCTCTGGCACCATCACCCTATACAACTTAAAGACATGTGTATAATATATATATATATATATACATATATATATACACACACATGTGTACCTATGTGTGCATATTATATATTTATTTATTTATTTACTTATTTATATTTAGATTTATATTTATATTTATATCTATATCTACATATTTGTGTGTGTTTGTAATACTACGTGTTTTTCATGCACTGCCTGTACTATCTATGTACACGCCCTCAGCCCCCGAGTACCCCTTTATAAGGGGCCTAAGGGAGCTGCGTGTCACCAGAGTTTGAGGCTGAGAGTACTTGAGCTCAGGGCTTCAGGGCTTTAGGGTATGAGATTCGGGACGGCTTGGAGCTTGTAACTTTCCAGGGGAACTAAAGCAAAGGTTAACATCGGAAACGGGAGAAACAAAAAGCACCCTACAACTAGAAGAGAAAAGGGTATACCCTATGCCCTAAACCCTCAACCCTAAACCCTCAACCCTAAACCCTAAACCCTCAACCCTGTACCCTATACCCTCAGCCCGCGTTGTCTAACGAAACCGGCCTCGGCCTCAGGGGCCGTTCTTACTGGCGCTTGTTGGAAGTGGGGTTTAGGGTTTAGGGTTTAGGGCTTAGGGCTTAGGGCTTAGGGCTTAGGGCTTAGGGTTTAGGGTTTAGGGTTTAGGGTTTAGGGTTTAGGGTTTAGGGTTTAGGGTTTAGGGTTTAGGGTTTAGGGTTACCCTAAACCCTCCAAACCCTCAACCCTGAACCTTTAGGTCCGGGGGCCGCCGATACAGCTCCTGGCGCAAGAAGAGGATCGAGCTCTCGGAGAGGCTAAGGATGAAGCGGCCGAGAGCCTCCTCATGGGCCTGGAAAAGAAAACTGTGAGCTTCAATTGAAGCCCTGCACCCTTTAAGGGGTTTGGGGTTGAGGCTTTAGGGTTTAGGGTTGAGGGTTTAGGGGGTTTAGGGTTTTGGGTAATCCTCAAGCCCTCCGTGAACCCTACACAGTGGGTGGGCACCCTCGTCCTCAAGCCCTCCAAAAACCCTATTGCGAAACAGCAGGGCAGAAGATTGTTGGGGCATTGTTGGGGCGCACAGGGGCATCTGGGGGGCTTTAGGGTTCAGGGTTTCGGCGGAACCCTAAACCCTAAACCCTAACCCCTAAACCCTAAACCCTAAACCCTAAACCCTAAACCCTAGGGTTTAGGCTCTACATGGCCGGGGTTGGCGCGAAGGGGATTCCGAAGCTCGGGGCCGTTCTGGGTGGGGGATGTCTGCCGGGTGCAGGGCCCCTAGATAAAGCCGAAACTCCCCCAATCCGACATCCCAAATCAGCATAAATGGAATATAAATAAGACCTTGACGATAAGCAGAGGTATGCAATCTAAACCCTAAGCCCTGAACCCGGAACCCTGAACCCGGAACCCTGAACCCTAAACCCTACATCCTAAACCCTAAACCCTGAAGCCTAAAGTATTCTTCTGCTCTTCCTGCCTGCCGTATGCCCGACCTACTCCCTAAACCCTAAAATTCCTAAAAGCTCAACCCTGAACCCTTCGAGGCTCCACTGGTGATGATTGGTGCAAACAGCTTCAGGGTTCCTCCAGTTCCTGGAGCGGAAGCAAACCCTAAGCCCTAAACCCTAAACCCAACAGAATCCCTCCTGTGATACTACCCTAAACCCTAAATCCTAAACCCTGAACCCTAAACCCCAAACCCCAAACGCAAGGCCAAGGCCAGATGCCCCAAACCCTGCAAAAATCGGGCCTGTGGCTTGCCAATGTGGGATCGAAGCATCCGCTCCACGTTCTCCCAGAGCCAATTCCAGGCTACCTGGCATGTTCCGCAAGCTTTGCAAGAATTGCGGGCTTAGGGTTGTGGGTTTAGGGTTTAGGGTTTAGGGTTTCGGGTTTCGGGTTTCGGGTTTAGGGTGTTGCGCTGCAGCTTCCTTCTGGCCAGAGGCGTGGTGTCCTTCATACCCCCAATCGCAAACCGTGCAAACCCCAAACCCCCAAACTCTACTGTGACTAAAGGCTCAACCACAAACCCTCAACCCTCAACGCTCAACCCTCAACCCTCAACCCTCAACCCTAAACCCTAAACCCTAAACCCTAAACCCTAACCCTAAACCCAAAACCCTAAACCCAAAACCCGAAACCCAAAACAAGGAACAAATCCCCCAAGGGCCCTAGCAGAAGTGTTTGCGAGAGTCGCGCCTCGTGATTGGAGTCCCACTCCTGGAACTGTTTCGGGTTTAGGGTTTAGGGTTTAGGGTTTAGGGTTTAGGGTTTAGGGTTTAGGGTTTATAGGGTTGTTCGGGTTTAATGCATTGTAGGTTTACATGGGGCTTGTAAACGTCTTATAGGACTTGCAATAGGGTTGATATGCGGTCTACCAGTGTTGGGGGTTTGTTTGCGTCTGTTTGTCGATGTGCAGGACGGGCACGGCATCGAGGGACTCATGAAGACCCTAACGAACAGGGCCGCTAGCTCAGGAGCTAGCGGCATCCTCTTACTGGGAGGTGCCAAGCCGCCATCCTTGCTATACCCTAAATCCTCAACCCTATATACACATAAACCCTAAACCCTAAACCCCACCGTTGCGGTGTCGTGTCGTGTCATGGGCGTGGTGGCGGATGTGTCGGCTGCAGAGGTAGTGCTGGCCATAGCACTAGTGCCAGCAATGCCGGGGTTGCAACGCAACACTAAGATGGCCCTGAACACCCACTGAAATACCCTAAACCCTGAACCCTAAACCCTAACCCTAAACCCTAAACCCGAAACCCTACACCCTAAACCCTAGACCCTAAACCCTAAACCCTAACCCTATAAACCCTAAACCCATTCCTAAATATGATCCTCTGAACCTAGAGACCTAGGAGCGGAAGCAGCAGAGTCAAAAAGCAAGCGAAGGCCGGGTTTAGGGTTTAGGGTATAGGGTTTGGGGTTTAGGTCTTAGGGTTTGGGGTTTAGGGTTATTCTAATTATAGGATTTAGCCCGCAAGAAGCAAGCAGGCCCAGATGCTCCTTGGGCACGAGGGACCGCAACGATGCCAGCATGACGGCCTTGAACCTTGTCAACCCGGGGGATTTTACGAGCGCTTGAAGGTTGATGGGTGCTAAAGGGTGCTTAAGTGGGAGGGGGGTTTAGGGTTTAGGGTTAAGGGCTCAGGGTTTAGGATTTCGGGGTTTAGGGTTTAGGGCTCAGGGTTCAGGCGTTTAGGGTTTAGGGCTTAGGGTTTTTGGGTTAGTAGGGGGGCAACTGCATTGACAACCCGTGTTTACCGCAACCCCTCTTGTATCAAACTGTGAACCCTTGATCCCCAGAGAAAGTGCCTTCACACTTGCATGGGTCTTCCGGGGCACCTGCTCCTGCTTAGGCTGTAGGCTCTGGGCATTCCCTGAAAGCCAGTCATCTGAATAACCTAAAACCCTAAACCCTAAACCCTAAACCCTAAACCCTAAACCCTAAAGCCTAGACCCTAGACCCTAAACCCTAAACCGCCCTGTTTTCTGGAAGCTCTAAACCAAGGGACTCGGAGAGGCGGATCGAGCCGGGATGCCTTGGGGGCAAGGGGTGCTGCCTTTGGGTTTGTCGGGTCTTCAGGGTTTAGGGTTTAGGGTTGAGGGTTTAGGGTTTAGGGTTTAGGGTTTAGGGTTTAGGGTTTAGGGTTTAGGGTTATATGGCAGGCATCTGACCCTGAACCCTAAGGCCTACCTTGGCCCATGAGCCTCCAGATGTTCGAAAGACAGGTGCTAATGGATTCAACCTTGCTGTCCATGCTCAGAGCTTCAGAGTTTGGACGGTTTAGGGTCGAGTTCAAGGAGCACGGAATTCGGGCATTCACTAGGGTTAGCTTCAGGGTTCAGGGTTCAGGGTTCAGGGTTTAGGGTTTAGGGTTTAGGGTTTAGGGCTTAGGGTGTCGGATTTCGTTTGGAGGTTCACTAGGCCAAGCTGTGCGGAGCACCCTGAACTTCCAGGGCCCAAGGGGCTGCGCAAGGACCAGGGACAGCACATCACACTCCTCCTGCAGGCGATACGAGTTTGCCTTGGCCGCCAGCATGGTATGTACTAGGTTTAGGGTTTAGGGTTTAGGGTTTAGGGTTTAGGGTTTAGGGTTTAGGGTTTAGGGTTTAGGGTTTAGGGTTTAGGGTTTAGGGGTTTAGGGCGGGTACTTGTAATTTCAATTAAAATCTGCACCTAGAAGCTTCCTAAGTCCCCTAAGTCGGTGATAAGTAGACCTACAATTACTTAGGAAGCTCCTTGTAGGGCCTTGAAGGGTTTAGGGGTCATCATAGGCGAGTCACCACATGGGCCGGGAAGACTCCCAACCAAAGATCCGATAATTCTGCAACACACCTGTCTAAGTCCTAACTCGCCGGACCAAAGGGACAACAAGAACGGCTTGCCTACGGGCTCTTAGTAGGGAATGAGGGAATTAGAGACTCTATGTAGTCCCTGTACGGGTAATATAGGGTACCTAATTCCCTCATTTCCTACTAAGAACCCGTAAGCTTCGGGTTCAGGGCTGAAAGAATTTAGACCCTGAAATCTGAGCCCCGAACCTTCAAGTCACAAGCCTTGAGCGCCAAAATCAACAGCACGAACCTCCCTGAACCCAAAAAACCCTAAAACCCAAAACCCTAAAAACCCAAAAAGCCCAAAAACCCAAAAACCTAAAACCCAAAAACCCCAAAACCCCCCAAAAAAAAATTGAACCATGAACCCTACAGCCTCTCCTCTTTCCCTGCTCAGAGTATCCGAGCAGCCACATTGCTGACAATGTCATCGAACCTGGACTTCTTACGGAGGTTCAGAGTTTAGGGTTTAAGGTTTAGGGTTTAGGGTTTAGGGCTTGGGGTTTAGGGTTTAGGGGCTAGGGTTTAGGGTCCGCCGACCCTGGCGGCGTGTTGGATGGGAAAAGGAGGTGAAAACCTCCCTCTCCCTCCTTACCCCCCCAAAACGCGGGGGGGGGGCGGGTACCCGGGCAGCTTTTCCATGGAGGGCCAGACCACCCACACCGCATAAACTCACGGACCATAGGCGGTTTCGCACAGGACATAGGGGCTCTTTGGGAAAAAAACCCCTTCTGCCCCCCCCACCCTCCTGCCCCCCGCTACCCCCCCCCCCCTAACCCCCCCCCCCTGACCCCCCCCCCACCCCCCCCCACCCCCCCCCCCCCCGACCCCCCCTACCCCCCCCTACCCCCCCCCCTACCAATTGATGGGGCTGCCCTGGCCTTCAAGCTGGCTTCAGCTCCTGTTTGGGTCCCAACGTTTCACAGAGGCTCAAGCACATCAACTTTTTTGGCATCCTTTGAGCTGACGAGCGCGTTTAAACCTTTCAACTATGCTCCAGCGGGGTCGGCGGCTTGAGCCGGAGGCTCTTAAATTTAGGGTTTAGGGTTTAGGGTCTAGGGTTTCGGGGATCCTTGGGCTCTACCTTGCACCTCTAAGGTGGTGTTTCTTGGGTTTTGGTACCCTTTTTGAAGATACTTTCTGGGAATGTAAGGGCCATATCAGGAGCAGATTCAGGGGGCCTCTTAGGGGTACATACAACTTCAAGCCCTGAGCACGAAGCCCAAAAACTGCAACCTTTCCCGACCTTGAACCCCAAAAGGCCCCTAAACACCTGAACCCTAAACACCTGAACCCTGACCCCCAAAACCCTGACCCAAGCCCCTACATACCCTAAACCCTAAACGCCTAAACCCCCGTAAGCCCCCGCAAGCCCCGCAAACCCTGAAAACCTCTAACTTCTCCCTAAACCGTGAACCCCAAACCTTGAACCCGAAACCCTACACCCTAAGCCCTAAACCTAAACCGCTTTCTGAGTTCCGAGCTGGTCAAGCACCAAGTGCATCCAGGTGCCTATTGGAGGTTGCGGCTTTAGACAGTTTTTGGTTCAGGGTTAAAAGGTGTTGCTGGTGACAAACAGCAGGAGGAAGGAGACACAGCGTGTTGGGCTGTTGGGGTCTCGGGGCTTCAGGGCTGCGGCATGAGGTGGTTCGATGTTTTGGGTTTGCGCGCTTAGGGGTTGAGCCTCTTCGGGATGGGATTCTTCTAACTTGAGCCTTGAGGAAGGTCTTCTGCAGCTTTGTGGGCAGGCTTCCGAAACTAACGCGAGAAAATCCCGAGATCCGGCTTGGCTCGAAGGTGCTTTGGCCAAAGCCCATCACAGCAGCATTGAAGAGGAACATCTCGTTGAACGTCGTGGGCACCTGAACTGCATCGTTCATAAGAAGGCGAAGTCTGCTCGACATCACTAGTAGCATCCACCAGCAGTGGTTTACAAGGTTGGGATTACAATACCCAAGTAGTAACGCACTGGCATGGCTGTCCCCACAGCAAAAGCATCGCTCCGCGTGTTTTTGCGCGGAAGGATCGCCGCATCGCCTCGTTTAACCGTCCTCAGCGAGGCGTCGGCGTGGCTCGTGAGCGAAGCGCTGGCCAGTCTCCACAACGAAGGCCGACACGTGAAACTGAAGGAAGAAGGTGCCCTCAGCTGCATTGACCTCCAGGCTGCTTAGCGTGTCGGCATCGAGGTTCGCGGAAGCAATGGTGTGCCGGAAAACATACTCCTCACCCGGCGCAAGCAGCAGCTCGCGCTGCATCAGGGTCTCCCGGCCGTCCAAAGGCAGCTTCATGGCATACTTCTTGTGCCGAGTCTCAAGATGAATCACGGGTCGGCCTCGGTAGTCGTAGCCTGTGGCGGAGACCAGGAGCCGGATTGTCCGCGTTTCACTGCCGAGGTTGCGGAAGGAGGCCCTGAGAGGCAAGTCCCTTTCCATCGTGATGCTGCCGGCCGGGAGGAAGCTGCTGAAGTCCACGGCAACATCCTGGCATTTTGCAGCCATGTGCCTCCGGTCTCAGAACCCACAGCCCTGAAGCCCTACACCCAGAACTCCGGAAGCCAGAAGACCGAAAAAAAAAACAATAATAAGACTCCAAAGCTCACCTAAACCCTTTCTTGAGCTACACGAAAGCTCCTTTGAAGCCGAAACCGAGTCCTGAACCTCTGAGAGCTCGTGCAGTCGCCGCCCCTCCACCCGGCCGTCAGCCAATCGCAGCTCCGTGGCGTTGCTCTCCTTCACGCGCACGTGGGTAGTTCCCGAAGTTAGGGTACCGATTTGGGTCCCCTTCAAAAGCACGGCACCCTTTTCAAAAGGGCCCCCCAAACAGGGACCCTGATTTAGAGAACTACCTACCCATCTGTGCACGGAAGTAGTGGATCAGTTTCGACACGCTTGCTGTGACCTCACACCACGTTCTGCAGGCACGCCTGTTCTGAGTTCTGAGTGCGCTTCATTTGCATGGAAGTAAATCCGTCACACGACCTAGAAAGACAGCAATCAAGCAGCTGCAGAGATGTGTCTCTCTGTTTATCCGTCTCTCTGCCTGTCTGTCCGTCAGTCCGTCAGTCCGTCTCTCTGTCTGTCTGTCAGTCTGTCCGTCAGTCTGTCTGTCTGTCTGTCTGTGTTGGGGCGGTTCTTTGCAGATGGTGCGTGGTGTCACATTGGTTCCAATGATACGGCTCCTCAGCGTCCCTATAAAACAATGTCCCAAAGACCCTTGAATTTGGAAATTTAGAAAACAAGAGCCGCAGTAAACCCTAAACCCTAATCTCCGTGACATAAATTTCTGCCCCACAGCTCCAGGAACGAAGTGGAGGCGAGGGCCGCCCCCCGCTCGTGGCACTGGACTCGGGCTGCCGCAGGGCCGGCTTGGCAGTGGCTTCCCCGGTGCTGGGGGTCTGGGCATTTCTTGTAGGTGTGTGTCAGGTCCAGCTCCTCAGGGCGCGCTGGGAGGCGGTTTAGGAGGCTTAGGGTTTAGGGTTTAGGGTTTAGGGTTCAGGGTTTAGGGTTTAGGGTTTAGGGTTTAGGGTTTAGGGTTTAGGGTTTAGGGTTTAGGGTTTAGGGTTTAGGGTTTAGGGTTTAGGGTTTAGGGTTTAGGGTTTAGGGTTTAGGGTTTAGGGTTTAGGGTTTAGGGTTTAGGGGGGGGGTTGGGGGCTGAGGGGCTTCGTGGCTTAGGGTTTTGACCGGACGGAGCGGATCTGCGGAAACCCTGGCCGCCCGTCTCCTCCCGCTGGCACCGCATATAGTCTGCCAGACATTCTGCTGAGATGCTCCCGGGTTTCTTAGTGACGGTTTTAAAGCCGATGGTGTTGAAGATGTCCCCGAAGGGGTCGCTGTACCATCGAACCCCTGCATAGAGGGGGTCCCCGTCGTGCAGTGTGAAGATTCCTCTGGCCGCAGCCTCGTCCTTTGCGGCATCGGTGAACTCTGGAACGCTGTAGACAAAGAGCTTCACATCACCATTGACTTCGCCGATGACAAAGTCCGTGTCGAAGCAATCGCTGACCCCTTTCTTAACCTGCCTCACGGAAGCAGGTCCCATTTGGAAGCGCCCGCCAGACTCTTCCTGCGGCGTGGCATCCACTGCCTGCCAGCCATCTGCACCTCGGTCGCTCCTGTCGAAGTACATCTCATTCCAGACGTGGAAGGACCAAACACTATCTGCATTGCTGCTGCAGGGCACGCAGGGCATGCATGAACTGCAAGTCCCTGCGAAGCCACGACCGGCGGACAGCTGATGCTTGCACTCGGAGAGCTTGCAGCCCTTCTCTGCAGCCGAGCGTGCGGAGAGGCACCATCTCGGGCAGAGGTCTTCCGGGTAGTCCGCTGGGCTCCAGGCTCCATCGGCGGAGGCAAAGAAGAACTTGGAGACGCCCCGGTCTGCATTGGTGTCATGAGCAGACTGGAAGTTCGTGACCGACCTCGTGGCGATGCCAAGTGCCCTGCCGATGGTAGTCGTCACCCCGGAGAACACGAAACACTGGCAATACTGCACTGCAGTGGCCTTCAATCCAGACTGCACGAGGCCCCAATGCTGCTCGAGGATCGGCGAGGACGATGCCCACGTGGAGGGATCTGAACATAGGTGTGCCCACTCCAGCGCTTTGCCTTGGCTGGCAGAATCTCAACTCAGCCTCTGGCCAACTGAGACTGGGCTACGCCGGATCCCCAGCTACGCTTCACGGCTGTTGCTCATTCTTTCGACGCCCCCCCTAAACCTTAAACCCTAAACCCTAAACCCTAAACCCTAAACCCTAAACCCTAAACCCTAAACCCTAAACCCTAAACCCAACAGCTGAGCTCCACACCCTTCCTCTGCAGGTACCTCTTCGTTCGGCAACGGTAGCCACCTGAGGGCTGCCCTGTGGCGTAGTTGCCCTGGCCCCATTTCCTCAGAAGGTTTGCGAAAACGGGTTTAGGGTTTAGGGTTTAATTTAGGGTTTAGGGTTTAGGGCTTAGGGCTTAGGGCTTAGGGTTTAGGGTTTAGGGTTTAGGAACCCGCAATGTAGATCCCCAAATAGTAGGATCCCAATATAATCAGGACCCCCCCCCAATAAGGTAGCCCTAATTGCGTAATCGTACACCCCCAAATCAGGGGGCCCAGAGCCCTGCGCAAGACAGCGGACAACAAAGATGATGGGAACATGGCAAGGCTCCCGTAGCAAACCCTCTCGCCGATGGCATAGGTCAGGTGCCTGGAAATCGCTGTGGGGTCGGAACGGAGGTTCAGGGGAAGATCGGCCAGCAAGGAGATGGCGATCAGCAGGTTGGCCGCCCGAAATGGGTCGTGTTGCCACACATGGGCGCCGTAGTCATCGGAGAGGCCCTGCCAAAGCAAACCTTGGTCTCCCCCAACATACTCCTCCATGAACTCTGATTTGAGCTTTCGGCGGCGTCCGGCAGACTCGGGACAATGCTTGCAGGTAAACGGGTTGAAGATCACGATGAAGCCCAGAAGAGGGGTGTGCCGGTCGCCATGGACAAGCCGAAGCTCGTACTCACCTACAGGCGCGTCAGCGGGCACTTCCAGCTGAATTCTGCCGTCCTGGATGATGCCCGGATTCCCGATCCTGGCCTCACTGGCCACCCCAGGCTTGGAGGCCAAGAAGACCATGACCACTGCGTCGGCAAAGTCGCCCGCGGCGCCCGCGGCGCCCGCGTCTCGCACCACAAATGCCTGCCCACGGCGCACGACCGCGCGGCCGCCGAGCCGGGGAGGTGCAGCTTGTGGGTTTAGTGGGGGCTGGTCCCTGTAAAGGGTGCAGAGCGGGTGCCTCTCCTGGTAGTCCAGATCCTGCACTATTTGAAAGCTGCCTGCAGCCTCCGGCTCCGGCTCGAGCTGGGCCTCCCTGGGCTCGTCCTGCAGGGCCTCCACTTGCCCGAAGGAGTACCTATACTCCCCTTAGAACCTTCACAAAAATAATGTGTTTAATATCCTCTTGGGTTTTCTATAAACAAAAATAGGAAAATAATTCTCCCAAGGAGGGATATAGGTACCACCACGTCTTGCCGTGCCCAAGCCCACTCTCGCAGGAGCGCCGGACCTTGATCTTCTCCTCAGCTTCACGTACTGCAAGCACCTCACCAGAGCAGGACTTGTACTTTCCACTAGTGATCACGACCTGGTCGCCGACCTCAAAGTTCTCATCGCCCTCCCCACTAGGGTCCTCCGCCCGCCGGATCGCCCACGGTCTCTGAAGGCAGACTGCGAGGGAGACCCAAAAGAGGGCGCAGCACAAGGGCATGTGCGAACAGGAGTTTTGCAAGCAACTTGCTACTGAAAGCCATACAGCTGCGATGCACACACCTCAGAAGGATTGCTCCTCAGACTTGGCTCACCAAGCTGTCCCGGCTGCGTGAGGCCAGGCTGGCAAGGGGAGGTGTCATCTGTCAAGCGGCTAAGGGTCGAAGCCTACGTAGCCCGCCTAAGAACCCCTAAACCGAGATCCCCCTAAACCCTAAACCCTAAACCCTAAACCCTGAGCCCGTTGCCTTGAGCTCCGTTGCCGTGGTCTTTATGGTGTTCGCCTCGGTCTTGGAGTCGCGCCGCACGGGGGCGCCTGGGCAGTGGGGCGGTGGGGCTTTTAAAAAACACTGAAGAGGGTTGTAAAAATAAGACAAAAAACTAGCAAAAGATGGCTTTTAAAAGAAACACTAGCAGAAGTTAGGGCAGCGGCACAAGGGTTGGGGAGTCTACTGGCGAGGGTACTTCGTAAGTGGGGTCATCGGGGGAATTTGTATGAATGTGCGCTCACCCGAGATCAAGCTAAGGAAGAATCTCTGTGGCAGCACGGGTTGGGTTTAGTCTATTGTAGGGCGTCCTCTGTGGGTCCTTCGAGGGAAGTTGGCACAGCCCCACCCGCCCACCCCCCCCCCCCCCTCCAAAAAAAAAGAGAGGGAGTTCAAGAGAATCCATACTATGTGGGTGAAAGTAGGGCAAACGGCACTTGCAAACCTACAGTACCTTAAAACCCTCTCAAAATTTCCTGAATATGATCCTCTTAACCGCTAAACCCCAAGAAGGAGAAACACATCAAATGCCCCAATGGCCTAGCTAGTTTTGCTACCCATGAACCTCTGACAGCAGCCCTAAACCCAAACCCTAAACCCCAAACCCTACACCCTAAACCCTAAACCCCAAACCCTAAACCCTAAACCCTTAACCCTAAGCAGGCCTTCACTGTCTTTGGACTCCTTGGAGGCGGCCCGCTGAGTCTTTTCCACCGACTTCTGCAGCAGATCTGGGCCGCGCGGAGTTTCACGAACTCCGAGACCCCCTACCTCCCCCCCCCCCCCAAAAAAAAAGGGTTTAGGGTTTAGGGTTTTAGGTTTTAGGGTTTAGGGTTTAGGGTTTAGGGTTTAGGGTTTAGGGTTTAGGGTTTAGGGTTTAGGGTTTAGGGTTTAGGGTTTAGGGTTTAGGGTTTAGGGTTTAGGGTTTAGGGTTTAGGGTTTAGGGTTTTGTTGCTGCTACAAGCGCTGTGCTGTCCAACGTGTAACCCAGGATCCCGGCTTTGGGTAGGAGTGAAGACATGGCCTTCAGTTTAGGGTTTAGGCTTGAGGGTTTAGGAACACTAACCCTAGACCCTAGACCCTAGACCCTAGACCCTAGACCCTAGACCCTAAACCCTAAACGTGTAGTCGCCAAGTGTGACCGATTGCATAAACCCAAAACCCCTAAACCCCTAAACCCCCAAACCCCCAAACCCCCAAACCCCCAAACCCCTAAACCCCTAAACCCCTAAACCCCTAAACCCCTAAACCCCGAAACCCCGAAACCCCTAAACCCCTAAACCCCTAAACCCCTAAACCCCTAAACCCCTAAACCCCTAAACCCCGAAACCCCGAAACCCCTAAACCCCTAAACCCCTAAACCCCTAAACCCCTAAACCCCCAAACGCCCAAACGCCTAAACCCCTAAACCCCTAAACCCCTAAACCCCTAAACCCCTAAACCCTAAACCCTAAACCCTAAACCCTAAACCCTAAACCCTAAACCCTAAACCCTAAACCCTAAACCCTAAACCCTAAACCCTAAACCCTAAACCCCGAAACCCCAAACCCACCTGACTCGTTGTCCGGCGTGACGGTCGCAGCTGCCGCTTCGTCGACCTGCTCCCCTTCCTCTTCAGTGTCCTGGCGCTGGCGGGCAGCTCTGACGATCATCCAAATAAAGCACGATGTGGCCTTGTTGTTAGGGTTTAGGGTTTAGGGTTCAGGGGTTTAGGGTTGTAGGGGGATAGGGGTTTAGGGGTTTAGGGTTGAGGGTGGAGGGTGGAGGGTTGAGGGTTTAGGGTTGAGGGCTTAGGGTTTAGGATTTAGGGTTTACGATTTAGGGTTTAGGGCGCTGGGGTATTTGGGGGCTTCCGAAATTAGGGGCACCTTCTTGGGGTCCTTGCTACAAGGGAATCCTACTACTTGGGGCTCTATATTAGGGGTCCTCATTTTGCGTAAACACCCAGAAAAATCTGAATATGGTATCATATAAGAAACAAAAATGTAGGATATTATAGTATGTCAGACTGCAATGAAAGATCAAGCAATATAATGCACCACAGTCTCTATATCATACGGCAGACAGCAATACATCCCAATGATCATACTGTGGCAGTACAATAAAGAAGGTGTTCACATGTCATATTGCAATGGAAGACCATGTAGTGGAATGTCTATAGTATCGCATAAAACGTAAATATCTTGTCATGTAATATGCTTTGTTGTGCGATATCATAGTTTATTACATTGTGTAATGCAAGGCAATGAAACGTGATGCAATACATTGAAATGTAATGTAGTGTGATGTCACATCATGCAATGCATGTGATGTCATAGTACACCTTACTTTAACGCGTGCGCGCGCGCGAGCACCTTAAAATGGCAGGGCCTTGTTGTTGGCGACCCTCCAGCTGCGCTGGATGATCTTGACACGAGCGGAGTACTCGCGGCCTGCGCTCAGGCTCAGGGGTATGTTGCAGGCATGTTGGAGCTGGAGGATTTGGGGGTTTCGCGACTAGGGGTACCGTTTTGGGGTCCTTGTATTTTAAGGGAGTCCTCCATTTTGGGGTCGATATTAGGGGTCCCTGTACTTTCGTACACCGCCATTTGGAAAAGCTTAGGGGTTCGGGGTCTAACTATTCGTCTCGCACCAGAGTGAACCTTCCAGCTAGAGGGGAATGGAGAAAGCCATGCCCAGGCTTAGACACCTCCCACCCCAACCTTGGTTTAGGGTTTAGGGTTTAGGGTTTAGGGTTTAGGGTTTAGGGTTTAGGGTTTAGGGTTTAGGGTTTAGGGTTTAGGGTTTATGCCCCCTCCCCCCCACCCCTCCCTTTGATAGCCCATAACCCCCCAAATGGCCCCCAAACCGCAACTTGGGCCGGGACGAATGTAGATGTAGGCGCCCCCTGAGTAGTTCAGGAGCGCCTGAACGATCGCAAAGCACCCATCTTCCTGCCATCTACCTATAATCCTGGGGTTCCCTGTTCGTATGGCGTTTAGGATTTAGGGTTTAGGGTGTAGGGTGTAGGGTTTAGGGTCCCGTAAGGGCTTCCTTTCAAGAGTGAAGGTTATGTCTCCGCGCTCGCCACGATGGCGAGCGGCGCCTTCACTGAGGACTGGCGCTTCGGGGGGGGTCCTTGGTGTAAGGCTGTACTAGCATACGGGGTTTGCACCAGAACCCGCATCCAGAGCCCTTGCACCCTAGACCTTCAACTACCTATTGCTTAAGAAGCCCCCCTCCTAAAAAAAACAATCGCTTCCTTGCAGGGGCAGTATAGGATTTTTTATTTGTGTTTTTGGGGGAGCTTCGCTAAGAGTAGTCAACTAGTCAACTCATGTATTTGTACTTATATGTTATATATATATATATATATATATATATATATATATATATTTGCATATGCCAAAATGAGGCGGAAAACGAAAGGAAGGAAATAGTAGAAAAAGAAGAAGAAAAAGAAAGAACAGAAAAGTCAGAGCATCTCGACAACCTGAAGGCGCTCCCCAGGCATTTGAGCTGCCCAGCCGGCCTGCAAGCCAACGCGCGCCTTGGAGGGGAGTCCATTTGGAAGCTCCTGCCAAAGGTTTGGGGCTTTGGGTTTACTTAGGGGTTAGGGTTTAGGGTTTAGGGTTTAGGGTTTAGGAGGGTTTAGGGTTTAGGGTTTACCTAGGGCTTTGGGTTTAGGGGGGCATCGCGCGGGATTTGAATACCTTTGGGCGACCGTTCCCTTTTGCAAGAAGAACACTTGGCTGCACTCAGGAGGGTAGCGATAATTTAAACTTTTAGCTGCCTTGATCAGAAACCCAATAAACCCAAAAAAGGTAAGGATCTAATGTTGCAGTAAAGTACCACAAAGAACAGTGCCCCCCCCTTTGTATTTGTTGGGAAGTTCAGGCCCTGCGTCCGATTTCGGCGATGGTTTAGGGCTTAGGGTTCAGGGTTCAGGGCTTAGGGTTTGGGGTGTAGGGTTTAGGGTTTATGGACCTTCAACCCTAAACCCGAACCCTGAAACCCTAAACCTTAAACCCCAACCCTAAACCCCAAACCCTAAACCCTAAACCCCAAACCCTAAACCCCAGGTGGCAGGTCCATCTCGAGGAGGTCCACGATGGCTTCCCGGAAAATTGCGACTCGAGGAGCAGTCACTTCCTCGCCATGGAGCTTGAGGACTTCCAGGCTTTGGGGCTTTAGGCTTTAGGGCCCTAAACCCCAAACCCTAAACCCGAAGCCCTAAACCCTAAACCCCAAACCCTAAACCCTAAACCCCTAAGCCCTAAACCCTAAACCCTAAACCCCTTGGTAAGGCTTAGGGCCCTTCAAGCCCTCTGAAAGACAAAAGTAAAGCCCCGGTAGGTCACAGGCCTCAAAGCCCCTACGCCCGAAAGCCTAGACCCCGAATGCACCCTGCGAACCCCTTATTTACCCCCAAGGGCCCATACTTCAGAACCCTTTAAGAAAGACAAGGGACCATATTCTGGGGCCATGTCCAACCCTAAACCCTAAACCCTAAACCCTAAACCCTAAACCCTAAACCCTAAACCCTAAACCCTAAACCCTAAACCCTAAACCCTAAACCCTAAAAAGCCTAAAGCCTTCAACCCGAAGCTCCCAAGCGGATACCGAGCCCCCGGCAAGGTCGAGGTGCTGGAAGCCGAGAGCTTCCACCTGGAAGGGGATTTAGGGTTTAGGGTTTAGGGTTTAGGGTTTAGGGTTTGAGGGATTTAGGGTTGAAGGGTTTGTGGTTTAAGGGCTTAGGGTTTAGGGCTGAGGGTTTAGGGTTGAAGGTCGTGGGAGGGGCGGGGGCCCATAAACCCCTTGCATCGAAGGCTCATGGGTCGGGGAACTATACTTGCAACTCGCTTAAAAAACTGAAGTTTGGGTTCCTTCTCCAACACTGCGTTTAACTACCCATGAGCCCTTCCAGCACAGCTGCTCTCGAACGCTGACTACTCCTGTCTACTCCTTATGCAGACCTTACATACCCTAAACCCCAAACCCTAAACTAACCGTAAACCCTAAACCCCTTAGAGCCTAAACCCCCTAGACCCTAATCCCTAAACCCTAACCCGCAATGGCTTGGGAAACCACGCGTTCCATGCGCTTTTAGGGTATAAGGGGTGTAGTGCTCAGGGTTTATCATGAGCTTTTAAGGTTATTGGCATGGTTTGGAGCTTAGGAGGGTGAAGGATTTGGGCGTTTAGCGTTTGAAGCTTCTAGGGTTTTGCAGCATCATTATCAGTAGTTGAGGTCGGTTCCTTCTTTTCTTGGGCTCCGGTGAACTAGGATTGAAGAAGGGCAGCCGTCGTACGACTACTCCGACGTTGAGCGGCATCAAGTGTTGCCCAGCCTCGATCACTAAACCCCCTCCCTCCTCCCCAGACCGCAAGAGCCCTCTAGGGTTTAGGGTTCAGGGTTTAGGCTTTAGGGTTTAGGGTTCAGGGTTTAGGGTTAACCTATCAACCCAGACAGGGAGCCTGTGTCCTCAGTGCCGACGGGTTGTGGCAGATGTTGACGATGCTCGTCAAGCCTTGCCCGGGCCCAGGCGACGCAGCGACAGCAACTTTGATGCTTAGAGTTTTGGGCCTGGGGATTGTCTAGTTTAGGCAACCACCTGAAATCAGCAGATAGAGTTTTAACTCACTCCGAGCCGTGGCAAGTCGTAGCAGGCCCATCCACCGTACGGTCAGTCACAGGCAACAAACAACGAACCCTAGAAAAGAAACACGCATCTTGAAGAAATCCAGTTCAAGGCTTCAAAAAGCCCAAGGCAGCATGTCTGGTCAGTCAGTTCTCTACATTCTTGTCCGTTGACAAGGGACACTGAGTTCCAGATTTGGCCATGGGGTTCAGAAGTATCTGCGCCTCTTACACCGTATCAAGCTTCGACCAAGTGAGTCTCAAGGGCCCAAGCACCCAAACCCTAAACCCTAAACCCTAAACCCTAAACCCTAAACCCTAAACCCTAAGCTGCCATTCTTCTCAAGTGGTTGAAGCAGCTCGTTTAGCGCAGCGAAAACCAGCTGCGGCAGCTGCAAGCCGAGCTGCAGGGTTTAGGGTTTATTCAGGGTTCAGGGTTTGGGGTTTAGGGTTTAGGGTTTAGGGTTTAAGGTTACAGAATTGCTACGCGTGGTTTCAGTTCCTGCGTGCGAAACAACAGCCTTTTCAATCTCGAACCCCACACAGCCTTTCAGCTAACGTTCTTCGCCCAGCTCAGAAACGGTGGAACCTAAACCCTGAACACACAAAGTTACGTGAAGGGAACGCGCAAACCATTCAACCCCCAAGTCCAGACTCAGCCCCCAGGCCGTTCATGAACCGCATGGCCATCACTGACCTGCAGTGTGGGGGTCTGCATTTAAGGAAAGAACTTCAACTATAGCCGCACACGCCTAGTACTCTAAGTGCTACGATTCCTGTGCTTGTTGCTCTTCGTCAAAATGGCTGCTGGTCTTGTGAATTCTATAGCTGCTTTGTCATCTACCACCTGGTCGCACATACTCTCACCTCTCGAGGCAGCTGATCTACCAGCACTTTGTATGCGGTGTTGCGAGCTATGTGGTGGACAACACCACGATTCTTCTGTCTACGACGTTCTACATCCTTGAGGGATGTGACCTCGACTTGATACTTACCCCTGTTCCTGCTTCTCCTTACTTCTCCAATAACCAAGGCAAAAACAAGGCTAAACTTTGTTGTTCCTACTACTAAATTCATCCCCTTTTGGTTTGGAAACCCAAAAAGTTTAAAGTTCAGCCGTTGGAGAAGTAAGCTTAAGACAAAAAGGCCCAAGGGAGGGGGTGGAGTCCCTCATTGCAGCGTTCGGGGGCGTGGCTTGCTGCATAGGAAGAAGGCAGGGGTGCCCTGTAGGACCCACTTAATCTCAGTACATGTAGTCTCCAGCAGGGTTCAGGGTTTCGGGCTCAAGGATTTCAGGGGCGGAATGTGCTTGAAGTGGCTGGACCTCGGCGTCTTGAACAGCCCCTGGAGGCTGGGCGCAGCATCAAAGACGGCGGAGTAGATGGCTTCGCCTTGGCTGAGAGGATTCAGAGCGAGGAGTCTGCCGACTCAATTTCCTATCCCACATTATAGCTTCTGATCAGCCTGAACTCTATACTCTGGAATGCGCTGGATACGGTATCTGAAACAGTCGAGATGCCAGCTGCATCACGGCTTGACTGGGAGGAGATGAACCGGTTCCACACCTGCAGCCAAGAAAGCTTTAAAACGGATTTGCAGGGATCTTCGGGTCCCTAGAAAGAAAAACCCGATAGATTCAGCTATAGATCTTAGTTGTACCTAGGGGTTTTAAAGGTTAACCTTTGGGATTATAAGGGGAATATATTACCCCAAAAAGGTTAAAGGTTACCTACTCTACTACTAAGAGATTCCGCTATTCGGGCTAGATGCTCGGAAACAGCTCCACTGGCCTCTTTGACGCATTCGGCGACATCCTCTTGAATGCGGATGTCTTCGAGGAGGTGCTCTTGCACGGTCTGTCACAGAGAGGCCAGGCGGGGCACGGGAGGATTGAGGAATTTGAGGAATGGTTTAGAGCTTAGGATTTCAGTTGGGATGTTCCCCCCTAAACTAACAGTCCTTAACAGGGATTTTCTTGCCCCCTATTAAAATCACGATTAAGGACTGTTAGTATCAGAGGGGACAACCCTAGATTTCAGGTTTAGGGTCTTGTGTTTCCTTGTGCGAGTCGCAGCTTCACATTTGGATCTGCAGGGACAGAAAGTTTCTTGCTGATGCATGTGTAAGCTGCACCCCTAGGAATGACAAGGGTGCCCTCTTTTCGTTTAAAAGGGGCTCATGAGGGGAACCTAGACAATAATCAAAGGGGCTTTACTCCGCGTCCCAGTCAAGTGCAGGCCTAAGAGGAGATCTCATCTTGTGCTTCTCACCGACAAGAGCCTAAAACCTCTTTCCCAAAAGCTCCCAAGCTGCTTCCAACTCCGAAGCCCTGAGCAAGAAAGGGTTCAGGGTTTAGGGTTTAGGGTTTAGGGTTTAGGGTTTCGGGCTTAGGGTTTAGGGTTTAGGGTTTAGGGTTTAGACAATAAACCCTAAACACCACTCTTCCCAAAACCTTGAACCGGCATGCCTGGTACTTCTCCAAGCCTCGACGACATTGGCAATTGGGGTGACCGGTACAGACGGCACAGACCATTACAAGACATGGCCGTGATGACTGCTGCGGGCGAAAGTGAAAAAAGGATGCCAAGTTTGCGGATCACTTTCTTAGAAGAGCTGACTCCCCAAGGTGTCCTACGGCACCATCGGCCTTCTAGCCCAAAGCTCCGGCCGTCGGGAGCGGAAGAGTTAAACAGCCCGGTTGGACCAAACGCCGTGTTTTTAAGGTGTCCTGTTGCCTAACGGTGTGGCGCATACCGCATGACAACCGACCCTTTGGAATGGGCCCACTCCGTGCCGAAAGCGTCATCTTGCCCGTGCTGTCGCCGTGGCTGGTGACCCGACGGGTGCATGTGTTGCGACGGTTGCACGTCGAATGCACGTCGAATGTGAAGCAATCGAAAATATTCGGGATTGATCAGGCTAAGGAAAGACAGCTTGAGCGACCAAATTTGCCCCTTCCTGCGGCACAACCTTGGCACCACAAATCCACGGATGCTGTTTCGGCAGCGTGGCTCGAGCCGGATTTTTAGCAGTCGCACAAGCAGCTACTCAGGGGGGCATCATCTTCAATACAGCCAAATCCCCGGTGACAATCGCACGCAAAACGATCAATGCAAGATAAAGCTAGGGGAGCAGCCCTTGCCGACTTGCACATCTACCACGGCCATTGCCTTTGCATGTTTTGCAGGAATACTAAGACTGCCGGCTCATCTATCACGGATCAGGGTCTGGTCGGAAACCAGGTACCAGTAATTTGCAGAAGCGCACAGAAAGAAGCAGATGAAGCTCGCCCAATCACCCCAACCAGAACCCGGCCAACATCCGTGCACATGTGAGAGCTTGCCCGACAACATGGTGGTAAACAAACTAAATCACTTGGGAAACAGTCCTTCATAGACGATGATAGTAGGGGGCTACTATGATCCCGATTAAGGACTGGTAGTATAGGGGGAAACATCCCAATAAATCAAGTACAGTACTTAAAGAACTAACCATGAGGATCACTTCAGAGGAAACATCGCAACGCCAACAAACCCTTGACCGCCCCCACATGCAGCCGAGCCGCACTCATCGAAGCTTTCCTCCTCCTGTGAAGCCCACAAAGCGGAGGCGAGGCCGAACCCACAATCTACCCAACACCCACAACCCCAAACCCTAAACCCTAACCCTAAACCCTAACCCGAAACCCTAAACCCTAAACCTCCCCAAAAGCAAACCTGAAAGTCCTAACTCTCCACTCTGGAAGCCTCCCTGAACCCTTTGCCCGGAGGCCTTACCGACACGACACCTTCACACCTCCCAGCCTTCAACCCCAACAAAAGAACCATGGGGACTTGTAGGCCAGGGTGTCCAGGGCTTAGGGTTCAGGGTTTAGGGCTTGGGGCAAAGCAACCTGGGGGGGGGGGGGGGCTTGGAAGTCGTAAGGGAAGACTTTGGAATGGCCCCACTGCATACTGAGAGAGCAAGTATCTGCAGGCGTCCCCAAGAAGAACTCCTAGGTAGCGTACCATGCTTCCCCCCAACCAAAAAAAGGCAACACAAAACACAAATCAGCTTGGCTGCCCTGCAAACCCCATGAACCCCCCCTGTACGTGCAGTTTCAATGTTCGCAGGTACCGAAATAGAAGTACTGTTTTCTTAGAACCGACTACCCTTGAACCTCCAAGCATACCACCGCCCTACCCGCCCCCCGCCCCCCCCCCCCCCCCCCCCCCCCCCCCCCCCCCCACCAAAAGAAAAAGGAACCAAACCAAACAAAGAAAACAAACCCTAAGCCCTGCACCCCAAAGCTCTAAACCCTAAAGCCCCAAACCCTTAAACCCTTAAACCCTTAAACCCTTAAACCCTAAACCCTAAACCCTAAACCCTAAACCCCCAAACCCCTAAACCCTTAAACCCTTAAACCCTTGAACCCTTAAACCCTTAAACCCTTAAACCCTTAAACCCTTAAACCCTTAAACCCTAAACCCTAAACCCTCAAACCCTTAAACCCTCAAACCCTTAAACCCTAAACGCTTAAACCCTTAAACCCTTAAACCCTAAACCCTAAACCCCCAAACCCCCAAACCCAAAGCCCGCAGCCCGCTGGCTGAGCCTCCACAGCGGCAGGGCTGCCGTCCTGGGAGTCCTCGAGGCTCATGGATACCCACATGAGGTTTAGGCTTCAGGGTTTAGTGGTTTAGGGTTCAGGGTTTAGGGTTTAGGGTTTAGGGTTTAGGGTTTAGGGTTTAGGGTTTAGGTTCAGGGTTTAAAATTTTGGGGTTTAGGGTAGGGTTCAGGGTGTAGGGCTCAAAGCTTCGGGTTCAGGGTCTAGGGTCTACATCAGTGGCGGCGTGGGGGGGGGGGGATGGTCGGGGTAGATCTAGGGTTCTACTCCCCAACCCCTTTTCGAGCCTCAGGGAGACACAGGGGGTTGTCCAGGGAGGCTTGACCAGGCTTCGGGTTTCTTCTGCGGGGGGGGGGGGGGGTGATGGCTTAATTCTGGGGCTGGAACCCTAAGCGATGAGGAATATACGATGATGGAGATCCAACCCCAGGGCTTGGGGTACTCAGGGTTTAGGGTCTAGGGTTTAGGGTTTAGGGTTTAGGGGCTTAGGGGTATAGGGTCTGGGACTCAGTCTGGGAAGGAATATACAACAGGCACATGAGTTCCTGAAGAACCTCGGTCCTCGATGTGTACTTCAACCTCCTCCACCACGAAGTCCGTCTCGCCCTGGCGACGATGTTCCCCTCGAACCATTAAACACCCAAACCCTGATCCCTACCCTGGAGCCCCGAGTCCCCGTCCCTGAAGGAGCGGCCGCACCAGTGAAGGACATGCAAGAACCACGTGGCCTCGGACTTCCAACTTGCCGTAATCTCACCCAAGGATCTAACACCAAAGAGAACAGAAACCGCATGTAAGAAAAGGGGCCCAAGACATTAGAATAGGATTTTGGGGATATTATAGCAGAATTATGGAGGGTAAGGGAACACTATGAATAAATAGTCCGACGCCTATACTCAAGGTTTGGGGTTGAGGGCCCCAACCCGAACCATGAGAGCCTAAAGCTGTAAAACCCCCACGCGCCGGCACGAAAGAGGGTGCCTCTCTGGAGGACGCGGAGTCCGCCGATGAATCATGGCTCCTGCACACAGTTACCCTAAACCCTAAACCCTAAACCCTGAAACCCTGAAACTCTGAGCCCTGCATAGCTGGAACTCTGGTTTCTGTGATGAGCAAATGCTCCACATGCAGCCCAGACTCGACATAGCTCACGACCAGGCCTCCGGCATGCTCCGTGTCTGGGGTTTAGGGTTTAGGGTTTAGGGTTTGGGGTTTGGGGTTTGGGGTTTGGGGTTTGGGGTTTGGGGTTTGGGGTTTGGGGTTTGGGGTTTGGGGTTTGGGGTTTAAGTACACCCTAGGGTTTAGGGTTTGGGGCTCCTTGATAGGGCTTTGGACATGCACATGCATCGCGGCCAGCCCTCGAAGTTATGGTCCAAGGCTGGTACCCGATTAAACCCTAAACCCTAAACCCTAAATCCTAAACCCTAAACCCTAAACCCTTCCAAGGCTGACCCCAGAAAGAACTCTTACTGGAGCGAGCTGCCCATGGCCATTTATGGTGAGTTCTCGACATTCTGCTCGCTTTTTGGGGGGTACCGAGAATAAGAGGGGCCCACCCTACTTGGAGGTTCATGGCACTTAGTAACTAATTATAACTGTACTTATAGCTGTACTTATAACCACTGATAGGGCACTTAAGTGGCTTATAGATTAGTTACTAAGCACCAGGAACCTCCAAGCATAGGAAGAACCCACCGAGAAGTCGCCTTGTAAAGGTTTTCGAGGCCCACACGAAATCCGAAAACGCCTATAGCTTGCAAGATTACGAGGCCTCGGGGACTAACCCTAAACCCTAAACCCTAAACCCTAAACCCTAAACCCTAAACCCTAAACCCGTTTTCTTGTAGGCCTCATCTCCTAATTAAAGGAGTCCCCACCAGGCCTGGCCATGTAAAGGGCTTCGGTTTAGGGCGGGTCTTCGGTTGCGGGCTCGACTTGAAGCTTTCGGTGTTGCTTTCTTTCGGGGGGGTTTGGGGTTGGGGTTTAGGGTTTAGGGTTTAGGGTTTAGGGTTTAGGGTTTAGGGTTTAGGGTTTAGGGTTTAGGGCTTAGGGTTTAGGGTTTAGGGTTTAGGTTAGGGGGGGGGGGGGGGGACACAAGCTGTGAATAAGCCTTTTAAACGCAGGACCCTGAACCTTGAAGAACCCGGAACACAGATCTGAAACGGGCGAGCCCCTGAGCGAAAGTCCGCGCCTTCGAAACAACAAGGTGTGGCGGAGGACGCTCGAGCACAAAACTGCTGGCGGAAGTCCCTAAACCCTAAACCCTAAATGCTAAACCCCCAACCCTAAACCCTAAACCCTAAACCCTAAACCCTGAACCCTGCTGGCCTCAGCTTGGGCTTGGGGAGTGTTGTTTTTGTCGCTTCAGGCTGAAGTTTCATATAGCTTTCGGGCACTCTTTTCGGATTAGAGTTTCTTCTTATCGCACGTCTGACTGCGATGCAGCACCGAGGCGTGTGCAGGTGGTACTCCAGCAATCTGACTTTCAAACCCAGCCTAAACCCTAAACCCTAAACCCTACACCCTAAACCCTGACCTTCAACGCTTGGACCATTTCGCCTGGTTCTTCGCTGCCAATGCTATGGATTTTGGTCACAAAGAACTTCAGGTTCCCATTGATCCGAGGCTAGGGGCTAACTATAAGGAATCATTCACTACGGGATACCCCTACCAAGTTTGACTATGGGGTTCTAGGTTTAAGAACTGAGGCCTTTAAGTATAGGCTCAACTACAGGGCAGAGTCATACACTCAAACTCATACGGCTTAGTTACAGGGTTTGGCCTCGGGGGTTCAGGATCGTTCAGGATTCCGAAGGTTTACGTCTCAAGGCCGCCCTGGCGTCCCGTCGACCCGGAGCCGTCTTTACAGTGGACTTTGAGTATTCGGGCACTCCTTGGAGGTTCACGGTACTTAGAATTAGCTGTACTTGTAACTATATGAGGGCACTTAAGGGGGATTCTCAGTGGGTTTATAAGTACAGTTATAATTGGTTCCTAAGTACCATGAACCTCCAGGTGGGTGCGACCTGGGATTGAGGTTGGGATGCTTTGCCGTAGACTCAGGGTTTAGGGTTTAGGGTTTAGGGTTTAGGGTTTAGGGTTTAGGGTTTAGGGTTTAGGGTTTAGGGTTTAGGGTTTAGGGTTTAGGGTTTAGTGTTTCAAGCTCTGTTGCTGAAACCTGACTAATAGGACCTTGGGCTGGGCATGTTCCCCCTTATACTCACACTCCTTAGCAGGGATTATACTACCCATTAGTAGCCCCTATTTCGAATCCCTATTTAGGACTGATAGCATAAGGGGGAACATCCCAATCTTCAACCCCCCTCCCTTACGGGCCCAACCTGCGTCTCCAGCAGAGAAGCCCAGTTGGCCATCGCTGGGGGAACCTCCATGGCTCTGCACTTGGGGGCGGCAGAGTTCTAGCGTTTCGTTCGCGGGCTCCGCAGCCGCTAGAAGAGAAAGCCCTAGGCAAAAAAAACAAACAAAAACTCTACGACCCCCTAGAAGCCAGCTTCTTTTAAAGGGGCACTGCCCGTCCAGGCAGGGGCTAGGAGATGAGGCCTACAAGAAAAAAATCCTACCAGCCCGAAAAGCCCCAAAAGCCCCACAGACCCTGCAAGCCCCCACAAGCCCGAAAAGTCCCCCAAGCCCCTAAGGCTACTATTTCCTTAACAACCCCCCCATAAGAATAAAAGAGCACAATCCCCAATATTGCCCTTAACGGGGTTCTTAAGCAAATAGTAGAAGGTGATCCACAAGAGGCATTCACTCACAGAGATCTCAGCGGCATCTCACTCCGAAGATTCCTTGAAATCTGGGTCCAGTTGGACCCTACACGGCTGAGATCCTCCACAGGGTGTGGGGGCAACGTTCAGCCCAGGGCCTGCTCATGACTGCCGCGCAAGAGCTTTTTTTCGTTTAGGGGCTTAGGGTTGGGGAGTTTGGGGTTTAAAGTTTAGGGTTTAGGGTTTGTGGTTTAGTTCTTTTCTTGCAAAGAGGGCTTCGGGTTGAGGGCTTTAGGGGTTAGGGTTCTCATGATCGCTTACCCTGCCGAAAAGTACCTACGCTAACCCTACCGGCCCTACCTGCGAAAAGTACCCATGGGTGTGGGCAACAGCCAGTGTAACCTAACATGCCACTACCATCACCCAAAAAAAACGGACACAACATAGCATTGACAGGGCACAGTGCCCAACAGGAAACAACACGACTTATTGGGGATGGGCTTAAGAAAGCGGAGAGAACCCACAGATAGATGCCAGAATGCAAATACTCCGGCTGGCCCCAACCGATACAATGACACCCTAAACCCTAAACCCTAAACCCTAAACCCTAAACCCTAAACCCCCAATCACTTTGCTTAAAACCACAGCTGCTCACATCTCACTCGTACGACTGGTAAGACAAGCAACTCTAAGAGGTAGATACCAAGGCTATACTATACTACTATTATTACTACGACTATTACTATTATTGCTATTGTTATTACTTTTTATTATTACTATTGTTATTACTATTATTATTACTGATATTATTACTATTATTATTAGAATTATTATTACTAGTATTACTATTATAACTATTATTATGCATTGGGTTTAGGGTTTTTGGGTTTAGGGAGTAAACATATGGGGGGGAGGGGGGTTCCGAAAATAAGGGGCCCCCTAAGCTAGACCCGCAAATAGTCGGACTCCCTTGTAATAAGGAACCCTAAACCCTAAACCCTAAAACCCTAATCGTAAACCCCCCAGCTTGACTAGTTGAACAGGCAATGTCATGGTAACTTTGTCGTCTTTGTCATCAACTCACTAAGTACATGTATACTATACGAAAAATCACAAAGGTACGTTTGCATAAACTGTGCTGCGTCAGGCCTCTAATTTCTGAATAAGTACACGACATGGAGTACTCGATCGGCATGGAAAACTCATAAGCATTTGAGCTGCAAGTGTTCACGCTGGTTTCACATATCATCTTTCTCACGAAGAATGTCTTGATCATCTGATCTGGTAAGCCTGAAAGCATCATGGGCAGGGCGAAAATTTGCCAAAACAGGCTCAACTTCGACAAATGAAGTTCAAGCTGTAACCCCCTTCCACTGCGCTCCCGCGCCCCTCTGGCAAAGAGGGACAAACAGCTGCCAACAGCGCATGGAGGTTGAGACCCTTGGCCTTAGACGAGTTTCGGGTGCTATAGGGGCGTTAGCACGACACGCAGCGCTAGTTTGGCGCTGGGAGCGCATGGCCGAAGCTTTGTACATGCCATGCTCTATACTTCCTGGCTTTCCGCAATCCACATGAATTACAGATGGGACGCCCCTGCATCTCTCGCCCCTCTGTGTCCGGAGCTGGATCGATGTACTGTACGATTCGCCGCAGGGTTTTGTCAACTTTGACATGAGGGCTGAGGTAGGCAGCACCGGTTTAGGGTGTAGGGTTTAGGGTTAATTTGCACCTGTGCGTACGCCTAAAACCCCAAGCCTCCAGCCGACTCGGTTTGTTTGGTGCTGCCTCTCCTCGCCAAGAGTTATCTTTCCTAGGGAGGAATCCGGCTTGGCGTTCTAGCTGAGTGTACGAGCTCAATGGCTTCTGCAGCACATGGAAGAAACCTTCGTGGTGATACAAGCCCATGTGCGCCGGAAACCCTTTAAAACCTAAAGCCTTCAGTTAAGCGTTTGAAGCATCTTTAAACCCCTTCCACCCTTCAACCCTTGTCTCGAAGTAGCCGCGGACTTCGTGCGCCGGTATTGAAACTGGCGGGGTCCACACCCAGGTTCGACGCAGGGAGCGTCCTGCACGGATGGAGAGCCGTTCATCGCAGTAGCACGCAAGCAGACCAAGAACGACCTTGCGTAGGCCTCAAGGGACCTTAAACCCATCGGTTCTGGTCAGATCCCGGGTCCAGACGAAGGGCTTCCCTACTTGGAGTTTCATGCTACTTAGTAACCAATTATAACTGTCTTTGTAGCTGTACTTATAGCCATATTAGGGCACTTAAGGGGCTTATAAGTGGGCCATAAGTACAGTTATGGTTGGTTAATAAGTACCATGAACCTCCAAGTACCCTTGTGCCAGGGCGGGCTTGAAGGGCGTTGGGGGGCCCGAAAGGGGCTTGAGGGTGTTGGGGTTTTGGGTTGAGGGTTTAGGGTTTAGGTTTCAGGGTTGAGGGTTGCGGGGACTTTTAAACGCTTCCGAGGCAGAGGCTTTTGCGAGAGTCCGACAATGCAGTCGCATCCCCGTTAGCCCCCTGAAGCCCAAAACAAAACAGCTCATGTTAATTTACTGCACAACTCACCAAAATATTCCTTAACCCTATTAAGCCCTAAACCCTAAACTCCGCGAACCAAACTCGATGCCTCGGATAACTGAACCCTAAACTCTCGGGAGCCTGGATCAAAACCACGCTGACGCACCCATCGGGGTTTGGCTGGGCTGAGGGTTGATACCTGGGAGGGAAAGCCCTCGGCCCCCAGGCTGACAGGGTTTAGGTTTAGGGTTTAGGGTTTAGGGTTTAGGGTTTAGGGTTTAGGGTTTAGGGTTTAGGGTTTAGGGTTTAGGGTTTAGGGTTTAGGGTTTAGGGTTTAGGGTTTAGGGTTTAGGGTTTAGGGTTTAGGGTTTAGGGTTTAGGGTTTAGGGTTTAGGGTTTAGGGTTTAGGGTTTAGGGTTTAGGGTTTAGGGTTTAGGGTTTAGGGTTTAGGGTTTAGGGTTTAGGGCCCCAAAACCCGGATGGCGGGTCAGGTTCGTTGCGCAGTTTTAAGGATGTGCATGGGACCACTTGAAGGCAACCCTAAACCCTAAACCCTAAACCCTAAAACCCTAAACCCTAAACCCTAAACCCCTAAAACCCTAACACTCTAAACCCTAAACCTTGAAACCACCCCCGGAAGCTCCATCCCTGCAAGGCCTTTTCATCCAACCTTGGGGGAGTTGCATGGTCCCTTAGTATGGGCCCCTAAAAGCACAAGGCGGGGGGGGGAGGGGGGCCCCTGCATCGGACACCCTCAAGAAACCAAAACCCTTTTGGCTGTTTCGGGTTTAGGGCTTAGGGGGTTACATTTAGGGTATAGGGGTTTAGGGTTTCGGGTTTAGGGTTTAGGGTTTGGGGTTTAGGGTTTAGGATTTAGGGTTTAGGGTTTAGGGGGTTGAATTTAGGGTATAGGGGTTCGGGGCTAGGGGTTTAGGGCCCTGGGCCTGCGGGAAGAGGCTGGGACAGCGGGACCGGCTGGCCTGCCCATGGGCTGACTTGGGGAGGGCATAGAAACTGGGCGACCGCTGGGAACTGTAAGGGTCCCAGAAGTCTTGAAACCACTCACCAGTGAATAGATATATATATATATATATATATACACTCAGGGTTTGTGGTTGAGGGTTTGGGGTTTTGGGGGTTTAGGTTTTAGCGTAGTTTAGGGTTGAAGGTTTTATGGGGCGTGACAGTGTGTTGTGTCGAGGGTCTGAGGGAGGACTTCGGGAGTTGGCGGGCTCTGCATGTTGAGTGGTGAACCTCCACATGCCCAAAAAACCTCAAAAGCTTTACTGGAAACCCACCCACGCAGCCAGCAGCCTTCGCTGGCCGAAGAATCGGCGTCCGGCGAAGGCGTTTCCACCTACACGCCGTGGCGCTAACCCCAAACCCTAAACCCTAAACACTAAACCCTAAACCCTAGGGATGTGGGCACACTTGCATGGTGAGGTTTCCACAGGCATCTTGATGAAGGTACCTATAACTCGACTTACAACTACCCCTGAGCCCTGCTCCCTGTACCCCGCTTCTATACTTTCACCACCCTAAACCCGAAAACCCGAAACCCGAAACCATAAACCCTAACCCTAGCCCTTGGACTTTTGGGCTTTATAGAAGGGGCTTTAGGATGAGGCGGGACTCGGAGAGAATGCGCATTCCTACCACTAGTTACCCCAAGAGGGGCCTTCCAGCTACTCCCCAAAAGAGGGGAACCTTTCGGGTTTCGGGTTTCGGGTTTAGGATGGTTTAGGGTTTATTTAGGGTTTAGGGTGTAGGGTTTAGGGTTTAGGGTTTAGGATTTAGGGTTTAGAGTTTAGGGTTTAGGGTTTAGGGTTTAGGGTTTAGGGTTTAGGGTTTACGGTTTAGGGTTTAGGGTCCTTGAAACCCTAACACCCTCAGACCCCTAAAACCGCCCGGCTGGCAGCGGGAGCGAGGTCCGCCTGCTCGGCTACGGCCGCCTCGGGGGTGACCACCTCGGCAGAATTTAGGGTTGGTTTAGGGTTTAGGGTTTAGGGTTTAGGGTTTAGGGTCTAGGGTTTAGGGTTTGGGGCTTGGGGCTTGGGGTCTAGGGTTTGGGGTTTGGGGTTTGGGGTTTGGGGTGCAGGTTTGGTGATTCAGGGCTCAGGATTCAGGGTTTAGGACTCCAGGCGTAGGGTGCAAGGCTTAGGGCTGGGTCTTTTCTTTTGCGAAAGTAGGTGTACCTTCTTGGGGTCCTGATTCTACGGGGATCCTACTATTTGGGGACCTCTATTCTAGGGGCTCCTATGTTCGTAAACCCCCGTATGACTAGCGGGCACCGGCTCACCAACCTTCAGGGTCCCCGGGCCGTGATCACGGGCAGGCCGCGCGAAGGCCCGCGCAGTGGAGGGACCTCGAGAGGTAGCCAGTGACCCTGCCAAATTAAGATCATATTACCCTAAACCCTAAACCCTCAACCTAAGATCATATTATACGTATTTGATATCATGGGTAGGAGAAAACAGGCTCAGTTGGCTGAATTCGTTTGCTTTGGGTTCGAGTTTCGAGCTTTGGGTTTCGGGCTTGCGAAGGGCCCTACACAACACCCGCGCCCGTGTGGGTCCTACACCGCTCCTGCCCTGAAAGAGCCTAAGCCGGAAAATCCGGGGAGAAGAGCTGCTTCCCGACAAATATGCCGCTGAGCTGGCGGCCCGCCCGAATAGCCCGACCCTAAACCCTAAACTCTGAATCCTGCGCAATGGAAAGTATTACCTCAGAGCCCGGGGCTTCTCTAAAGTGTGGCATGAGCGCTGGGCGTGGTCTTGGGGTAGGGCTTATGCTATTGTTGTTATTAATATTATTATTACTCATACCATGACTATTCATATTATTAGTAATATTATTGTTGCGATTATTGCTATTTTTGATTACTGCTGTTGTGATTATTATGAGTACATGAATTATTTTGCTATCCGTATTATTATTGTGATTACTGACCACAAAATTATTACTGTTAACGTTATTATGATTTTGTCTCCTTGCGTTGAAAGCAATCCTTCCAGGTACTTTGCCGCGCCTTTGACTGGTCGAAGGCCAGTTGGTAAACGTCCTGCAGGCAGTCGACTTGAGAGGCTTAGAGCATGGTTTCGGGTTTAGGGTTTAGGGTTTAGGTTTTAGGTTTTAGGGTTTAGGGTTTAGGGTTTAGGGTTTAGGGTTTAGGGTTTAGGGTTTAGGGTTTAGATCTTGGGAGTTCCTCGTTGAGTTCGAGCCAAAGAGGGCTTTTCTAGAACGGCCTCGTTGCAACGCTTAGAGTTTGGATTTGAAAGCCCTCAGATTTGGAGTTCCTGGTTGAATTCGAGCCTGGGTCGGGCGGAGAACCATACACTAGCTTGAGGCACGGCACCCGGCAGGCTACAGACTCATGGAACCACCCCTGCTCCTCCGAGCATCTTGCAAGCGACTGCCGTACAAGCGCCCACCCCTGAACACGTTGGCTCAACCGCTCAACCTAACACCCGAACCCGAGAAACACTTCCCCTTAACAAGTGGGGGCTTACGAAAATGGGGGACCTCTGATCTAGACCCCAAAATAGTAGGATCCCCTGATAATACGGACCCAAATAAGGTACCCCTGATTTCGGAAGCCGCCAAGTCTCCCTGAATCGGGACCATAGTAATTATTCCGACCCCTACAGTAGGACCTGAATCCCCCCCTTTGCAGAGCCCCCGAGACAGGCCAAGGTGCGTCGTAGTGGTCGACAAAGTGGGCTGTCAAACCTGCACCTTGGTGGCGGGAACCCTCAACCCTCAACCCTCAACCCTAAACCCGAAACCCTAAACCCTCAACCCTCAAGCCTAAACCCTAAACCCTAAACCCTGACCCTAAACCCTAAACCCGAAACCCTAAACCAGTGGGAGGTTGGCAGTGGGAGGTTGGAACCGGCTCGCAGATTCCTTTGGGGTTTGGGGTTTCGACCGATTTCGCGGCATACTCCAAGGTCAATGGGCACTTCTGAAAAGAGTGGTTTGTTAATTAAGTAGGTTTATCATACTTGTTTCCCTTATTCAAGAGTGTTTTTTTAATTAAGTAGGTTTATCATACTTGTTTCCCTTAGTCAGATGCACAAAAGACCCAACTTAGAAGTGGTGGGATGCTTCGGGGCCTTTGGAGCGTAGGCAGCCCTGAACCGGAAACCTTTCTGTGTAAACCTAAAAGCTCTAAACCCAAACCTAACCCCGGCAAGACCTACAAACCCGACATTCAAGCCTTCAGCCCTATGAACCCTAAACCTTACACCTCAAACATACCTTAAACATAGAGGCTTCCGAATCCTCTTCGAACATTGTCTCGGGTGTGGCAGGTGATCTGCTCAAGCACTCAAACGCTGAGGCTGCCGACGGAGGTAGTCTTTGAGCTCCATGAAGTCAGCCTTCATACTGCTGTAAACTACTAATTGCTCTGCTTAAGAACCCCAAAAAAATGGAAATAGGCTTCCTTATGAAGGGTAACATAGGGGGTTCTTAAGCAAATAGTAGTAAACAGGCCCGTCAGCAATCCTAGGCTTACAGTACCATGGCTGCAGAGTCTTCCGGCCTCGTTCTGCCGTGGGAGTAAGAGAGTTTTCACTCCCTCGCGACGCGCAGCTATGACCTGTCATGTGTCTTAAGGCCTTGTTTCGCAGCTTGCAGTGAGAAAGACAGAGAGGGAGAGAGAGAGAGAGGGAGAGACAGAGAGAGCGAGGGAGAGGGAGTGCTGAACTGACACTGAACTGACACTTGGGCCGCACCTTCTCCTTGATGCCGCCCACTTTGAGAACCTCCAACTCACGCGCCCACGGCTTCCAGCGCGGAGGAAAGATGAACTCAACGCGGCTCTGCACACTTTGATGAATGGACCCCCTGCCTTTCCACTTTCTTGGGGGGGGGAACGGAGGATGTACATTAATTTGGGCATGAACCGCTGATTTGGCTGAATATTCTCTGTGGGAAGCATGGCAGGGCGAATCTGCCTTGCCCATCAGCGTCAGCTCCCCTGTCATGGCGATATCATCCTGGGAGAGCAGAGGATGTGCTCAGGTCATGATGGACATGAGCCTTATCGTACTTCGTCAAGGTCATTTTGAGGCCTCTGGTTTGAGGTCGGCTTGAGAGAGTCGCAACGTTTAAGGAGCTTTGTGGTAAGGTCTTCGGCTGAGTTCGTGGGGTTCCCTCTTGGGGATTTCGGGGGTGGGGGGGGGGGGGTGGGGGGGCGGTCCTTTTATGAGGAATTTCAACGTATCAAAAGGAATCGACCCCGAATCAATACCCCGTCCAAAACGACTGGACCACTTGGGGTTTCCGAATTTGGGGGGTGCCCTATCTGGGGATGTTTTTCGCACCCTAAACCCTAAACCCCAACCCTAAACCCTAACCCTATATATAACCCCTAGCCCCTAAACCCTAACCCCTAGCCCCTAAACTAAGTGAGGGGTCGCTTCTGTCGAGCGACAGACCCCGAACACTCGGCCGAGGGCCTCACAGCCCGAGCGCCCAAGCAAAAAGAGAAACGGAAGGGTTAAGTCTCACCGTCTGTCCTGGACAGGCCTTTTTTACGACAACAGCACTCGGCTAAGGGTTTAGGGTTTGCCCCGGGCCCCCCTGCCGGAGGCCCCTGCCCCTCATAGCTGGATTCCCTGGACGGGGGTCCGTCAAGGGGGTTCAGGCAGGCCGGCCCGAAAAGGGCCGAGGCTAGCGCGAACCCCAGCTTCAACCCTAGCCGCAACTTCAAAAAGTACTCATTGGCGAAAAAATCAAGGGGTTTCCCTGACCTTCAAATGAATAAGGGCCTCTACGGGCCCAGACACGCCGAAGGCCCGAAAAGGGCCGAGGCTAACACTGCTTCGGTGCACAAGGAAATAGATTCAAGAAACCCTAAACCCTAATGGAGTATAGTTTGGGTGGTCGGGGTGGGTTGACAAGCAACGCAAGCGCGCAGCCCGGGGTGTTTCACACCCGAGACACACCCTAAACCCTGAACCCTGAACCCTCAACCCTCAACCCTCAACCCTCAACCCTCAACCCTAAACCCTAAACCCTAAACCCTAACCCCCCCCCCCCAACTTCAGCAATCACCAAGGCATTGGCCACCAGGGCCGCGTTGACGGCGCTACTTACCAGGGCACTGGTCCTTGGCTTCTCTTCTGCGGCGTGGGGTTTAGGGAGGGTACAGTAGGGCTTCGGGGGTCGTTCGTAGTTTGTGGGCATGACCCGGCTTAAGGAGGTCCACAGTCTGCAGGCAACACCCCGGGCCGGGGATTCTTGCGGCTACAGCTGAGATTAGAACACCTCTCCCGAACATGGAAAGAACGTCCTTGACCCTTGCTCGTGCTTGCCACAATGGCCTTTACGACTCGGAAAGTATACTTGGAGGTGTACTTAGTAACCAATTTATCACTGTACTTTTCACCCACTTATAAGCCCCCCCCCTAATGTGGCTATAAGTACAGTTGTAAGTACAGTTATAGTAACAAATTATCACCCACTTATGAGCATAAGCCCCCTAATGTGGTTGTAAGTACAGTTGTAAGTACAGTTATCATTGGTCATATTGGTTGATCAGTACTATGAAGCTCCAAGAAGGAGACCACCAGTCGCCTCAAACATCCTTAGCCCGTCAACGAAGAGCCTATACTCCCCTTAGAACCAGAATACAAGTAATAATATTCTTAAAATCCTCTTGGGTTTTATATAAACATAAAATAAAATAAAATAAAAATAAAATAAAACAATTCCCAAGGGGGATATAGGAGCTAGTTAAGGGCACCAAGCGTCATCGTCACCCCGGCCGAAGGGCCATCCTGGCAAGAGACTGCTGAGGTCCGATAGGACCTATGCCGGGGTTGGGGTCACGGTCAGGATTTGGGGGGGCTACAAAAGTTTAGGGTTTGGGGTAGCCCGAAACCCTAAACCCTAAACCCGAAACCCTAAACCCTAAACCCTAAACCCTACACCCTACACCCTACACCCTTAACGGAGCTGCAGGTTCTTTCGGCCCTTTTCCAGGCCCAAGTGTGGCAGGCCCGAGAGCTCCAGAGTCTCTGAGACAACCATGACCTCCAAACTCTGAATACTCAGCACTAAACCTTGAACACCCCTAAACCCTAAACCCTAAACCCGAAACCCTAAACCCTAAACCCTAAACCCTAAACCCGAAACCCTAAACCCTAAACTCTTCAAGCCAACAGTGGCTCCAGCCTTTGGCGTGGCTCCCTCGGGCACATGGAGGTGGATGCTGGCGGTGTCCAGAAAGGTGTTGCTGGAGTCCAACCTCCAGTGGTTTAGGGTTTAGGGTTTAGGATTTAGGGTTCAGGGTTTAGGGTTAGGGTTAATATAGGGGCCTTAGTAAGTACAGCAGGGCTTTGTTGGGGGGGGGGGGGGGGGGCTATTTTAGTATATTCATAAGGGACTCCAAGGGAATACCATTAGTAATCATTCCGACCCCTATATTGGGGTGCCGGGTTCAGGATTGAGCAGGGTTGAGGGTTTAGGATCTAGGGCTTGACTGGTTTGTCACAAGCCTTGATTGTTCGGGGGAGTGGGGTGCGTGTCGGACTGTGATTTCTTTGATCTGACAAGCAAACGCCTCTACTGAACTCTGGACGCTAAAGTACCAAACCGCCAGCAGCACTGTTTTGAGGGCGAGCGCAAGACCTGTCACCTCAACGACCTTGTTCTGAAACAGGCGCTGGTGCTTTCACGTCCCCGAAGCCAGCCTGCGCATCCTGACTGCCCTAAACCCGAAACCCTAAACCCTGGGGTGCTGGGATCGCGGCTCCCGCATGAAGAGCCGAGCATACGTCAGCGAGATTGAGCTGGACCTCAGGGCGGAAGGCTTCGGGCTTAAGGCGCCCCCTGAGGCGGAGGTCTCTGCAGTTGCTAAGCACACGGGCTCGCTCATCACGCTGCCCAGCTGCCCGGTGACCTGCCATGTTAGGTCCAGGAGGCTCAAATCTTGGCTGCACTCAGGAGGGTAGCTATAAATTAAACTTTTAGCTGCCTTAATAAGAAACCCAATAAACCCAAAAAAGGTAAGGATCTAAAGTTACAGTAAAGTACCACAAAGAAATTTCCCATTCAAGCGACACGCCCAGGAATCTGGTACGGAGAAAACACCACGCAGGGTACTTTGGGGGGCTTGGAAGGTCTTGAAAGAATGTTGTGGAGGCTTGCGGTGTCAAGCGAGCTAGGAGCGGATGCAGCAGCGCTGATTTTTTTCCGGCGCCCGCGTCATGAAGCACGCAATCTGTAAACAAAGGCTTGCAGTGTGCGTCATTTCTGGTAGACTCTCTTCACTGCAACGTTGATGAGCAGGGTCTTGTCCATGAGGCCACCCTTGTTGTCCATCACCTTACTCTTGGCTGGTAGGGAATGAGGAACTGAGGTACCCTATATCCCCTATAGAAACCTTTTAAGGGTACACCCTAAACCCAAAACCCAAAACCCTAAACCCTAAACCCATCATTCCCTACTAACCAACAGTAAGTCACAAAGTCAAGGGCTCGGTTCCCACCAGCAGTCGTCGGTCTTGGCTCGAGCTTGTGCTCCTCATCGTAACCTGAAATGATATTTATGAGAATAAGAAGAAGAAGAATGATGATGATGATGATAATGATAATAATAAATATAGCTATTAATTATAATTCTAATTATCATAGTAAAAAGAGTTGGCCCTCGAAAACCCTGTGAAGGTGGCTTCTGAAAGATCATCCCCTGAAGCCCCATAAGGGGGAAGCAGAAAATGTGCCGAGGTCCTACCTGGGAGCTCAACTCCACGGGAACGATCAACTGCCGAATTCCGCCTTCGTGCATCCCCCGGACACCCTCATCGATCCCCTTGATGACTTTGCCATCACCCACGCGGAAGCGCACGGGGTCGGGGTCTATGCCGGACATCTTCTGTAAGGTCCGCGTCTCAAACGGTCGCCCGAAGTAATTGATAGTGTAGCCCTCCCAAGTAAAAACTACGTAGTCGCCCTCTTTGGCCGCAGGCATGCCGACTCTGCCAGGATCGGCATCTTTGATCTGCAAGCCACTGGGCAAAGGGGTAAAGTCGGGCATCTTGGTACGTTTCTTCGCCAGGGAGCCTTTCAGCCGATCCATCTTCTCGTAACCCAGATCCACATTCTCGCCCTCAGCAACCGCGGGGAGTTCTCCTAGAAGGGACGCGGCAAACCACTGCAGCGTCATGCTTCGGCGTCTGCTTGCAGCTCCTGCTTCAAGAAATGCGGATGATGAGTCCGAAAAGCAGCTGAAGAGCAGAGCCAGGCACGCCAGCGCAAGTCTCCAGGGCCTCCATCGCCTCTTGGTGCCACTTTGGGCACCCCGCATCGCCATCCCGCAGCACAACTTCTCCAGAAGTGCTTGGCCCCCGGAGCATGCAAGACATGCAAGAGCAACAAGCTGGGCTTCCAGGACAGGTTTAGGGTTTAGGGTTTAGGGTGTAGGGTTTAGGGTTTAGGGTTTAGGGTTTAGGGTTTAGGGTTTAGGGTTTAGGGTTTAGGGTTTAGGGTTTAGGGTTCAGGGTTTGGGGTTTGGGGTTTAGGGTTTAGGGTTTAGGGTTTTGGGTTTGGGGTTTAGGGTTTAGGCCATCCCCAAGAACACCACTCAGAACCTCCTGCCATCCCATGTCCCAGCAAGCAGCTCCCGAGCGATGGCACCACGAGCCGACTCACAAAAGCCTGATGCCAAAGGCAGAAACATGACTCGAAGAAACACCGGGAACTCCAAACTCCAGACTCCAGACTCCAAACCCTAAACCCTACACCCTACACCCTAAACCCTAAACCCTAAACCCTAAACCCTAAACCTAAACCCTAAACCCACTTCCAAACCACCGGCTGGCGCCTGCATGTGGCCGCGCGCGGCGCCATTCTGCGGCTGCTCGGGGCTTGGATGCTTCTCCTGATGGTGGTGCCAAGTGACCGCATGGAAGCAAAAGAACTTACGCAACCCGACGCAGGGTCATACTGTAGGTATATATAAATACATATGAAAACATGGATCTTTAGGCGGGGTACCATGTATATATCTATATATATATATGTGTACATACGTGGTGCATCTTACCGTTCAGGGTCTCAGGGGTGGGTTACAAGGACCTGGAACCTACAACTTGCATGAGCTTCTGTGAGGATCGGCTTGTGGGCTTTGGGGTTGAGGGTTTTGTGTTTAGGGTTTAGGGCTTATAGGGTTTAGGGTTTAGGGTTTAGAAACCCAAAACCCCCAAGGGTCACGCACCTCGTGCTGGGTCAGGGACGCCATGCCGCCCTGCACCCTCGCCAAGATTGCCAGGTCGGGATGACGGTTCGGGGTTTGGGGTCTGGGGTTTGGGGTTTGGGGTTTAGGGTTTAGGGTTTAGGGTTTAGGGTATGGGGTTTCCCTCCTGGTTCGTAGTAGGGAATCAGGGCATGAGGTACTCCATGTAATTCCTTAAAGGGTATTTGCAGGGCCCTAATTCCCTCATTCCCTACTAAGAACCAGCCAGGTTTGGGGGAATCGGGGGTGTAGGCTTGTGTAGTTAAGTGGCTGAGTGGTTGGGACGTGGGGTTTCAGGCGGGGGTTCTTTGCACCTTTGGGGCGTGGTGCTTTGGACCCAAGCCTTCAACCCTACTTCTCGGACAAGTAAAGATTCTTGACCTGAACCTCAGAAACCCAGTGCCGGCGCCTCCCGTCGGGCAAACGACCTCAGCACATTGCCGTCATGAATGACAAGGCCCGGGCTTAGGGTTAGGGTTTCGGGTTCAGGGTTCAGGGTTCAGGGTTCAGGGTTCAGGGTTCAGGGTTCAGGGTTTAGGGTTTAGGGTTTAGGGTTTAGGGCTCAGAGTTCGAGATTTTCATTGCCCATGCTTCGAGGAGCAGAATGATTGCTCAGCCCCAGTTGCAGCTAGGCTTGCGAAAGCTGAACCATGCTTCCTCGCTGCCACGAGGACTTTCAAGCAGCCGCGCCATTAAATGGGTTTAGGGTTTAGGGTTTAGGGTTTAGGGTTTGGGGTTTAGGGTTTAGGGTTTAGGGTTTAGGGTTTAGGGTTTAGGGTTTAGGGTTTAGGGTTTAGGGTTTAGGGTTTAGGGTTTAGGACCCTCCCTGCCGCATTCTGAGCCACCCGTACAGTCGCTATATCAAACTTGTGTACCCCCACAACCTCGATAACGACCCACAGCCTCGAAACACCCCAAGCCCTAAACCCGAAACCCTAAACCCTAAACCATAAGCCCTAAACCCAAAACCCAAAACCCTAAACCCAAAACCCTAAACCCTAGACCCTAAACCCTAGACCCCAAACCCTAAACCCTAAGCCCACCAGATTCGCAGGGGTCCCGGCCGCGGGCTTCCACGTACAACGTGGCGCCTCCGCTGGCCGTCCAGGCCAGGCCTGGGATTAGGGTTTAGATGGGTTTAGATGGGTTTAGATGGGTTTAGATGGGTTTTTGGGTTTAGATGGGTTTAGATGGGTTTCGATGGGTTTAGATGGGTTTAGGGTTTAGGGTGTAAATGGGTTTAGGGTTCTAGGGTTTAGATGGGTTTAGATGGGTTTAGATGGGTTTAGATGGGTTTAGATGGGTTTAGATTGGTTTCAGATGAGTTTAGATGGGCTTCAGATGGGTTTAGTTGGGTTTAGGGTTCAGGGTTAAAGTTCCTTAACTTGAGCGTGTCAAGATGGTGCAAGCGCTTTAAATTAAAGATAAAGCGCTGCTGGGAAACTGTCCTGCTGCAAGTGCCCTGAGCCCTTGTAAGGTTTAGGGTTGTGGGTTTGGGGTGCCCAACCCGAGACCCCAATGAACCCAAGCAGGACCCTAAACCCTAAACCCTAAACCTTAAACCCTAAACCCTAAACCTTAAACCCTAAACCCTAAACCTTAAACCCTACACCCCTAAACCCCTAAACCCCTAAACCCCTAAACCCCTAAACCCCTAAACCCCTAAACCCCTAAACCCCTAAACCCCTAAACCCCTAAACCCCCAAAACCCCTAGACCCCAAACCACACTTCGAAGCCACCAGAGGCACGGGCCCATAACCACGCCAGGCGGAGTGCCCGCCGAGTAGAGCTTGTCGGACATGTGCAGCCTGGGTTCCGCGGGTAGCTACAGTTTGCAGCCCTAAACCCTAAACTCTAAACTCTAAGCCCTAAACCCTAAACCCTAAACCCTAAACATTCAAGCAAGGGGGGCTCGGAGGGCTTGGGCTTCAACCCGTCTTACAGGGCTGCGTAGTGGACCGGCCCAGGAAAAGGTTGCAGGGGGATGTCCCCCGTTTCTTCTGGAACAATGGCAAGCCTGTGCAAAGCTTCGCTGTTGGGCTTTTCACTGTTTGTGAAGACCCCCACGTGCATCAAACCGAAGGTACTTACAACCATACTACGGGTAGGGCACTTAAGAGGCTTATAAGTGGGTGATAAGTACAGTTACCCTAAACCCTAAACCCTAAACCCTAAGTACCATGAACCTCCAAGGCAGCTCTTGTGTACACCGGCTCATTTGTGCCTCCTCTCGTGAAAGGAATCGATTCGCTTGGCCGCCTGTACACGAAGGGCCTGGAATGTGCGGCTTCAGGCAGCTTCCCACAGGCTGCATTTCACAGCAAACCCTAAACCCTAAACCCTAAACCCCAAACCGATATAAAAACTCAGAACGCATACGCTATAACAGATGCATCTGGACAAAGTGTGCAAATATGGATACGGAATAGATATAGATACAGACGTAGAAACATTGTAGTTTGTAAAAATGTGAACAGATAACACATATATAGATGTCCGTGTATATATGTACATACATAATGTAGGTAGATAAGACATGACATACAAATACCCATATGTGCCTATAGAATTTTTCAATACAGAGTGACAAGCTTGCGGCCGCTAGCAAGATGCGTAGGAATGTATTGATAAACCGATGAAGAAAGACGTAGACAAAAAACACAAAAAGAGGAATATAAACCACGATCCATAGATGAATGGGTGCATACATATATGTCTCTATATATATATACATGTGAAGAATGATATATACATATATACATGTATACACATATACATATATACATGTATACATATATACATATATACATATATACATATATACATATATACATATATACATATATACATATATACATATATGCATATATACATATATACATATATACATATATACATATATACATATATACATATATACATATATACATATATACATATATACATATAAACATATATATATATATATATACATATAAACATATATATATATATACATATATATGCAGATTTTTCCGAAGCCATACCGTGAATCGACTGTACGTCAACTTGAAATATATGCAGATACAGAGGTGTATAGATATAGAGATATGGAGATATAAAGACCTGGATATATGGAGATCTCGAGATTGATGAACAAAGACATGATCTGGATTTTTATTGAGCTTTTAAGGCTGATGGAGAGATGCCCAACTCCAATTTCGGCCCTAATGTTGGACTGCTTTTAGTATAAGGAGGGTCTATAATCACAAGTTTCGAAAATTTATTCAGCGAACCGAGTTTGTTCAGGGTACCCGCTATAATCACAAGTTTTTTCCGGACGTTTTTTTTTTTTTAGGGCTTGTGTTTTGGGTTAAGAGCTTTCGCAGTAAGGCTTGAAGCCCTGAGGGCTTGGGCTCCAGGAACCTTAAAGAGCCAGAGCGCGGAGAATCCAGAAATCTAAGCCCGGCCAATCCCATGTAAAGCCTAATGGAAATTCATTACGAAACGAGGCCCCAAACAAATTTTGTGATAGGTAGCCCACGGGCCGGTCAGACTGTTTTTAGTAAGTTTGTCTGGCTACCCTCTATAATACCAAGTTTTTTTCGGATGATTTCTTTTTGAGGGTTTGTGTTTTGGGTTAAGGGCTTACGCAGTAAGGCTTGAGGCCCCGAGGGCCTTGGGCTCCAGGAATCTTAAAGGCTGGAAAGCTTCAGGCCTTGAGGTCCTAAAGGCTTGAGGCCCTGAGGGCGGTCCCCCCCCCCCCCAATTTGTTTGGGGGGGTCGCCGGGCCACGCGTTTATAGAGGGTCCAAATTTGTTTGGGGGGGGGGGGGGGGGGCCCCATACTAAAGACAGTGCAACATTAAACCCTTCGAAGGCGTGAAAAACTTGTAGGGTTTCAGGAAAGCCAAAGCCTTGTGGCGGATTTTTGGTCCTGCAGGAGGCTGCTAAAATTCTGCCGCGCGCGCGCGCGTCCGCGGCCCCGCTGAATCTGCAAGTTTGGGGGCAGCAGGCTGAGTCTAGAGCTCAGGCTTGATCGGGTGTATGAGGCTAAGGGTGTTTGATTTTGGGTTGTGGGCTTTAGGGGTTAAGGCGAATTGGCTTCTATTCCCCTATCTAGTCCCGTTTTTGGAGTGCCCCTTTTCCCTTGTCGGGTGAGTCACACGGCTGGGGGGAAGGGGGATTGGTTGCTTCATCTTGTTTGATGTCTTGCATATCAACAGAGCCTTCTAGCCACGTGTCATCACGACAAGCGGACAAGTAGACTAAGGCTGTGCCGCGGTGAAACGAGAGGATCATGGAAGGCGTCCCACTGTCTTTAGTCTATACACATGCCTAACCCTTAGACTTCCTAAGCAGGCGAGGGGTCTTGGGGCCATGATCGCATCGCTGGCCAGCATGCATCTTCCCAGTTCGGTCCAGGTCTTATGAAGGTGAGGTTTGCGTGGCCTCTAGGGCCTCTACACTCCAGGGGCGCTATACTCAAAGGCTTCTTGCTGAAGATGCACGTGCCACGGGAGATGCTGTACGTCTCACGTCTCCCGCGAGAGGATGCCCCTTCTTCGCCTTCTTCGCGCACCCGAGCCGTCACTAGCCTTTGCCGGCGCCCTTCGCCTTCTTCATGATGCCCATCAGCACATCCTTGCGCTTGTCCTCCTTCACCGCGTCCAGGATGGCCATGATCTCGGAGATTGCGTCGTCCACCTGAGAATGCTGAGGGCTCTCACAAGATGTGCTACGGTCTACAGCTACACAGGTCACTGGGCCCCGGCTGCAGTCTCTTGATATGTTAAGTAAGGCTTGAGACTTCTCAGCAAGCAAGACGACAAGTCGCTTGCTGAGGAACATGGCATGGAAGCACGTTGTGAGACGGAGTAAAGCGGCGCAGCCAAGACAGAACGTCAAAACCACGCGCCTTCTTTTCCTTCGTCTCCTCCTCGCCATCTGCGGCACCATCGGCTCCTGCACCTTAAAAGAATCAGGAGATGCAACTTAGCAAGGAGAACGAGGAAATCACAACCCAGCGCTCCAATCACTGACCACACAACGCCCCCATGCCCAGCCCGAAACGCCAAAATAGGCCGACAAGCCCGAGAAACCCGACACACACTACTAAGTGCCCTCAAGCCCAAAAAAGCCTGAGTCTACATAAGCCCCAAACCCGAGGGGCCTTGCAGCTGTCGAGCAATCATGGTGGCGTAGCGGCCCTCCTCCGCGTGCCCCCCTCTTGAAGGCTCATGGGTGGTGATAATAAGTAGGGTTTTCACCCTAAACCCTAAACCCTAAACCCTAAACCCTATAGTTCTTACAGGCTGTAGGCTTCTGTGTTGGGGTACTTAGAGCCCTACCCAAAAGTACCCGCGAGCTTCCAAGCATGGATCCATGCCAGGCACCCCGAACCTTGAACCTTAAACCCTAATAACTAATAACCCTAAACCCTAAACCCTAAACCCTAATCCTGGAACCCCGAATCCCTAAAACCCTAGAGCCCGAAAATTCTAGCAGATTATGACCGTATAGTATGTTGCTATTCTATTTGTCTATTAGACCGCTGGGATATTATTTCTACGATAATATTCTACGATTGTACCAAAATACCGTTGTAGTATTGTACCATTCAACTACAATACTACTATACAATTGTACTGCTATACTATGCTACTACTATACTATTACACTATTACACTCTTCACTATTGCACTATTACACTATTACACTATTACACTATTACACTATTGTACTATTGTACTATTGTACAATTATACTATTATACGATTATACGATTATACGACTATACTATTCTACTACTATACTATTGTACTATTGTACTATTATACTATTATACTAGTATACTATTCTACTATTATACTATTATACTATTATACGATTATACGATTATACGATTATACTATTATACTATTGTACTACTATACTACTATACTATTATACTATTATACTATTGTACTATTATACTATTATACTATTATACTATTATACTATTATACTATTATACTATTATACTGTTATACTATTATACTACTATATATTGTGCCATTGTACTATTGTACTGGTGTGCTGTGTTAGAGCATACCATCTGAGTATCATGCTATTATACCATCATACGCCCATATTACGACACAGTCACATCATTATCGGATGGTATCAGTATATCATCTTATTCTACTGCTATTTATAACATTATGATTACTTCACTTTTGCTTTGTTTCACTCTGGTCTTTTTGCTTTTTTGTCCTTACTACAAGGGAATCCTACTACTTGGAGATCTATGTTGGGGTCCCCTATTTTCGGAAACTCCCATACAGCTACCCTACTGATGGCCCTAGCTGCGAGCACCCTTAAAAACCTTTGCAAGTCGGTTCTGCGTCCAGGGGGGAAAGTTTCAAGGGACATCCACCGCTGCTGAGCATGCAGGGCTTTTAGGCTTCTGTAGCCCTAAACCCTAAACCCTAAACCCTGAACCCTAAACCCTAAACCCCTTTAGGGCTTCAGGTCCCAGTTCTTTAGGTCGTGAGGTTCGAGCAGGAGGGACAAGTGGTGTGAAAGACGCTTGCTCATTTCGGGTTTAGGGTTTAGGATTTGGGATTTCACGACGGCGATCCTTGATCTGCAGCAGCTCCTCATGCGTGCCCTGCTCAACAACCAGACCTTAGACGCCAACGATCTGCCACGCCCATGGATTCTCCAGCTTTTTGGGTTTAGGGTTTTGGGTTTTGGGTTTAGGGTTTTGGGTCTAGGGTTTAGGGTTTAAGGTTTAGGGTTTAGGGTTTAGGGTTTAGGGCATCCTGGGTCTGAAAATGATGACCTCAACGGAGCACCTTCGTGCAGGACGATGATGCGGTCCGCGTCCTTGATGGTCGAGAGCCGGTGGGCAATGACCATGATGGTGCCTGAGTGGCTCACTCCCAGTTTGCAGCCTACGGCAGTGGCCCAGCGTTCTCAGGGAAGTGGTAACTCATAAGAAAGACCTACCGAAGGAGCGACGGCGTAGAGGGTTGAACAATAGGGTGCGGGAGTCCAAATGCCGTGAACTCCCGACGCCTCCACGACCCGCGGGGCCGCCGAGAAATGACTTGAGTCCAGAGAGCAAACCCTTTAGGGTTTAGGTTGTAGGGTTTAGGGTTTAGGGTTTAGGGCAAAACCCTAAAACCTTAACTCTAGAACCCTGAACATCCTACACACACTAAACACTGAACCCTCACACCAAATTCCAAAAAACCCTGGAGCCCCTTCGCCAAGGCACATGTCCCCTGCATCTGATGCATCAGCGAGTCAAGGGCTGCCTGCCCACAGGTGCTTAAGGCTTAGGGTTTAGGCAGGTGTTGGGTGTGGAGTCGGTGGGTTTAGGCTGGGGGTGTCAGCGTAGGCTTCGGAAACGAGGTGAGGGCTTTAGTGTTCGGGGTTCGGAGATCGGGTGTCTGGGTCCAGGGCGCAAGGGGGCGCGAACCTCTCTGCAACGAGCATCGCTGGATCTGAGGGCCTCTCACTCCCGAACAGTATTCCGGAACCCAACGCTAGGCCCTAAGTCCTGAACCCCAAACCCCAAACCCCAAACCCTAAACCCCAAACCCTAAACCCTAAACCCTAAACCCCAAACCCCAAACCCTAAACCCTAAACCCTTCAGATTCCCGCACCTGCACCAGGGCCTCGTTCTCCGCATCAAGCCTGGCTTTTCAAGGAGGACACGCTAAGAACCATGGCACGGACAGCCCAAGCCTTGAGGGGGTTAGGGTTTAGAGTTTAGGGTTTAGGGTTTAGGGTTTAGGGTTTAGGGTTTAGGATTTAGGATTTAGGGTTTAGGAGGGCTTCTAGGATGGCCCTTAAAACCCTCTGAAAATCGCGCAAAAGATTCCTGAAAATGATCCTCTTAAAGCCAATATGGGCCCTTAAAAACCCTCTGAAACTTGCGCCAGATACTCCTGAGAATGATCCTGATAAAGCCAATATGTGGGAAAATCTAACATGTCCCAAAACCCTGCCGAGGAAAAGCCCCAAGCTGGGGCTGGGACGCCGAGGTGGCCTCATCCAGGAGGAGGATGCGCGGCCTGAGAGCTTTTAAGATGCTTCCCAACTACTTCCCAACCTGCAGGCCCTAGGCTTAAGGTTTAGGGTTTAGGGTTTAGGGTTTAGGGTTTAGGGTTTAGGGTTTAGGGTTTAGGCGTTAGGGTTTAGGGTTTAGGGTTTAGGGTTTAGGGTTTAGGGTTTAGGGTTTAGGGTTTAGGGTTTAGGGTTTAGGGTTTAGGGTTTAGAGGCCCCTACACCTCCACTTCTCGTGCACAGCAGGCCTGCGCACAAGAGCTCGGGCGATGCTGAGCCGCTGCTTCTGGCCGCCGCTCAAGTCATGCCCACTCTCGCCCACCATGGTGCTATACCTTGGAGTTTAGGGTTTAGGGTTTAGGGCTTAGGGCTTAGGGCTTAGGGTTTAGGACCGGCACTGCAGACCCCTGAGAAGGCCCCCCCAGGCTTCCTAAGCAATGATCGAGTGCAGACGGAGACAGCAAGCCACCCTTCTGGCAATGCCCGGATGAACTCGTCGGCATTGGCCAGCCTTGCTGCCCGCTCCACATCCTTCGACACCCAGGAGCCCTAAGCCCTAAGCCCCAAACCCCAAAACCCTAAACCCTGAACCCTAAACCCGACCGATCTTTAAGCACTGCTGCTCAAGATTCCGGATATGAAGTGCTGTCATGGCTTCGGCGCGGTGCTACACACAGCATATGGGTATGTCTTCGGCGCCCGCTCTCCGGGCATTGTAGGCTAAGGGATCCGCGTGCTACTTCTGCAGTTGCGGGGCACAATCATCCTGGCAACACAACTCTGCTCGAAACCCTTCATGCTAGATCCTCGGCCCTCAACCCCAGCGCCATGGCCCTAAACCCTAAACCCTAAACCCTAAACCCTAAACCCTAAACCCTAAACCCTAAACCCTAACCCCTAAACCCCAACTCAAAACACTACAAACACAACAGTGGGGACAGCTTCGGAGGGCGGCCCGGGTCCTCCATGGTGTACTCCGTCGCTCGGAGCCCATATGTGATGTTCCTGACATCAATAGCGTTTCAGGGTTTGGGGTTTAGGGTTTAGGGTTTAGGGTTTAGGGTTTAGGGTTTAGGGTTTAGGGTTTAGTCCCTATATACCGAAGTAGCCCCCAAATAACCCCCGAATAACCCCTACATTCCGTCAGAAGGGTCCCTCCTTTAGTCCCATGACGGTTGGAACAGCAAGTGGGAAGGCCTAAAAAGTCATCACTTCGTTGTTGGAACAAGCCCATGGAGCTGTTAAGGGAAGCATAAGAGAGGCAGCTCTCTAAAATGCATGCGATGGTCTCTGTGACCGTCATCCGGAAGAGCTGCGTGTCCTGCGGAGGCTGGGAGCAGCGAAAGCACAGCACACAGCATGGGGAGCGTACAGGTTTAGGTTTAGGGTTTAGGGTTTAGGGTTTAGGGTTTAGGGTTTAGGGTTTAGGGTTTAGGGTTTAGGGTTTAGGGTTTAGGGTTTAGGGTTTAGGGTTTAGGGTTTAGGCGTTAGGGTTTAGGGTTTAGGGTTCAGGGTTTAGGGTTTAGGGTCTAGGGTTACAAGCAGTCCTGTGATACAACGCCGACCTTGTTGCGGTACTGCAAAAGGTGCATTCGTTGCAACTCCGTGGCATTCAAGTAGACCCTCAGCTCAGGACGCTGGGCAAACGGCTTCCTACTTTGCAAGTGTGCAAGGGCCCAGACAATGCGACCCCTGCGCTCGAAATCTCTGCAAGATTCCAGAAGCCCGACAGCAGTGGGCTGGGGATTGAATTGGGGAAAACATCCGGTTCCAGCATCTTGAGCTTAGGGATTCGGGATCCTGGTGTTTGGATCCGAAAAGTTCTGGGTTTTGGGTTTGGGGCCCTTCGGGCGTTTTGACGTCTGCACTTGTGCACGTGGCTGAGGACCCGAAGGCTCGAGCACATACCGAGTCACGCGCCACCCTGCGGGTCGTAGAAGCGCAGAACCAGCTTGCCTGAGCTTGGGGGGATGATTGGCTCAGCCTGCTTGGTGAGTTATGGGGAGCCTTCTGGCTCATTCCTACCTTCGCTGCCTGGTGCCGGATGCTTTTCTCTGCTGTTGTCTTCCCATGCGCAACATGTTGCACACTTGGCCCAGAAGTGGTACACACTGTACATCGGCGAAGGCCCTTGGGTAGACAGGTCAGCCACCCTGGTCTGTACATGACATCCCGAACATCCCCAGCTTGGTACAAGGCCCCAGCGGGATATCGGAAATCCGAAATGGCTTCCGCGCTTTCCTACAGCTTGTCAAGATAGTCCGTCAGGCACGGCATCTCCACCTTCAGATTCTTGCGCTTGCGGATGCCCAGAACGAGCTCCTCCATCTTGCTGCCCTTCTCAAGGCAGTTGCCAGGAAGGCTCTCCCAGTGATCGAAGACTGACTGTGGGAATGCCTGGCCGCTGGTCGCCTGACGCAACGCGGCGACGAAGCCGAAGGACTCCGACACGGGCAGGTGCGCCTTCACCTGAACCAGCGGCGTGCCCTCACGCGGATTCTCCTCGAAGATGCAGCCGCGCCGGAGCGCCATGCAGCTATACACACCACTGAGAACATCTTTGGGCGCCGTGATCTCCACCAGGAACACCGGCTCCTGCAGAGTAGGCGATCCCGTCAGCTCCGAGGCAAAGCAGCAGCGTCTTGTTGCTGGCATGATCTGTCCCGCGCCACGGTGGACCTTGTCGGAGTGGAGGAGGACCTCCGTGAGGTTGAAGCGCACGCCCCGGAGGTTCTCTTCGCACAGAGGGCCCTCCTTCGTGGCCCACTGGAATGCGTTGACCACGTGATCTTTGATCTCACCCAAATACTGTGCGGCCACGGTGGTGTCCACGAAGATGTTGGGGCCGTCGCCTGAAGGACCATAGCACCAGATTTTCGATTGGGCGACCTGCTTGTCCCAGCCGAACTGCGTCAAGACTTTGGTCCTCTCCTTGGCATCTGCATAGGGCCCGGCTGTGCCGTCCTCTACAGCCCTCGCCACCTCCTCGCCCAGCGGTTCTGCGGCCATGTACAGGCGATTGAGCCGATTTGGTGACTTCGCAAGGCAAACCTGCTTGGAGGGGGCTGAGACCGTTTCCCGGTATGAGACGACAGGGTCCGACACGGTGAAGTCGCACTGGGCATACTCCTCCCTGAGGTCCTGTCGCGCAGCAAGATGCGCAGTGTGCACTGCAAACACAGGAAAATGTCATGTGCCATCGTCACGTCACCAAGTGCCTTCATAGAGCAAACAACTAAGAGAATCCGTCGGCGGTCAGCTTCTTCAAACGAACCGTGGACCCTGAAGCCACCCCGCCCTCCCCTCCCTATCCTTGAGGCAGATCTCCACGTGCAGCTCCCCGCAGCCGGCGATCACGTGCTCCCCACTCTCCTCGACGGAGCAGACGACCAGCTGGTCTGACTTGGACAGCTTCTTGAGCCCCTCCACCAGCTTGGGGAGGTCCCTGGCGTCCTTGGCCTTCACGGCCACCTTCACCACCGGTGACACGCTGTACTTCATGTCGGCAAAGTTATGGGCGTCCTCCAAGGTGGTGATGGTGCCGGACTTGAGGATGTACTGGTCCACGCCCACCAAGGCCACGGTGTTCCCGCACGGCACATCCTGGATGGCTTCCGTCGTGCGGCCCATCATCAACACAGCTCTCTGGATGTTCTTGACGTGCAGGTCTTCCTTGGACCCCGGCTTGTAGTGGGCCCCCTGGATCCGCACCTTCTGCCCCGAGGCCACGGTGCCGGAGAAGACGCGGCCGAAGGCGAAGAAGCGGCTCTTGTCGGCCGGGACCATCTTGGACACGTACAGCATCAGCGGCGCGCTGGGGTCGCACGTCCGGATCCCGTTCGCCGCGGCATCGTCCATCGGGCCCTCGTAGAGGTTCTCCACGCGGTAGCGCTGCGCCACTTTCGGCGAGGGCAGATGCGTCACGATCATGGTCAGCAGGGAGTCTGCCGCGTTGATCCAGGTCTGCATCACGTGCTTCATGAGAGGCTTTCCTCTCAGCTCCCGGTCTTCGCCTTTCAGCACGATTCCCAAGGACTCCATCATCTTCTCATACTTCTCGGCATCCTGGTCCATGATCGCGCGGATCAGCTGGTTGATGGGCCCCATGATGTACTGACAGAAGGCCCTCTGGAGAGGCTCCTTGAGATCCGGCGGCGAGGTGGTCCACACCTTCCGCTGGGGATAGTAGTACCAGTCGCCCCAGAGCCGCTCCATCATCTTCTCCTGCCTCACGCCCATCTTCTGGGCGTAGAACTTGGCGAAGCGCTCAGTACTGGGTCCATCTGCAAGCTTCCCATGGAGGCATCGCTGTAGGTGGCGATGATGACGTTCACATTCTCGATGGCGCTTCGGAAGCGGCAGTACATCTCCTCGACGTCCATCTGCATCTCCAGGATGCAGCGGTCCACTTTATTGACGAAGAGGCAAGGCTTCACTCGCTCCTGAAGAGCTTGCCGCAGCACCGTCTCGGTCTGGACCGCACAGCCCTCAATGCAGTCGACCACCACAATGGCCCCGTCGGTGATGCGCAAGGCTGCAGTCACCTCGGAGGAGAAATCCACGTGACCCGGGGAGTCGATGAGGTTGATCAGGTGAGGCTGGGGCCCTGCCCCGTCCTCTCGGTCATGCTCGAAGCACAGGCTAACGCCGGTGCTCTTGATGGTCACGCCGCGCTCCTGCTCGTCCTTCCTCCCCTGCATGAACTTCGCATCCCCTGCTGACTTGCTTGAGATGATGCCGGCCCTGGAGAGGAGCGAGTCAGCCAGGGTGGTCTTGCCGTGGTCCACGTGGGCGATGACGCTCATGGAGCGGATGCTCTCGACCTTGTCCATGATGGCGCGCACCTGCTCCACGGAGAACTGCGGCATCACCAAGCGCAAGGGAGACCCCCCGTGGGGGGGAGGGCGACAAGGCCGACTTGAGCAAGCTGTCTTCTGGGCTCACAAGAAATATACGGTATGCGCTTTTCATGGTATCGACTGCTTACTGGGAGGGTGCTTCAGGACCCTTCCACCGCATGGCTCATCGTTGAGCTGTCCCGACCTGATGCCTTGTGCCGGATGCTTTTCTCTGCTGTTGTCTTCCCATGCGCAACATGTTGCACACTTGGCCAGAAGTGGTACACACTGTACATCGGCGAAGGCCCTTGGGTAGACAGGTCAGCCACCCTGGTCTGTACATGACATCCCGAACATCCCCAGCTTGGTACAAGGCCCCAGCGGGATGTCGGAAATCCGAAATGGCTTCCGCGCTTTCCTACAGCTTGTCAAGATAGTCCGTCAGGCACGGCATCTCCACCTTCAGATTTTTGCGCTTGCGGATGCCCAGAACGAGCTCCTCCATCTTGCTGCCCTTCTCAAGGCAGTTGCCAGGAAGGCTCTCCCAGTGATCGAAGACTGACTGTGGGAATGCCTGGCCGCTGGTCGCCTGACGCAACGCGGCGACGAAGCCAAAGGACTCCGACACGGGCAGGTGCGCCTTCACCTGAACCAGCGGCGTGCCCTCACGCGGATTCTCCTCGAAGATGCAGCCGCGCCGGAGTGCCATGCAGCTATACACACCACTGAGAACATCTTTGGGCGCCGTGATCTCCACCAGGAACACCGGCTCCTGCAGAGTAGGCGATCCCGTCAGCTCCGAGGCAAAGCAGCAGCGTCTTGTTGCTGGCATGATCTGCCCGGCTCCACGGTGGACCTTGTCGGAGTGGAGGAGGACCTCCGTGAGGTTGAAGCGCACGCCCCGGAGGTTCTCTTCGCACAGAGGGCCCTCCTTCGTGGCCCACTGGAATGCGTTGACCACGTGATCTTTGATCTCACCCAGATACTGTGCGGCCACTGTGGTGTCCACGAAGATGTTGGGGCCGTCGCCTGAAGGACCATAGCACCAGATTTTCGATTGGGCGACCTGCTTGTCCCAGCCGAACTGCGTCAAGACTTTGGTCCTCTCCTTGGCATCTGCATAGGGCCCGGCTGTGCCGTCCTCTACAGCCCTCGCCACCTCCTCGCCCAGCGGTTCTGCGGCCATGTACAGGCGATTGAGCCGATTTGGTGACTTCGCAAGGCAAACCTGCTTGGAGGGGGCTGAGACCGTTTCCCGGTATGAGACGACAGGGTCCGACACGGTGAAGTCGCACTGGGCATACTCCTCCCTGAGGTCCTGTCGCGCAGCAAGATGCGCAGTGTGCACTGCAAACACAGGAAAATGTCATGTGCCGTCGTCACGTCACCAAGTGCCTTCATAGAGCAAACAACTAAGAGAATCCGTCGGCGGTCAGCTTCTTCAAACGAACCGTGGACCCTGAAGCCACCCCGCCCTCCCCTCCCTATCCTTGAGGCAGATCTCCACGTGCAGCTCCCCGCAGCCGGCGATCACGTGCTCCCCACTCTCCTCGACGGAGCAGACGACCAGCTGGTCTGACTTGGACAGCTTCTTGAGCCCCTCCACCAGCTTGGGCAGGTCCCTGGCGTCCTTGGCCTTCACGGCCACCTTCACCACCGGTGACACGCTGTACTTCATGTCGGCAAAGTTATGGGCGTCCTCCAAGGTGGTGATGGTGCCGGACTTGAGGATGTACTGGTCCACGCCCACCAAGGCCACGGTGTTCCCGCACGGCACATCCTGGATGGCTTCCGTCGTGCGGCCCATCATCAACACAGCTCTCTGGATGTTCTTGACGTGCAGGTCTTCCTTGGACCCCGGCTTGTAGTGGGCCCCCTGGATCCGCACCTTCTGCCCTGAGGCCACGGTGCCGGAGAAGACGCGGCCGAAGGCGAAGAAGCGGCTCTTGTCGGCCGGGACCATCTTGGACACGTACAGCATCAGCGGCGCGCTGGGGTCGCACGTCCGGATCCCGTTCGCCGCGGCATCGTCCATCGGGCCCTCGTAGAGGTTCTCCACGCGGTAGCGCTGCGCCACTTTCGGCGAGGGCAGATGCGTCACGATCATGGTCAGCAGGGAGTCTGCCGCGTTGATCCAGGTCTGCATCACGTGCTTCATGAGAGGCTTTCCTCTCAGCTCCCGGTCTTCGCCTTTCAGCACGATTCCCAAGGACTCCATCATCTTCTCATACTTCTCGGCATCCTGGTCCATGATCGCGCGGATCAGCTGGTTGATGGGCCCCATGATGTACTGACAGAAGGCCCTCTGGAGGGGCTCCTTGAGATCCTCTGGCTGTGAGGTGGTCCACACCTTCCGCTTGGGATAGTAGTACCAGTCGCCCCAGAGCCGCTCCATCATCTTCTCCTGCTTCACGCCCATCTTCTGGGCGTAGAACTTGGCGAAGCGCTCGGTGCTGAAGCCCCAGCCGTGGAGCCCGCTGCCGAAGGCGACGTTTCCGAGGCCGGGGTCCATCTGCAAGCTTCCCATGGAGGCATCGCTGTAGGTTGCGATGATTACGTTCACGTTCTCGATGGCGCTTCGGAAGCGGCAGTACATCTCCTCGACGTCCATCTGCATCTCCAGGATGCAGCGGTCCACTTTATTGACGAAGAGGCAAGGCTTCACTCGCTCCTGAAGAGCTTGCCGCAGCACCGTCTCGGTCTGGACCGCACAGCCCTCGATGCAGTCGACCACCACAATGGCCCCGTCGGTGATGCGCAAGGCTGCGGTCACCTCGGAGGAGAAATCCACGTGACCCGGGGAGTCGATGAGGTTGATCAGGTGAGGCTGGGGCCCTGCCCCGTCCTCTCGGTCATGCTCGAAGCACAGGCTAACGCCGGTGCTCTTGATGGTCACGCCGCGCTCCTGCTCGTCCTTCCTCCCCTGCATGAACTTCGCATCCCCTGCTGACTTGCTTGAGATGATGCCGGCCCTGGAGAGGAGCGAGTCAGCCAGGGTGGTCTTGCCGTGGTCCACGTGGGCGATGACGCTCATGGAGCGGATGCTCTCGGCCTTGTCCATGATGGCACGCACCTGCTCCACGGAGAACTGCGGCATCACCAAGCGCAAGGGAGACCCCCCCGCGGGGGGGAGGGCGACAAGGCCGACTTGAGCAAGCTGTCTTCTTGGGCTCGCAAGGGGTATGCGTTGGGGAAAAGCATTGGGTGTAGGGCGGCTGTTCAGCTCACTCCAGGGAACCCGACTCGGACTTGTGCCTACGTAGTGCCTACAGCCCGGAGATCAGCCCAGCCACTGAGGGTGGACTTCCCACACCCGCTCTTGCCGACCACAGCTGTCGTCTTGCCAGCCCGTATGTCCAGGGTCACTCCGGCCAGGACCTGGCATACCATGAGCAGGGGCAAAACGGCACCACTACTAATTACTAATTGCTTAAGAACCCCAAAAAAATATAAATATTCTTCCTTATGAAGGATAATATAAGGATTATAATTATTTATTCTTTTGGGGTTCTTAAGCAAATAGTGGACCACCGGGCATATGAGTGCCCACCCCACAGCACTGCGGGCTTATGCAAGCACTGCCGGCCTTCTTGTCCGGTCTTGACAGGTAACTGTACTCCACGTTCTCAAAACGGATTCCGACCTGAACAGGCACTAGCTTGATCTGGGAAAATACAGGGTTTGGGGGCAGTTTGGGATTTGGGGTTCTCTATTCCTGCCCCCTTTCCAGCACGTCTGAGGCCTGCTTCGACTCCTCAGGGAAAGGGTCGCCTTCGTCCTGGACGCCAGGAGCCGAAATCCTAAACCCTACAATCCAAACCGACTCATGGTCAGGGATGTGCAAGTCCCCGTCCTCCGGGATGTCTGGCTGGAGGTCCAGGATCTGTTGCAAAGCGCACTGCCCATTCGGGTTTATAGAGTCAAGTTGGGTCCCTTTTGGGGGACTCCTGTTTACAAGGGGGCCCCTGAGGCTCTAAGGCTACTGCAAGGGAACCCGACATGAGAACAACCCTACATCGTGAATGCTACGCCAGAAACCCTGCAGTTCTCTTCTTTCCCAGCCTCGAACACTCGCTGCCCGGCACCTCAGCCAGCGGGCGAAGTTTCTGGCGGAATGAGGTTTCACCACTCAGGGCTGCAGCGCCTGAGGAGGGTTGAGGGTTGAGGGTTGAGGGTTGAGGGTTGAGGGTTGAGGGTTGAGGGTTGAAGGTTGAGGGTTGAGGGTTGAGGGTTGAGGGTTGAGGGTTGAAGGTTGAGGGTTGAGGGTTGAGGGTTGAGGGTTGAGGATATCTGGCTTTAGGACAAGGTTTCAGGGTTTACGCACTCTCCGGTTTGGGGATTCCTTCTTCCAAAGGAGGCTCGGACATAAAAGTGCCTACAAGGGGACCCGACCTTTGTTGGGAACATCTTGTGAATCGACGCTCAGCAGAAGCGCGCGACGCTGCGTGACCCGATCCGATGGATCTACAATACAATAATATCAACAAGAATGACCATAACAATAACAATAACAATAGCAATAACAATAGCAATAACAATAACAAAAACAATAACAATAGCAATAACAATAACAATAACAGTAACAATAACAGTAACAGTAACAGTAACAATAACAGTAACAATAACAGTAACAATAACAATAACAATCACAATAACAATGATGATGATGATGATGATGATGATGATGATGATGATGATGATGATGATGATGATGATGATGATGATGATGATAACAATCATAATAAATCGTAATAAGATACTCACCGAAGAGTATACTAGTGTATAGAGGCAAGGCACTCACAGCCTTCACCGGCTGGTTGATGTTCTCATTCAGCGATGTGAAGGCACCACTGAGCCTCAGATAGCTACCGAGCTCAGCGGGTTTTGGGTTTAGGGTTTAGGGTTTAGGGTTTAGGGTTTAGGGTTTAGGGTTTAGGGTTTAGGGTTTAGGGTTTAGGGCTTAGGGTTTAGGGTTTAGGGTTTAGGGTTTAGGATTTCGGGCTAGAACGGCTACTTGACCAGTAGCAGCAGAGGCCTCAAAGATCGAGGCAAGTGAGGCCTGAGCTCGAAGGCCCGAAGCCTAGACCCTCAACCACCTACAACCCCATCAAGCCCTCAACCCTAAATCCCTAAACCCTAAACCCCAAACCCTAAACCCTAAACCCCAAACCCTCAACCCTCAACCCGAAATCCCCAAAGGTGTAGGGCTGAGGGTTTAGGGATGGTTGAGTGTGCGTCACATGTGAGCCGCGCGCGCGCCACCGCCACGTGGGACGGTGTTGTGGTGTGTGCCAAGGCCCGCATTCCCTCCTGACCCGCCTGGGTTTTGGGTTTTGGGTTTTGGGTTTTGGGTTTAGGGTTAGGGTTTAGGGTTTAGGGTTTAGGGTTTAGGGGTTAGGGGTTAGGGTTTCCAATCTACCAGTCCTTGGTCGGGATGTGGGTTTTTTATCGTGAATCCTGGGATGGTTGCGCACCCGTTCTTCGGGTCATCTCGCGCGCGGCCGTGAGCCCGCACCTGGTGTCGGTGCTGGTGCTCCTGCGCTGCACCTCTGAAGTGCCAGTTCCGCAGTCAGCCTCCCTGACGCCTTGGCACACTCGCTGCTGACAAATAGCAGTGCCCGCAGCTCACTTGAGTGCAGGGTTTAGGGGGCATCTGGCTGTTGAGCTTGAGGGTTAGGGTCTTAGGGTTCAGGGTTTTAGTTTGGAGGTTGAAGTGCCCCTTGCATCGCGGAAGCCGATTCCACAGATAGGTGAAGGTGATGATCGCCCCGACCTCATCTCAGATCAGCTCGCTGAACCCCAAAACCCTGCCCCTGAGGCTCAAAACCCTCAAACGGGTAGAACCCTAAACCCTGAACCCAAAACGCTGAACCCTAAACTATAAACCCTAAACCCTAAACCCCCGGACTGGCTTCTACCCCCCTGGCCTCGAACTCCTGTTGGAGGGCAAGGTGTCCTCCATAGAACCTCAGTACTTGGGACGTTTCCCTTTTACTCACAGTCCTGAATAGGGATTTGAATAGGGGGTACGGGGTTTAGGGTTTAGGGGTTAGGGTTTAGGGTTTAGGGTTTAGGGTTTAGGGTTTAGGGTTTAGGGTTTAGGGTTTAGGGTTTAGGGTTTAGGGTTTAGGGTTTAGGGACTATAGTGGGCTGTTAGTACAGGCGGGAACATCCCAACTCGGCACTGGTGAACGTTGAGCGCAATCATGTCTCAAGCAAAAAGCGAAAGCCCACCGCCAGGACCTCTTTGTCCAGCGAACAGAAGCCGACGTCTTGCTGAATGAGAACCCCGTTTAGGGTTTAGGGTTTAGGGTTTAGGGTTTAGGGTTTAGGGTTTAGGGTTTAGGGTTTAGGGTTTAGGGTTTAGGGTTTAGGGTTTAGGGTTTAGGGTTTAGGTTTAGGGTTTAGGGTTTAGGGTTTAGGGTTTAGGGTTTAGGGTTTAGGGTTTAGGGTTTAGGGTTTAGGGTTTAGGGTTTAGGGTTTAGGGGATATTCCTCCTTCTAAAGGCCATATAGGGATTGATATCTTGCAGGAGAAGCTCCTTGAGACAAGTAAAGCAGAGAACGCTGCGGAACTGCGGCGGCCCGTCGTCCCCTGAAACACGAATCGCAAAACGGCCTTTGGGCTCAATCTTTCAGGCCAGAGGGCAGGAACCCTAAACCCCAAACCCTACACCCTAAACCCTAAACCCTAAACCCAGTTGCAGGCCAGGGGGCAGGATGATGAAGGATGCCCCCTGCTGAACCAGAGCCGATAGGAGCCCGGCTGCACCTTGCCCCCACGCGGACTGGAGGCCTGGGTGTAGGGTGTAGGGTGTAGGGTGTAGGGTTTAGGGTTTAGGGTTTAGGGTTTAGGGTTTAGGGTTTAGGGTTTAGGGTTTAGGGTTTAGGGTTTAGGGTTTAGGGTTTAGGGTTTAGGGTTTAGGGTTTAGGGTTTAGGGTTTAGGGTTTAGGGTGTAGGGCTTAGGGTGTGCACTTCGAATGGCAAGACACAGGCCTGGCTCCAAGTTGCTGCGCGGCTGACGCTCTCAAAGGCCCCCCCCGCCCAGAGACTCCAAAACCCCTTAATTAAGCAATAGAATGTAGTAGCAACCCTAATATGATTTAAGGTATATTCCTGAATTAAGCAATATACCTTAGAATGTAGTAGCAACCCTAACATGATTTAAGGTATATTCCTGAATTAAGGGGTTTTGGAGTGTCTGGGGCGACCTTCGGCTCTGCTCTACTGGGCATCCGGCCTACATCCCTCGACTTGCGGATGTGCCCTTCCTTGGTGAGGCTTGGGAGGATTTCAGGGTTTAGGGTTTAGGGTTTAGGGTTTAGGGTTTAGGGTTTCAGGGTCTAGGGTTTAGGCGTTTAGGCCTGTGGCCGCGTACGCGTACCATTCCAGCGAACTGTGCCAGCAGCTTGCGAGAAAACATGTTGCCCCATTGTTCACCACTGCGACGAAAACCCAAGTGCCGCACCCTCCATGACTGCAAGGTAACATCAACATCACAACTACATGTGTGTGTCCTCCTACTCATGAACCTTCACCAGGTAAAGGCTTAACGTCATCCTAAGCAGATGCGCAACAAGATGTCAAAATACGTCAAGACACGTACTTCTCGAGCTCGAGGGTCCGTGCACCAAACCTGAAACAAAAACAGTTCTTGGCAGAATGGTCCTGATGGGAGCACATGTTCAACGATCACCGCTTTTAAATACTACACCGTTACAGCTTTGTTTATCTCAGAGTGGAACCAACACACCCACGCAAGCTCCACAGGAAAGGTCTTGCCACACGTCAGAATCTTACATTAGGCGCATTTATTCTTTGAGCAGACCCTCTTGCCAATGCCAGATTGAGCTTAGGAGCATTCGGACTGTGCGAATATTTGTGAGAGCCTGCGTCGCGCTGCCTTGCGCATCCGCCATGTAGGTAAACCTTCGGCGTGGGTGGCGGCGGCAATTACACGAAATCATGCTCCAGTCACGAGGTCCTTTGCGGTTTGCGGTGCAGATCTAAATTGGTTGGATGTGCAACCCTGGACCCCCCCTAAAACCCCCCAAAAAGGACCTTAAAACCCTAACACCCCCGGAAAAAAAAAAAAAAAAACGTACAAACCACAAAAATGCTCAAACCGGGCGCATGAACGCAGCTGAGGGGCTGGGACATCATCAGCTTGGATGCCCACTGGCTAAACTCAGCCGAGATGTGCACCTCAGCGCAGGAAGATTTTAGAATTCATGTTTTTTGTACAATAAATAAATAAATATATATATATGTATACATATGGATGATCGGATAATTATGTACTTATAGTCACATGTATTCATTCATATTCATACATATTTATGCATATGCGCGTATATATGCTGCCCTGGATCCACCGTCTTATTTCGTTTTACTTTTTGCGAGAGAAAGACAAACCGAAAGGTTCACACTCTCAGAAATACATGTTTGGGCTTTTCCTGAGTGACATTAGCAAAGGAATTTATTTACCAATAGTCTTCCTACAAAGGATAGGGGCTCTCTTACTTTCAAGAAGGCCAGAGCGGCTCCCTTCCATGTTGGAAGCGAATTCTATAAGTAAGAGGGGCCCTGCTACTTCTTCTTGCGAAGAATTAAACCTCGTACTACCAGAACCAAGTGAAAGAAGTCTTGCTACGTCGGATTCAGGGTAGTAGGGCAGCCCTCTTGGTTGACGTGAAGCATAAGACATAAGACAAGCTCTTTCATGACCCCCGAGACGAACTGGGATTCTCTTGTCGTTGACTTTAACCCGCTCATTTCTAATTGGCAAGTTATTAAAAAACGCCTTTCGTTCTCATGCAGAAAAGATTGAGCACTCTCATCAGTTCAGAACAAAAACGGGAAACCAGAGCGCGATCGGTATGTTTCTGTGCGACGAACAAGTATGGCTCCTAAAGCTGCTAATACTAGTCCAGCACTTCTCATATTAAGAGAAGCGAAATCTTCTTGTTCATCGATGCTATTGTTGAAGGCCTCACTCATGTCAACCCAGGGGGGCCTTATTACTACCTTTCTATGGGAGGTCTTAGTTTCGATCAAGAACATGGAACACTCTCCGAGTAGAATCACGACCCAATATGCCGTGATGACATGTCCCAGCTTTTTTTTTGCTGCTGGGAGCACCGACACTTGGGGACTTTTTGAGGTTCCCTAAACCCTAAACCCTAAACCCTAAACCCTAAACCCTAAACCCTAAACCCTAAACCCTAAACCCTAAACCCTAAACCCTAAACCCTAAACCCTAAACCCTAAACCCTAAACCCTAAACCCTAAACCCTAAACCCTAAACCCTCACCCCTAAACCCTAAACCCTAAACCCTAAACCCTAAACCCTAAACCCTAAACCCTAAACCCTAAACCCTGCCCGAAGACCCCTGAAACAGTGGTTTTCCTGGGGGCCTGTCGAGGTTTTCCCGCGGCATCCCGGGTCCCAAAACATGGGGGGGGGCCTCACAAGGTCTCGACCCTAAACCCTAAACCCTAAACCCTAAACCCTGAACCCTAAACCCTAAACCCTAAACCCTGGGACGCCAAAGCCTCAAGAGGTCCTTCCAATAAAAACAAATAGGGTCTTGTTTGGCTTCAGAAGTTTGATTGGGACCTCGCAAGGTTTTAGGCATCCGAAGCCCTCCAAATGTATGTATACGTCTTGGAGAAAAAGAAACATGTATGTATTTGTATATATATATACATATATACATCTTGTGTGTGGTGTTCGAGATATATATATATATATATATATATATATATGTATATGTATATGTGTATGTATATGTATATGTACATATGTTCAAAGCCTCCGATAAAGCTGAGCCCGAAACCATCCCCCTAAACCCGAAAAACCCTCAATGCTGGGGAGCGAACCACTGGCGTGAGCACTGTGAAGGCGAGCACCGTGAGCCTCCAAGAAGATTGGAGGCAGATGCCAAAGCCGACGAGGAGCATCACCTTAGAGAAGTTTAGGGTTTAGGGCTTGGGGTTTAGGGTTTAGGATTGAGGGTTTAGGGCTTAGGGCTTAGGGCTTAGGGCTTAGGGCTTAGGGCTTAGGCTGTATGAGCTGGGAGATCTCAATGTAAGGCTTCGGGTGCATGGAGGCTAGGTGACTCTGCCCCACTGGCCTGACAGACATGCCCTGTAGTCTTTCTTGCTTGGGAAGTGAATCTCGAAATCTTGCCCTCTTGAGGATGTACATAGTATACTTCATAATCCCTTCCTGATATATACTACCATGGACAGCCTAGAGCTCAGAGACACCAGGAGCTCTGACAGGCTCCAACGCGAGCATGGTGCTGGTGCAGCGCATGAGCTTGGAGAGTCGACATGCAGCACAGCTTCACTTACGAGATTGCGAGATGAGACATTCCTATTGCCATTGACAGTGATCCGAGTGGCAATGTTGGCCACAAAGGCATTCATGATGATGCTTACCTTGCAGGCTTGCCACCACTTGTGAAGCCGTGCTGTCAGATCCACTGCTGGCACCCCGGCATCACGGCCTCAAGTTAGCTTCAGGAAAGGTGCAGGTGACAGTGCCTGCCGCATGTCGTTGTTCAGTCGCGAATTCATTTGGCCAGTCATTGCCTCGACTTTGCAACGGGCACTGCCCCCCCGCCCCCCTCGGGCCCCCCCCCCCGGAGCAAGCCCGGGAAACCTCAAGATGTATGTCTAAGATGCTGCAAAACATGCAACCTTGCGACATTGTCGTAGAACGCAATGTCCTCAAGCACTCGCACGTGACAGTCGCTCACTTGAACCCTGCTGCATGGAAAGGTCGCTTGCACTGCGGAGCTGCTGCAGTCCTGCTTCAACAGGGAATCGAAGAGTCTCACCGACATGTTGGCAGACATTCTCGTCTGGAGGCTCCTGGGACATGCGGGGCGCGCAATGCGCTGCTTCCATTGTCCCTGCTGAAGTGGACCCTAGAGACATCGGCCCGCGCGATGCTGCAGCAGGTGTCCACAAACCCGTAACCCAAGCCGAGTCAGGAAAGTTTCGGTGGAACATGGAGAATGCTGAGCAATGCCTAAGAAAGGAAGAGTGCCGACACGGGGAAGGACCAAACCCAAGCTGCGAGACCTGTGAAACAAGCGCATGGATCACGTTGGGAAGAGCATGCGATCCGGCTTTTTGGGGGAGTGGCTTTAACCACGAAGATAATCTCAGCATTCCCAAAGTCTGATCTTGCCCGGCAGATAAATATAAATGTATATATATATATATATATATACATACATACATATACTTCGGTTTTTTATACATGCTGCTTACTTGTGTGGCATCTATGTGGCACTCACACGGCAACTATTGCACGCCATGGCTCTGGATGGCAATGCTCATCGAGCAGGACATGATGGCGTTGGCGACCACCAGCAGAGCGAACTCAAGGATGCGCTCGTTGAACTCCGCCTGAAAAACCCTAAACCCTAAACCCTAAACCGAGGATGTCACGCGGACCAAATCCCTCACAGGGTAGTGACATGGTCCGGGGCCCTTGAAATGGGACCCTGTACAGAGCCCCTTACGTGCCCCTAAAACACCCAACGGCCCATTCTTCAGAACCCTTTATACGAGGTAACGGACCATAATAAGGGTGCATATAACTTAGAATCCCCAAACCGGAGGCGATGAGAATGCACGCAGCCTCTGGTCTAATGAGTCTACTGGGCCGTCTCCACATCCTTGGATTCCTGTCGCCTTTGCCTCTTGGGGGTTTCGGCTTTCGGGCTTGGGGCATCTTCCGGCGCAGTGGCAGGTCTCATACACATACAGTGCGACCTCCACTCCACAGGAACCAGAGCCTGGGCTTCCTTATCACCACGAAGCACAAGCCACCCAAATTATTCCCCTAAACCCTAAACCCTAAACCCTAAACCCTACTGGTAGGGTTTTGGGCTGCCCCTGAGTGCCCTCAGTTCCCCTATGAAAGCTGTAGTGACTTTAGTGCTCCTACGGGCACAAGGGCCGTCTCGGGGGGCGGGGCCCTTGGCGTTTTTTGTGCGGGGGCCCTTTTCTGGCTCTTCGACCTTCGCAGGGTCACGAAACACGTGTTGCAGGGTTCGGCAACCCTAAACCCTAAACCCTAAAAACCCTAAACCCTAAACCTGCCAAAGTACATCGTTCTGCTTCGTCAGCGCGCTGATCGTGTCGCCCTGTGCCTGCAACAGCGCAAGATGCTTGTCCTTTCACGGCCACATGCTGGATATGGTAGTTTACGAAAATGGGGGACCCCCCAATATACAGCCCAAAATAATAGGATCCCCTTACAAGAAGGACCCCAATAAGGTACCCCCTAATTTCGGGAAACCCCCATATGAACAGCTGACCAGAATATGTAGGTGACTAGGTCATTGGAATGCATGTTGGGTAGCTTGTCTTGTAATTCCATGGGGAGTGTGTAAGGAACTGCTTAGACTCCTGAAGCAAGCGTCCTACCAAGCCTTCCGGGCTCTCCCCGTTTTCAGCGTGGACCTACCAAGCCTGGCATGAGAAAAGACGCGGGAGGAAGAGCCCGAAGCCTTAACCCAAGCTCTATGAAAGCCCAATGCTCAACCCTAAACCCTAAACCTTAAACCCTAAACCCTAAACCCCATGCTCAACAGATCGTTAAAAGCCTCCAAGCTCTGTGACCCTTTCTGCCTTGGGGATGTAGGCGCTGAAGAACTGGCTCCCGCAAACGCAAATCAGCACCACGGCCAGGGTGCTTTTCTTGGCGCGTGCTGTATCAGGGGACTCATACTGGGACTTTTGAGGTTGGACCCCGAAGAGCTTCACTTAATATACTCCCAGCCCCCTCTAATGACCTTGGAGGATTCTTCAAAAGGGTCCCCAAAACCCAAGGGTGCTGTATCACTTGCAGGAGTCTCATGGCTGGGTTTAGGATTCATGAGTGGCGTGTTCGATGCGGCTCTAGGGTTCATTGAAACCTTCCAGAACTGCATTACCTTCCGACCCCCCGAAACGCCCTAAACCCCCTAAAACTCAACCCCCTAACTTCCTCCACCCCCAAACCAAAACCCTAAACCCTAAACCCTAAACCAGCAAAAGGCACTCGCACCAGGCCGGAGAGTCGCTTCATGTACTGAATCCTTGGCTGGCGGTGGGGTGTCAACTCGCGTGAAGAGCCGCTTCAAGTGAGAGAAGCTTGGGAGGCATGACTTGCGGTTTAGGGTTTAGGGTTTTTAGGGTTTAGGGTTTTTAGGGTTTAGGGTTTAGGGTTTAGGGTTTAGGGTTTAGGGTTTAGGGTTTAGGGTTTTTAGGGTTTAGGGTTTAGGGTTTTGGGTTTTGAGTTTTGGGTTTTGAGGGTTTAGGGTTTAGGGTTTAGGGTTTAGGGTTTAGGGTTTTCAGGGCTTTAGGGCGCAAGGCTTTGAAACCTTGCTTCCCTGAGCCTCCTTCGGGCTGCGACCAGGCGACACGGTCATCGGCTGGGCATACTTTGGCCCCTTGTCGCCTCTTAGGATGCCAGATCCTGGAACAAAGGGTTTAGGGTTTTGGGTTTAGGGTTTAGGTTTAGGGTTTAGGGTTGAGGGTTGAGGGTTTAGGGTTTAGGGTTTAGGGTATTAGGGGGTACTTTCTTGTGGTCCTTATTCTACTATTTTGGCGGGTGTAGATTCGGGGTCCTTTATTTTCGTACAGACCACCCTTTTAGGGTGCTTGGGGTCTGACCACGTCGACTGCGTACGTTCATGTATGTTTCTTGCGGGCTTGATCTTCGCCACAAGAGCAGCCGCCACAGTACGAGTTTGCAGCACACAACCCTAAACCCTAAACCCTAAACCCTAAACCCTAAACCCTAAACCCTAAACCGAGCAAAAGCGACTTGGGATGCTTTGAGTATCTTTGACCCCTCGGCTCCTGACGCCTCCCCGGCTGCGCCGGATTTCACGGCGTTTTTCCTGGAGGGTCGTGGCAGGAACTGGGTCATGTTACTCATAATACTTGTAGTAGATGTAGCAATGATAATCATAATAATGATAATAATAATAATAATAATAATACCAGTAACAATAATCAGAATAATTGTAGTAGGAATAATAGTGATAAGAATAAGAAGAAGAAGAACTGCAACCACACAACCCACAGCTGCCGCTAAGGCAGGAACCAACTTAGCCAACCCAGCACCAGCCATCCGGAATAAAGTACACTTTGGTGCAGGCTTGATGGCAGAGACTTGGGATGCTCCCCCTTATACTAACAGTCCTTAATAGGATTATAATAGGAGGTACTATAGTCCCTACTAAGGACTGTTAGTAAAAGGGGGAACATCGCAAGCAGAGACTCACACCCCAAGAAAATCAACAAGGCAAGCCATCCACATGGGCCATCGGTGGACGTTTCGCCGGCCTTGCACCATGCTTGCGCGTCACGCGCCAGCCACAAAGCTCAGGCCAAACAGTCCAAACAGTGCTGAGCTAAAGCTCGTCCTACCCCGCACGATCGGTGCCTGATTGCCGTGCCCAGCTACCGAGCAGGGCATTTGAGTCGGAGGTTGTACTTCTTAATTGCGGAGGGGCAGGCTTGCAGAATGCCGGGGAAAGGCTATGGGCCATGGGTGGTTGCAGCTTCAACTGACCTTCGGCCCTGCGCCCTCTTGCGTGAAAACCCTACAGGAGCTGAGGTTCCGCAGTAGCCGAAGCCCAGGTGTTTGCACAGGGTCGAGGAATGCGTGCGCACATGCAACAGTTTTTGTGCGTATGCGAGGCCATCCTTGACCAGTTTGCTGGCACAATCAAATTGGAACAGAGGCAGCAATTCGGGGGTGTGGGGGGGGAGGACCAAGAACCATGATGAGGGCAAAGTGCCCTGCAGCCCCCCCCCCCCCCCCCCCTTCCGGCATCAGACAAGGGCCTCGATGACCCACGGCTGAAGAGCTAGCTTTCGCGACTCTTGGGGTGGGAGTGTGGCAGGCATCAGGAATGGCAGATTCCCACTAGGCTGAAGCCTCCCGTCCTGTAGCAAGCCGTGCAGACGTTAAAGCCTGCAGCAGCAGAATGGGTCATCAGGGTCATGGGGCCAATGCAGACGGCAACTCAACCGTCTGCTGCTGCTTGAAGGGATACGAAGCACAAATCTCGCAAAGTGCCTCCGAAGCCATAGCGGTTGGCTGTGCAGGTGCGGCACTGCCTGAGGCGCGAAACATGTTGGCTCAGGCTTTTACAGTGCTTTTGGGCCTCCTTCTTGTTCTTATGATGACTACAACGATGAGCATATGCTTTTCAAAGCAGCGTTCTTAGTACGAGAGTCTTGCTGTTCTAGATATCAACGACCAAAGTCCATCAGATCAAGGGGCCCTAAACCCTAAACCCTAAACCCTAAACCCTAAACCCTAAACCCTAAACCCTAAACTCGGGGCGGGGCAGAGTCAGGTAGCCACCCGTGAGCTCCCCGACCTTCTCGTTGCACAGGGAGCACCTCACGAAGCCTCCGAGTCGGGTTCTAGGGGTGTAGGGGTTCAGGGCACTTGGGGCACTGAGGGTTTAGGGTTTCGGGTTTAGGGTTTAGGGTTTCGGGTTGGGGGGGGGGGGGGGGGTTCTTCTGACTTTTGAGGGGTGGGGTTGTTTGAGGCTGTCTTGGTGTTCTTTTTTTCTCCGGGAAAAGCCGGATGGGGGGGTGGCGGGGAGGGAGAGGGGCTTTCATGGTGGGGCATCACGAACCCTGGGACGGATGTGAGGCTTATGGAAATTTCAGAACTTTAGGTCAGTTCATGGCGAGGAGGCTCCTTGGGTAACTAGGGAAACTGGGGCCTCTGGGTAGCTGCAATGTCAGTCTCAGTACGAGTCCGAAGCAACGCAGGCTTTTCAGTGGACCCCAGAACTACATCGACTTTACATGAGTCATAGTTTAGGGAACAAGAAGGGGGAAGAACCCAAAAAACCAAGGGTTTAGGGTTTAGGGTTTAGGGTTTAGGGTTTAGGGTTTAGGGTTTAGGGTTTCTAGGTGCAGCTCCCAGGAGCCCTTTCCCTCCACATCCGTCCAGTACAGGGGGTGCTCGTGGACTCCTTGCAGGCAAAACGGCTGTGGCACAAGCCCAAAAAAACACAAATATGTATATATATATATATATATATATATATGTATATATATATATATATTTATATATATTTATTTATTTATTCATTTACATTTATATTTATATATTTATATATGTTTATGCTTTAAAAAGATCGCATGTTGGAGCGCATGAGCCTGCGCTCAAGCCCCCAATCCACCGACGGTCCGGGGCTCCTTTGAGCGTCACGCTGTCGCCGGCAGTGGATGATTGGATCAGACCTGCATCGGGAAACCGCTGCCCCCCTTTCAAGCCGGTAAGGCTTCGGGTTCTGCGCATGTTTGCGCGCAAGGGGCTGCCCCGATTCCTGCAGCGTCGTCTCAACCCCGGCCTTTGAGGAGAATGAACTCTAGCTGCATGATCGGCAAGCCACAGACCTCGGATGGGCAAAGCACGTGAACAGTGGGAGTTGTCACTCAAGGCCGGAGGCTAAACCCGAACACTCTGCAGCAGGTGGAGGCTTGCAAGGTGTCCTGCGAAAGATGCCCCCCATGCCTCGGAAATCACTATCCTGGCCCCGAGGGTTTTGGGGATCTTCAAGATTCTATTTCGGAGGTCCAGGCACGTTGGGGTCTAGGCTCCCCAAATGATTGAAGCTTGGACACACAATAAGCCATCTAAACTCCTGAACCCTTGCCCTCGCCTGGACGACGACCCAAAAGCTGCTCCAGAAGTCAGCGGTGGGCAGGCTGACGACCTCAGCAGAGGGTTTCGGGTACGGGTCAGCAACTTTGCTTCACAGGGCCAGTGCTCATGTACCTTAGCTTAGTCCTTTCTCTTGTTCCAAGCTAGGGACTCAGGTTCAGCTATCAGCCTACAGCCGCACGCAACCTTTACCAGGAGTCTTCTGCAGGGTGCCTCAATGGCAGTCCGCAGCGAACACACGGCGAAGAAGATGTAGATGAAGAAGGTCACGGCTTTGCTAAAGCCTTGACCTGTCAAGTGGCACCGTTGACGCCGCCCCCCGAGCTTGCGCGCAGATGTAGGGTTTGCTTGGAGGGTCATGGTACGTATTGACCAATGAATACTGTACTTATGACTGTAGTTATAACCATATTACGGCACTGAAGGGGCTTATAAGTGGGTTGTAAGTACAGTGATAACTGGTTAAGAAGTACCATGAACCTCCAAGTGGGGTTTCTGGAAGGTCTCCTCGTAAGACGTACCCTGGCTAGCAGCAACCCAGGTCCGATGTCCGCGACGACCTACTATAGGGGGCTTAATGGTTAGAGTAGGGTTTTGGGGAGGTTACCATGGTATAATTATGAAGGGACGAGGGAATACTGTTGGCCCTAAACCCTAAACCCTAAACCCTAAACCCTACACCCTAAACGCTAAACGCTAAACCCTAAACCCTAAACCCTAAACCCTAACCTCTAAACCCTAAACCCTACACCCTACACCCTACACCCTAAACGCTAAACCCTAAACCCTAAACCCTAAACCCTAAACCCTAAACCCTAAACCCTAAACCCTAAACCCTAAACCCTAAACCCTAAACCCTAAACCCTAAACCCTAAACCCTAAACCCTACCCTAAACCCTAAACCCTTTTTCCGAATCTCGGTGCGGCCTCGCTCCAGCTTCTTCAGCTCCTGCTGCCTCGAGCTCACCGCCTCGTCCAGGCGCTGCGCCATCGCCTCAGTAAGACACCGAGGCCCTGGAGCTCTGGAACAGGTTTAGGGTTTAGGGTTTAGGGTTTAGGGTTTAGGGCTTAGGGTTTAGGGTTTAGGGTTTAGGGTTTAGGGTTTAGGGTTTAGGGTTTAGGGTTTAGGGTTTAGGGTTTAGGGTTTAGGGATCAACAGGCCCCCGCACAAAAAAAAAAAAAAAGAAGAGTGAGAGGGTGCACAAATCACCCTGCACCTCAAGCTCCAAAGGCCACAAGACACTCCAGGATGGCCACTGGAACCCTCTGAGAAAAGGTCTAGAGGTTAGGGCTTAGGGTTTAGAGTTTAGGGTTTAGGGTTTAGGGTTTAGGGTTTAGGGTTTAGGGTCCTGAACATGATCCTCCTAAACCCACATGACGGAAAATGTACAATGTCCCAAAACCCGACCTGGGACATCATGCGGGGGTTTCCGAAATTCGGGGTGCCACATTAGGGTCCTTACGCTAAGGGAATCCTACTATTCGGGCCCTTATTTTCGTAAACCCTAAACCCAAACCCTAAACCCTAAACCCTTAAAGGTGTTGCAGGTTCCTCTGGGCTTCCGGGCATCGCCGCTGGCGCTACTGGCGGTGCTGGAGGCTAGAAGCGGCGCCTGCCGCGCCCCGTCCATCTCGCCTCAGGCCCGGGGGGGGGGGGCGGTCAGACTACGGCGATGTCAACCCTAAACCCTAAACCCTAAACCCGAAACCCTAAACCCTCCCATGAAGGGCCCTTTTCTGGGGCCCATGTGTTTAAGTCAGCGAACCATGAACCTCGGAATCCTTTCAGGGCCTCTATAGTCAGTTCTCTTTGTGTCCCTGTTGTCATGTCCTGTAAGGGTACCTAAAAAGGGACCGTAACTGAGAGAGGTAACCTTACGAAGCCTAAGCCCCGCAAGGAATCAGGAAGTTGTGTGGAGAGTTTAGAAAGTAGGGTTTAGGGTTTCGGGGTTAGAGTTTCGGGTTTAGGGTGTTGGAACTTCAGGGGATGATGGGCTTGAGATGTAGGCTCTGGTCCCAGCGGGGGGGGGGGGCTTCAAACCGTCCTCTGACGTGTGCGAGCACTACAAGAGACCTGCAGGCTTCGCAATAAGACCATGGATACCCGAAAGCCCCAAGGCACCAAACACTGAAACCAGGGTGTGCACGGCCCTGTGCATGCAGGGCACCAGATATTGCGCGGGTGAGCTCCCGCTGGACCTCTCAGGCATTCGGGCGAGTCTCTCAAGCCTCCTAAACCCTAAACCCTAAACCCTAAACCCTAAACCCTAAACCCTAAACCCTAAACCCTAACACTGACGTCTGGACCTCCAAGCCTCCTGGCTTGGCTTACGAACTGAACACAGCCGAGGCATTGTCGATACTTCTGTCGCAGAATGTCTACTCGGGGGTTTCCGAAAATAGGGGACCCCTTAAGCAGACCCCAAATAGTAGGATTCCCTTATAACAAGGACCCCAATCAGGTACCCCAATTTCGGCAACCACCACTCGGACTTAGTCTGCTTCCTCTGTAACGACCAAGCACGAAAGGAGAAGTGAAACGACGAGTACTTCTGTGTGCTGGTTGCAACACTACGACCCTAAACCCTAAACCCTAAAACCTAAACCCTAAACCCTAAACCCTAAACCCTTGCGGGGAAGAACCGCCTCTGCGAGGGCATGGCCGTTGCTTGCGCTCCATGGCCAGTGTCCCAGGGCCAGGCGGATGGCAACCTTCGTTCGAGCTGCTAGGAATTGTCAGCTATTTGCTTAAGAACCTCCAAAAAACCCAAAGAAATCTTCCTTATAAGGGCGATATCGGGATTATATTTTTGAATTTGTTGGGGCTTCTTAAGCAAATTATCGTTATGGTTTTGACTGGTTCAACAACGTGCAAAAGGTCCGGTGTGCCAGGAACTAATCACAATGTGAACAGACAGACTAACCTCTAAGAGAGTTGTTGGGGGCCTTGAGCGTGCCTTGAGAACTGCAATGGGGGTTTCCCAAGATGATGTTGTGCCCTTTTCGTGGGGTCCTGTCAGGGGGACTATCGCATGTCGGGTGAAATCCATTTGCATCACATAATTCAGGTTTAACCTTCACCAACCATATTAGGGCCCTAAACCCTAAACCCTAAACCCTAAACCCTCAACCCTCAAACCCTAAACCCTAAACCCTAAACCCTAAACCCTAAACCCTAAACCCTAAACCCTAAACCCTAAACCCTAAACCCTAAACCCTAAACCCTGCGATTGCTCAAAAGCATCCAGTGAAAACCGTACAGAGACTTTGCGAAGTCACCGCACGCTGCTCCTACGACCCCCCTGGCTTGCCAGCTCGAGTTCGGGGAGGCGCGCGTGGGATTTAAGGTTGAAGGTTTAGGGTTCAGGGTTCAGGGTTCAGGGTTCAGGGTTTAGGGTTTAGGGTTTAGGGTTTAGGGGTTAGGGTTTAGGGTTTAGGGTTCAGGGTTCAGGGTTCAGACGTCTTCACCGTCAAAGGCTGGGCCAGCGAATTCAGAGCAATTCATGCCCACGTGGTTTGTCTCCAAATCACTTCTTCGAAACAGTCCGCAAGACCGCATGCTAAACCCTAAACCCTTAACCTAAACCCTAAACCCTCAACCCCCGACCCCCAAACCCCAAACCCCAAACCCCAAACGCCCAAACCCCAAACCCAATCAAAACCCCAGAAAATGGGGCCCGAGGGGCTGTGGAGAGCAAGCTGCCGCCCAGGACCCGGCCACCCAAGAGAACGAGGTCCACCAGGCGGTTGCCTGTCGCGAAAGGGTTTCGGGTTTAGGGTTTAGGCCCCTCACAAGGTTGGTGAACGACAGAAACTGGTGGCTTTTTGGGGATTGGGGGGATGTTTAGGGTTTAGGGCTTAGGGTTTAGGATGTGTTACGGCTTCACAGGGTGCTCACCTGAGTATCGAATGGGGGAGAGCATGCATCACTCATCGTGACTTGGCTTAATGTCGTGGCTGTTGCGCAGGGCTACCCATGAACCTCCGAGTAGCTGCCCAGCATGAGGAGTTACTTCTTGCCTCCAGACATGCTTTGCGGGCCGCCTACTCTGGCTTCTGAGGGCCCTGAACCCTAAACCCTAAACCCTAAACCCTAAACCCTAAACCGGTGCAGCCCGGGTGCTGAACGGTCGGTTCGCGGCCAGGAAGAGCGAGACGATGGTGCTGAGGTCCAGGAGGAAGGCAGCGGCGGTAAACCAGAGCTGCAGGGGTAGCTTGCGGGGACTTCAGTTGCAAGAGCACCCGAAATCCTATGGCAAAGCAGCAGCCAAGATCCTAACGCAACCTAAACCGTTTGTAAACCTAATTCCCGAAACCCAGCTAGCAGTCTCCCAACTCAGGCCACGGCCCTGCCGCTCCCCATGTTGCCCAGGAGGAGGTCAGCACAAGGGGGGAAGGGACCCTAAACCCTAAACCCTAAACCACCCTAAATAAACCCTAAACCCTAAACCCTAAACCCTAAACCCTAAACCCTGGAGCCTAGACCGGGGGGCTTCGGATTGAAGAGGGTCTCGACGGCCGTAGGTGCACGCTGGAGTATGTTATTGGAGGGCAGAAGATGAGCGTGGACCCATTTCTTGTGGTGCATGGCCTATCTCTGCGTCTTCAGCCAAAAGGGAACTTGTCAGGACGCCGTTTTGGCGAACAAGATAGCCACGTTCCAGGAAAGCCATACCGAAAACTGCAAGCCTTGTCACATGAAACGTCCAGGTTGGGATTCTTGCTTTGCGGCAGCGAGCTGAGATTCTGGGTTGTTTTGGGGCTTTTTCTATGCTCGGATATATCAACTACGAGTCCAGGGCAGGTATTGCAAGACTTTCGCCGCGTCATTAGACTCTCAGTAAGAAGGGTTGGGATGATTTCTCAGGTGCCAGTCAGGGATGGAACGGTCAGGGTCAGGGTTGAGAAGTGCCCCAAAGCATGCCAACTGACGTTCGGGTTTCTCCAAGGGCTGTCGCCAACGGGGCCAATGCCCCGTGGCCTGAGGCCCCGAGCATCTATGTAAGGCCAAAAAAAAAAGCATCCCCCGAACACCCCCCGCCCCCCTTCAAGCTCACCCTGACCCTAGAACCCTAAACCCTAAACCTAAAACTAAAACCCTAAAACCCCTAAACCCTAAACCCTAAACCCTAAACCCTAAACCCTAAACCCCCAAAAGCCCTACACAACATCCCTCTATTTTCCCCGCACCCCTGAGGTCCACAGAGGGCCCGGACGGCTGGCCGATGTAGCGGGTCAGGTTGTTCACGTCGATGACGGCGGCGGCCTGTCAAGAATTGCATTGCGGCGCTGGTTTAGGGTTTGGGGTTTAGGGTTTAGGGTTTAGGGCTTGGGGTTTAGGGTTTCGGGCTCAGGGCGTAAGGTTTAGGGTTTAGGGTTTGGGCTGTTGAACACAACCACTGGAAGAGCATGAGAAGTCGATGCAACCCTCAACCCTGGACCCTAAACCCGAGATCCCAAAAACCCGAAGAGGTCCTACACACCTCATGCTGATCCCGAAGCCCCCCCCCAAACCCACAGACCAACTAGTTGGCTGCTCCCCTACATTCCGGTGCCTATTTGGGGGTTCCTATTGAATTACTAACCCTAAACCCTAAACCCTAAACCCTAAACCCTAAACCCTAAACCCTAAACCCTAAACCCTAAACCCTAAACCCTAAACCCTAACCATCACATATAGGGTTACCCATAGTGGGAGCCGAGCATCAACTCTGGAAGCCAGAATCACCACAACTCCATCTCGCGAGCATACGTCCCTTCGAACAAGAGCGGAGATGTGGGTATGTGTGTGCTTTGTTTAAGTGGCACCTTGGGACTTATATACAGAACTCTTCTCAACATATCAAAAGGACTGGAGGAACCGACAAAAGAAAGAGATACCACCGAAACATGACAGGAACACCAAAAGGCCCATGATCTAGAGAACTGCCCATATATGGGGTTGTAGGGTTTAGGGTTTAGAGCTTAGGGTTTACGGATATGCATGTTAACAAGGGGTACGAGACTTGAGAGTTCGGCCTGCTCGCTGGAGGGGTCCGCCTCGAGGCTTGGGGGTCTCAGGAGTTTAGGGATTGGAGGGGTTCAGGGTGGAGGGTTGAGGGTCTAGGGTCAGGATTTAGGGTTCAGAGTTCAGGTTTTAGGGTTCAGGGTTCAGGGCTCAGGGTTTAGGGTTTAGGGTTTAGGGTTTAGGGTTTAGGGTTTAGGGTTTAGGGTTTAGGGTTTAGGGTTTAGGGTTTAGGGTTTAGGGTTTAGGGTTTAGGGTGCTTCTTGGAGTTTTGGTTTTGGGGGACTCTGGGTGTTTCGGCGGCTTCGTTTCGGGGAACGCGGGGGGAGAGGGAAAACGGGGAGGCGGCTTTGTCAGGATTCCTGGATGATCTCTACTACTTGCTTCAGAACACCCCCAAAAGTATTGCGAAACATTCTTCCTTCTTAGAGGTAACATAGGGATTATTTCCTTGTTTTCTTATTTTTGGGGGGGGGGGGGCCTTAAGCAAATAGTAGATGTTCCTGGCCTTCTGCTGCCTCACGAGGTCGAGCGCAACCTGGTGCAGGGTTTGAACGGGCTTCTGGTTTAGGGCTTAGGGTTTAGGGTTTAAGGTTTAGGGTTTAGGGTTTAGGGTTTGGGGTTTGGGGTTTAGGGTTTAGGGTTTAGGGTTTAGGGGGCCCTGGTTTCGGGGAAGATTGGTTTAGGGTTTAGGGTTTAGGGTTCGGGGTTTAGGGTTTAGGGCTAGGGTTTAAGGTTGAGGTCAGCCCTTGACCGTGGTGGAGTCCGCCTCGGGTTTAGGGTTTCGGGTCCTGCCCTACTTTTCAGTACCCTTTCAAGCAACTCACCCTCCCGCCCCCACCCCCCCCAACAAAAGAAACCTAAACCCTAAACCCTAAACCCTAAACCCTAAACCCTAAACCCGCAGCCTTTCGGCTGACCTTCTCCAGGAGTTGCCGCAGGTTGCGAACCCCAGCCTCGTAGGCAGGGTTTATGGGGTTCAAGGGTCTAAGGGTTTAGGGTTTAGGGTTTAGGGTTTAGGGTGTATTGTTTAGGGTTTAGGGTTTAGGGTTTAGGGTTTAGGGTTTAGGGTTTAGGGTTTAGGGTTTAGGGTTTAGGGTTTAGGGTTTGGGGTTTGGGGTGTAGGGTTTAGGGTTTAGGGTTTAGGGTTTAGGGTTTAGGGTTTAGGGTTTAGGGCCCTTAAATCCAAAACCCTAGATCCTAGACCCTAAAATAATAAACCCCAAACCCTTTTGCCAGCAGGCTGTAAGAATTTACGGGAGGCCGCTCACCAATTCCACACAGGGAGGACATCTTTGGGCTGCTCAAGGTGCAGGGTTCTCACGTCTCCACAAACAATTGGGGGTTGAATCATGGCTTGCCAGTTGTCTCTTAGTTTACACTACCCAAATAAGGGCCCCATAGAGCAACCTCCATTTCGCCTAACACCCTCTAAAGCGCCCTAAGCCTCAACCCCGCCGGAGGCGGGGCCTCGCGGGCGTAATCCTTGATCATCTTCTGCAGCGCATCGTCCTCGCCAGCGAACCCTTCAAAACGGTCGCAAGACCCAAACCTTGAACCCGGGCTGCCTTCCCGTGCACTTGCAGCGGGCTGAGGTTTGATGTTTGCCTTGTTTTCGTTTGCTATATGCGTTTTGGTAGGGAGAACGACGCCAAAACCCAAAACCCTCCTTTTGGGTTCTGTGTCGAAGCACAGGGTCTGGGGCGATAGGGTTGCCCCAGTCCCCCTCAAGAACGGGGGGGGTGGCGACACTTGATTTCGAAGCCATCGCAAGACCCAGTCGGCAGTCAGATTTATACCTGTTTGTGTGTGTGTGTGTGTGTATAGATACACATAGAAATACAGACCTAGACATCGACGCCTTATGTGCTTGTTTGCACAGAGAACGTTTCCGTGCTGGATCGAAGACTGGCTGGTTCTGAGTAGGGAATCAAGGAACTAGGGCCCTATGTAATCCCTTACGGGGTATATATAGGCGTACCTCATTCCCTCATTCCCTACTTAGGTCGTTTTCTAAATTAGGGCCCCTTTTTGGGTACCCCTTATAAGGCGGCACCCTTTGAAAAGGATCCCAAACATGGACCTAATTTAGAGAACTACCCACTTAGAACCAGGGGGAATCGAAGACGGCAGACACCCATCAAAGCACCTTCACGATACCCGTCTTCGAGCTTCAGTCAGGCCCTCCGATCGATACCTAAACCCTAGACCCCAAGCTTCATCTTCTGGAGACATCGGCGGTCAACGACAGGGGTTTCGACCAGAAAATCTCCCGTTAAGAGCCAGCTCTCTGTTCAACACAAAAGCAGGGGGCTGCTGTGCCATGAACCTCTGGTAAAAAAAACGTAAGTGCACAAAGAGAGTGAGACTTTTAAGGCCGGCCTGGATTTGAAGATGGTTCCAACAATCTTGTCGGGATCTGGTTCCATAGAACCCCGGGACCACTCTTCAACTAGACATGTCCACACGAGAAGGCACGCGTTAATGTCTTCTGAACCGGCTTTACATGGCGATTCCCTGTTTGCAGCCTTTTGATAGATCACACGCAGTCTCACATGCCAGCAGAGACTGGAATGTTCTTGGTGCAGGGTTCACGTGCGATGGCTCCCGTTGTGTTAAAGCAAATTTTGTCGGGCGCTTTCAGCATGTCACGATGTCCCAACCCTAAGAACACAACATCGTAGACCAAGCCGAACAGGGGCGCCAAGCGAGCCACCCTCTGTTGACACCGCAAGCCAGCGAAAACTCCTGAATAGGGGTCCCTCAGAAAAGACGCATGTGGCCAGAATGTGCCATTCAAACCTTCCAGTGCCCAGAATGCCACATTGGAAGTCAACCGGTTCAAGGTATTAGTAAATTTCAGGTCTTCAAACTATCGCCCTTGAATGATAAAGGCCGGTGGCCTCTTTACCTGCTACCCCTATACCTTAATCTACCCCTAGATACCCTACTAAGAACCCCGAATATATGCCCTACAGAACAGAAACCCTACTTAAAGAGACCACCAACCCCTAAACCCTAAACCCTAAACCCTAAACCCTAAACCCTAAACCCTAAACCCTAAACCCTACACCCTAAACCCTAAACCCTAAACCCTTGAACATCTTCACTGCCCCAAAATTGGCCCATGCCTCATGGTCAGCCCTGGACATGCACCCGCCTGCATCTTGATCCGCTCAGTTCCGACACCGCTCTGCTCCTGCCGAAAGCCACTGATGCCCGGGTTCAGGGTTCAGGGTTTAGGGTTTAGGGTTTATGGCGTAAGGTTTAGGGTTTAGGGTTTAGGGTTTAGGGTTTAGGGTTTAGGGTTTAGGGTTTAGGGTTTAGGGTTTAGGGTTCAAGGCTCAAGGGTTGAAGTTGCACGTCGCACGCACGCGCACGCGCGTGTGAGAGGCTGCAGGTCTGCGGTTGTTGACGCGTCCCACCAGTCCCACCTCCGTCTGGGGGATCAGGTACCTGACATCGGACATCATCGAAACCACAAGCGAATGCCGCAGCACCAGGACCTTCACGGTAGAGCACCGCAAGACCAAATACCGATAACTAAAACACAATACACAATAACGACAATACACTGCACATGTGCGGGGTCACTTGTTGGCAATGACCAGCTTCTCCTCAAACACATAGCCGGCAATTCGGATGACTTCCATCCGGTCCTTCCCGAAGCAAGGTGTGTTCAAGCGGCTCAGGCTCACGTACGCATGGCAACACTTGTCATCATCCCCATCACCACCACCACCACCAACAACATCAGCAGCAACAACAACAGCCACAACGATCACGACAGCGACCACCACCGTCGCCGCCACCACCACCACCGCCACCACCACCACCACCACCACCACCACCACGATGACCACGACGACCACAACGACCACGACGGCCACGACGGCCACGACGGCCACGACAGCCACGACGACCACGACCCACGGCACACAAGCACCAGCTCACAACCACAAACTACAATAGCCACGGCCAATAGAAGCTTAAAATCACAATTGACGACGACAACAACAGCATCATCACCACCATCATCGTCACCGCCACCGCTGCCGCCGCCACCACCAGCGCCATGTCACCATGATCCTCTTCGTCTTCGTCGTCATCGTCGTCATCGTTGTCATCGCAATCAACCCCACCACGATCGCTACCACTAAAGTACCACTACCCCTACACCCTACACCCTACACCCTACACCCTACACCCTACACTCTAAACCCTAAACCGTAAACCCTAAACCCTAAACCCTAAACCCTAAACCCTAAACCCTAAACAGACTGAGCTCAGGGCGAGAAGCGGCGTCGGGATGGTCTCGAGGACGTTGGCCGTGCTCAGAAAGAGCACATTGGAGAGGTCCACAGGCACCTTTCCAGAAGACTCACGCGTTTAGGGTTTAGGGTTTAGGGTTTAGGGTTTAGGGTTTAGGGTTTAGGGTTTAGGGTTTAGGGTTTAGGGTTTAGGGTTTAGGGTTTAGGGTTTAGGGTTTAGGGTTTAGGGTTTAGGGTTAAACGGGGTCTTTAAGGCTTTAGGGTTCTTTTTAAGGGTGAAACTGGCTGTAGGGGGTGTAGAAGGGGAAAGCCGGGCATGTTTAGAGCATGAGACCGGGGTCGGCACATCGAGGTAATGGTCCCGGAAGCTGTTGTTTTGCTCCGGGTCCAGGACTTCCAGCAGTGCCTGAGTCCCAAAAAGGGAGGGGGTAGGGGTTTAGGGTTTAGGGTTTAGGGTTTAGATTTCAGGGTTTAGGCGTAGGCGGGGGGGTGGGGAGGGGGTGGTGTCTTTGAGAAGGATCCCCCCTCAAAATCTCACAGATCCAGCAACTCCCAGACGCTTCGAAGGCACAACGAAGTTGAAAGTCCCCATAGCCGCCCTCTGAGCTCCCAAACAAACGTTTAGGATTTAGGGTTTAGGGTGTAGGGTGTAGGGTTTAGGGTTTAGGGTTTAGGGTTTAGGGTTTAGGGTTTAGGGTTTAGGGTTTAGGGTTTAGGGTTTAGGGTTTAGGGTTTAGGGTTTAGGGTTTAGGGTTTAGGGTTTTTAGGTTTAGGGTTTAGGGTTTAGGGTTTAGGGTTTAGGGTTTAGGATGTAGGGTTTAGGGTTTAGGGTTTAGGGTTTAGGGTTTAGGGTTTAGGGTTTAGGGTTTAGGGTTTAGGGTTTAGGGTTTAGGGTTTAACCACCCTTAAAGCCCTGAAAGCCGAAACCATCCGAAACCCCGAGCGCAAGAAAACAACATCCTAAAACCCCGGAACCCTGAACCCTAAACCCGAATAAGCCACCCTTAAAGCCCTGAAGCTGAAACCCCCTGAACCCTAAACCCTAAACCCTAAACCCTGAACCCTAAACCCTAAACCCAAAAAAAGCACAAGCCCTCATTTCCAGCTAGGGCCCGGGCCGAGGAGGGATCTCCGCGCATGTCCCGGCCTTTGGCTTTCTTGGCTTAGGGTTTAGGGTTCAGGGTTTAGGGTTTAGGGTTTAGGGTTTAGGGTTTAGGATGTAGGGTTTAGGGTTTAGGGTTTAGGGTTTAGGGTTTAGGGTTTAGGGTTTAGGGTTTAGGGTTTAGGGCGTGGAACAAGGGAACAAGGGCTTAGGGTTTGAAGGTTTAGGGTATAGGGGACGGCTGCGCTTGGGCTTCAGGTTTCCGGGATTGGAAGCTCGGAACTGGACGGTTCGGACTTTGGATTGAGGCTTGTGCGATGAAGGCTACGAGGTTTAGGGGTTGAGGGTTTAGGGTGTAGGGTTTAGGGTTCAGGGTTTAGGGTTTATAGGGCTCTGAGGACTTGGGATTCAAGGCGTAGAATCTCTGTACTCCCCTTAGAACCTTAACTTCGAACATCCCCACCCTCTCTTGGTAGAGGGCACTGCAAGGGAGACTCTGGGGCTGCGCTCCGGGGACAGTGGGTTAGGCACTCCAGGGAGACTCTGGGGTTGGGCACTCCGGGAACACTCTGGAGGAACACTCTCAGGCAATCTGGGCTGGGCACTCCGGACACTCTGGGGGCACTCCAGGGAGACTCCGGGGTTGGGCACTCCAGGGACACTCTAGGGGCCCAGGGACACTTTGGGGTTGGGCACTCCAGGGATGAGCGAGGAGCAGACCGGGCGAGGAGAAGAGTTCCGGGCGAGGAGAAGAGTTGAGTTTGAAATCTAACAACCCCACACCGAGGGTGGGGAAAAATAGTCTTTTTAATATCCTCTTGGGTTTTACATCAACAAAAATAAAACATAATTCGCAAGGGGGATATAGATCTGGGAAGGCCACCGAGCTTGTCGATCTCGTCGATGAGAACCACGGGGTTCGAACACCCGACGCTCTTGAGGCACCTCGGACGGAAGCGCGCTTGCTGCGCCCTAAACCCTAAACCCTAAACCCTAAACCCTAAACCCTAAACCCTAAACCCTAAACGGGCGGGTAGAACGGCGTGTTGACCCGTGATTCTGCTGATGCTTCTCCGAGGAGGCTGCTGGATGAGCTTGCCCGGCATTGCACCCACCTCGGCATGGCGATGTTTAGGGTTTAGGGTTTAGGGTTTAGGGTTTAGGGTTCAGGGTTTAGGGTTTAGGGGTTAGGGGTTAGGGTTTAGGGTTTAGGGTTTAGGGTTTAGGGTTTATGCTTCGGCCTTTGACCAAGTTCACTGGAGGCCTGCACAAGAACGCAGTAGCTACCGCGCGCCTTTTCTCGTCCACAGGCCCGCAATTCATTAGCCTTAAGGGGGCGCAGGCTGTTCAGCCAGCGACTTCTTGTACCTCGGCAACCTATCGGACCCATCGCTGAACCCCCGTGCGCAGAAGCCAGGCCCTTACATCTCACAGCTTTGGAGACAAGGCAGCCCAATCATCCACGGATTCAAGCGACCCAAGCACATCGTGCTGCTGAAAAGCTTCTTTTATGTTTCTTGAGCCATGCGAAGACTGTTCCAAGGTGGAAAAAGGTGTGAAAAAGTCTTCACTCTGGCTTGGCATGGGGCTTTAGCAGCGCATCCACGTTCGCATCAATCCAGCGCGCCCGGGACACGAGGTATTGAGACAGGTGCTCAGAGGCCCTGTCGAAGCTGTGGGTGTCTTCGGGCTCGCAGCAGCGCCAGAAGCCACACCTGTTGGTTCCTGCAGCGCATGCTGCATGCATGCATGCAGGGCGTGTCTGTAAACCTGGAAACCTAGAAGTAGGTATTGGGCAGGCTTGGACTGTCGAGATGGTTCGCACAGCCCAGAGACTCCAAAACCCCTTAATTAAGCAATGTACCTTAAATTATAGTAGGAACCCTAATATGATTTAAGGTATATTCCTTAATTAAGGGGTTTTGGAGTCTCTGGGAGATGCCGGGCTTCTTCTAATTCACGTCGAGCTGCTCCGCCAGATGTGGAGATCATTCTTTGCGGCGGCAGAGATCTGCGAACTTCTCCTCCTGCCACATCAAAACCCCTAAAACCTAAACCCCCACCCCCTCCCCCAAAACAAGAAAACAAGAACCCAGAGACTCCAAAACCCCTTAATTAAGGTATATTGCTTTATTAAGGGGTTTTGGAGTCTCTGGGAACAGCAAGAACAGCCCTCCGTTGCCTGACCATTTCAATCAAGTTGGCATCACCCAGCATACGCCCCCGGGCGGCTTTCCACGCATGGGCAAAGGCGGCCTTCCCGGTGCTGTAAAGGCACAAAGGGCCGAGGGCCCAGAATATTTTGGCTTGAGATAGGGGGTTCCCAAAACATGATAATCCTTACTACAGTAGAAGGACCCCCCCCCCCCTTCCTAAAGGGTACCCCAATCCTCGAAAACGCCCCATATGCTTCCAGAACTTCGGCGAGGTGCACCTCCTCTTACGCCCCCTGCTTTCAGGCCCCAAAGCCATGAAGCCCTACTTGGAAGTTCGCAGTTCCGAAAACAAGTCGGGTTTAGGGCTTCGTGCGTCCGCATCAGGAGTGCTCAGAAATGCAGTTTCGACCTCCTAGGCCCTACTTATGCGCGCCATGAGCCTGTCAAGCAAGCCTTTCGTCCCCTCCCCCTAATGTTCAACCCCCACCCCCTAACATTAAGCACACCCATGATAGGTGTATTCTAGTGTATGGGGGAATAATTTCATATTAGGAGGTAAGGGGGGTTTGAGCTCGAAGGTTCGTGCCCAATGAGTCTGCTTATAACCTGCTTAGGGGGACCCAGGGGGCTTCTAAGTACGGTTTGTTTGTTTGGGGGGGGCTATAGGTGCCCATGAACCTCCAAGTATTATTGGGGCTCGGGGTTTTTGAGAGCGGATTCGGGGCCTTGAAGCCCGGATAAAGCCAAAGGTTCAGGAACAGCTGGCGCTTGTTGATGCCGAAGTGCTGCACCTAAGCTCCAGTGAGTGTCGGGGCTGGGGTTGAGGGTTGAGGGTTGAGGGTTGAAGGTTTAGGGTCTAGGGTTTAGGGTTTAGGTTACTAGGGTTTAGGGTTTAGGTTACTAGGGGTTCGGACTTATGTGAGGGGTTGGGGCCTCATCCAGTCTCCCAAAAGCCGAAATCCGAAAGGCAACTGCATGAACCAGCCTAGCCGCGCTCCCGCCCGGGATGCCGGAGGGCCCTATCCACAGCGCGTCCGCGCGGGAGTTCTCAACGTTCCAGCCAGTCCTTTGCTCCGACCGGGAGGCTTAGGGTTTAGGGTTTAGGGTTTAGGGTTTAGGGTTTAGGGTTTAGGGTTTAGGGTTTAGGGGTTAGGGGTTAGGGTTTAGGGTTTAGGGTTTAGGGTTTAGGGTTTAGGGTTTAGGGTTTAGGGTTTAGGGTTTAGGGTGCATCAATCACAACAACTAGATTGATGGCTCCTGGAAACCGAGGGCATCGGATTCGGTCAACACCGACACTTCAGGTGTATCAGGCAAAGAGTGCCGAGTTGAGAGCAAGGTACAACTCCTGTCTTGTGAGACAAAAGACAATGAGTTGGGTAAATGAGGCTGGTGCTAGCTGCTAGGCCATTCCGAGATCATAGCCCTGTCGGCCGGTACTTCAACAGCATCCTACTTAAGGTGAAGGGCTATTATGTACTCTTGGGAACTCGGGAGCAAGGTCAATCTGGTTTTCCCCTGTCTTTGATCTGAGGCGCACTCCCAAAGAGACGTTCTGAGTGAAGACGTTTGTGAAGTATCGAGGCATGCAGGCGAAATCGAATGCCAGGTCGAAATCCCACGGGGCGGCATGCAGCAGCCGCCCCTGCCGGACCATCACGTAGTTCCTTGGGGCACCAGCTACGAGCTGTCAGGGCTCAAGGTTTTCAAAGGTGGCTCGCGGCTTTGCCGGCTTTGCGTTGTTTTTTCAGCGTATTCTCCATGCAGCTCACCCACTCCCACGCTCACGGCCACTCAGCGAGGCTTGAGGGGATCCTACACAGCCATACGCAACAGCCCTTCCCAAGCTTCGAGAAGGCATAGCCGTCCACATCCTTCGCCAGCTCCTCCACCAGGAAGTAGCGCACGAAGCTCCCGAAGTCAAGAAGATCCTCCAGCCCAGCAGCGCCGGAGGCTGCGAGGGAGTCGACTGAATTGACCAGCTCCTGGAGGAAAGCCTTGCTGCTGCTGGGAAGGCCCTTCCTGAGTTGTCCAGTAACCTGGGGGAGTTCAAGGTTAACCCTTGGGATTCTATAGGGATTCTATAGGGACTCGAAACACGCCCAAAAAAAAAGTTACAAAGGTTTCCTACTCTACTAATATAGGGGTTCGAATACCCCAAAAAGGTTTCCGGTTACCTACTCTACCACTAAGCCCTACCTAATCCCTTGAAGGGGTATATATAGGACCCTAGCCAGAGACTCCAAAACCCCTTAATTAAGCAGTATACCTTACATTATAGTAGGAACCCTGATATTATTTAAGGCATATTCCTTAATTAACGGGTTTTGGAGTCTCTGGGCAATTACCTCATTCCCTACGAAGCTTCTTGGGGGAGAGCACGCTGAAGAAGGTGGAGGTCACGTTGCTGCGGAGCGCCACCTGAAGCTGCGGCATGCCCAGTGTGTAGGGTTTAGGGTTTAGGGTTTAGGGTTTAGGGTTTAGGGTTTAGGGTTTAGGGTTTAGGATTTAGGGTTTAGGGTTTAGGGTTTAGGGTTTAGGGCTTAGGGTTTAGGATTTAGGGGTCCTAGGAGGGCATCCTGTAACTGCACCCGCTTTCCCAAGCACAAGGAGCTCAAAACCCTCAAACCCTCAAACCCTCAAACCCTCAAACCCTCAAACCCTAAACCCTAAACCCTAAACCCTAAACCCTAAACCCTAAACCCTAAACCCTTCCAACGTCCTGAGTGCGGAATTTCGACCCCTCACTCGCCTTGCCAGCCTTGGCCCAGTCGATGGTCAGCAGGAAGTCAGAGGCCTGGGGCTTGCCCGGCTCCGTATGGCAGGAATCCTGCACAGGGTTTAGGGTTTAGGGTTTAGGGTTTAGGGTTTGGGGTTTAGGGTTTAGGGTTTAGGGTTTAGGGTTTAGGGTTTAGGGTTTAGAGCTTGCGAGTTCTTGGTGAGGAAAATGCGGGATTGCGCGGCATGAGCTTTAGGCTGTATGTTCCCCCTGCTTCTTTCAACTTGAAGGGACTATACTCCCCTTCGAACCTTAATAAACATACTCTTTTTAGTATCCTCTTGGGTTTATATGAACAAAAATAAACAATAATTCCCGAGGGGGATATAGGGGATTATGCAGGGCACGTGCACCATGTATGCGTAGATACGTGCAGTGCATGCATGCACGGAGCCGAGGAATAAGCACCAAGTCCATACGGAACAACAAAGCAACGCCATGCCATGAACCCAAAGGAGACACATGAAGGACAAGGAAGCGCGCGGAAGATGGAGGGTGTTTAGGGTTTACAGTAAACTCCAGAAAGTTGGAACATGGCTTGCGGATGATCAGAGCTGGTATTCCCTTTAGTCTACCTTCCGGGGTATGGGGACAAGGATGCTCCAACTTTCTGGAGTTTACTGTAGGGGGTGTAGTGAGGGCCAAAGAAGGGTTGTTCGAAAGCTTCACAGAAAACCCTAAACCCTAAACCCTAAACCCTAAACCCTAAACCCTAAACCCTAAACCCTAAACCCTAAACCCTAAAGGCTGGTGCAGGCGAAGATCCAGGCGACCACCCCCACACTCGATCCGCTCGCCAATGTAGTAGAGCCCGTAGTCGACTCCTGAGCAGGCGAGTCACGGAACATCATGGAAAGTTCCCTCTGGGATCTTGATTTCATTGAGGGTTTTAGGGTTTAGGGTTTAGGGTTTAGGGTTTAGGGTTTAGAGTTTAGGGTTTAGGGTTTAGGGTTTAGGGGTTCGGGGGGAGTCGTTCTGCACCAGTCTGAGATCAATCACAGTGGTTGTCATGGACTGGGGCCGAGGCCGTGCCACTCCACGTTCACATAAACAGTGTCTGTGGCCCAACCGCCCAGCTTGCGGTACACCTCGAAGGCTGTGGGGTTTCGCTGGAAAGACACGTCCACAAAGGATGTCGCCAATACCCACCGCTTGGCCGGCGACATACCAAGAAGGGGCATCTGCGTGGGCAGCTTCAGTGAGAACTGGTGCTTTGGAAACATCGCAGAGGAATGCCCCCTGGAGTGCATGTGCACATCTGGAATGATGTGGTTGTCAATTTCCAACCTCACCGTGCCGTTCCAATGTGTCACATTTGAGCAGCCTGGCCCCTCGTAAAGAGGCGTGCAGACTCGTGGGACCCAGTTCAAGTCTCTCGGCGGTGGCTCGGGACCTGCCGGGACGACAGTTTAGGGTTTAGGGTTTAGGGTTTAGGGCACTCTGCAATCTTTCCGCTAAGCAAACGACAGCGCACAACTTGCACCGCAGTTCTCAGACGCGCTTCATAAGGCAAAGACCTCCAAAGATTCTGAGGGTGGCGATGGAGGACCTGCAAAGAGCAGCCAGGTGTGTGCAAGGACCCGATGCCCGTGGTTCTAATCCTTAAACCTTCACACCCTAACTCCTAAACCCTAAACCCTAAACCCTAAACCCATACAACCAGTCATGCTTCTCTGTTTCATCCGAATTCCTTGGGATGTTCCCCTTGTACAACAGTCCTTAACAGGGATTATCATCGGGGGCACTATAATTCCTTACTAAGGGGCTGTTAGTATCAGGGCGAGCATCCCAACTTATGGGGTAAACCCTAAACCCTAAACCCTAAACCCTAAACCCTAAACCCTCAACCCTAAACCCTAAACCCTAAACCCTAAACCCATACCACCAGGAAGGTCAGGGTCTGCATCTCCGGCCTGGAATCGGCCAGCACCACGGCAGGCGCCCCATGCGCCGCCTCGCCGGCCTGGCGAACGCAGAGTTTGGGGTCTAGGGTGTAGGGTTTAGGGTTTAGGGTTTAGGGTTTAGGGTTTAGGGTCAACACCTCCAGAAGCAGAACCCTTTCGGTCCTGCTGTTTCGTTAGGCGTACTGCTGAAAAACTCAGGCTCTCCGTACTATCATGAGTAGTACTAGCAACAACGACAACGACAGCCACAATGAGAACCATCATAACCCTGAAATGAACCATAACAAAAAGAACAAGAATATATGCGCAATATCAATACTAGAGCTTCAACCGTATGAAAATTATGAAAAACAAGAAACATGAATGACATGAACAACAAGAATCATATGAATAATATGAAATCTTATAAATCATATGAATAATATGAAGAGCATGAAAAGAGTAACATGGAACAATATGAACGATATGAACAAACTGAATTTTATGAATGATATGAAGAAGATGGTGAATCTGAAGAAGTATCAATAATGAAGAGTACGACTAATACGAACAACGTGAAGGATACTTTGCCGAGGTGTGAGCGCAACCCCCCATCCCCTTCAGAAGCCCAAAAAGGGAAGGATTGCATGAAGCCCGTCGAAGAGGCGTAGGGTTAAAAGTATATTGTCATACTGTTCATATTTCGCATATGTTTCATATGTTTCATCTTTATCGTAACGGTCATTTTATTCCTCGTATTCAAGAAACTCATCACATTCCGAATTTTCCTGAGAGTATTCATGATTATCCGAAAATTTCCTAACATGAACGATAAGAATTGTGTTGAAAATATTCATGGTATTGAACAACTATCATAATAACAGTAGCAATATTAAGTATGCAACGAATACTAGCCATATGACTATCTTTACGAATAAACTATATCCATGAAACGAACCATTTTCAGAATATTAACAATCTTCAATTGCTAATACTATTGACAAGATTCATATGGTTGATTTATTCATATGGTTCATATTGTTCACATGGTTCGAACTACCAACGATTCACAAATTTCTTGTTTTCCAGCCTTTAAACACTCTAAAAACATTCTGAACATGACTTCTGTCAAACTATGGTTAAGTCTTTACCACATTACTTTACACTGTCAATAGAATAAACGGAAGCAATGTGAACGGCATCTTATGCATTTCTACTGGTGCTGTGACGTGTGGCCGGTATCATCTTCTGCTTTATGAAATCTCGGAGAGTTCGATCGAGGGCAGAACAAGGATGGGCTCTAGCCAGGCTTGGGAAGTCGAAACCCGAGAATGGGGCCCCTAAACCCTAACCCTAAACCCTAAACCCTAAACCCCAAGCCCCAAGCCCCAAACCCCAAACCCTAAACCTAAACCCTAAACCCTAAACCCTAAACCCAGATCCACTGTGCCTCGATGCCCTCATGAGCCCTCGGAGGGCCTCCGGCACTCGCAGGCCCAGCGCCAGGCCGCCACCCAGCAGGCCCAGGCCTAGGCCGATGCCAGCGCACGCGCACCTTGCGTGGTTTAGGGTTTAGGGTTTAGGGTTTAGGGTTTAGGGTCTAGGGTCTAGGGTCTAGGGTCTAGGGTCTAGGGTCTAGGGTCTAGGGTCTAGGGTCTGGGGTCTAGGGTCTAGGGTCTAGCGTTTAGGGTTTAAGGCTCGGAGCCCGGGAACGAAGCGCTTTAATCGGGGTTGCCGTTTTTTGCAACACCATGGGTTCAGTCTGGGCCGGCCTAACCCTAAACCCTAAACCCTAAACCCTGAACCGGCATGTGAGGCTCGTGACTCCCAGCCTTCGCAGGCGCCCCACCCAAGGGGGTCGCGCATCCGGCTCGGCAGAGTCCCTCGGATCGCCCGGGTCCAAGAGCGGCTGTGAAGCGGCCATGGCAAGGAAGCGAGCGTGAAGAGTCTAATCCGTGTTAGGTATAATATATATATATATATGTGTGTATAATATATATATATATATATGTATATATATATATGTATATATATATGTATATATATATGTATATATATATATATAAGCCATTCAATGCTTAGGATCTTGATCATGAGTATGATGGCTACTATTGCTGCTACTTGTGCTGCTAGTCCATTGCTATCACGGCTATCACGATCGTTTTCCTAAGCATTCTTAGACTTGTCTTTATTGCTGGGTCTGGGGTGGGGGGTCGGGGCTGTGAGATGTTTTTTGTCATCCCGTCAGCTTTCTGCTTGGCAGGAAAGGGGCAGAGACCATAGCAGCCATGTTGTTGAGCTGGGTTGCCCACACAGGCTGAAGGTGAATCCTTCTCATCTCGAATCCTTCTCATCTCGGGGTGTGCGAAGTTGTTTTTTTGTGCATTGGCTTCAACAATGTAGCTACACCCTACACCCTGCACCGCAGAAGCAGGTCCGATCTTTAGCAACGTTCAGCTCTCCGCGGCGACTTGGGTCTACTTTGGTCAGATGATTCGAGAACTCCCGGACGGCACCATTGTACGTCCTGAACTGGAAGAGTAAAGGCTCGGAGTCGGCTTGAGGAGCAGTACCAGGAGCAATAAAAGTAGCAGTAGAAGTAGCATTAGCAGCAGGAGTAGTAGCAGCAGGAGTAGTAGTAGTAGTAGTAGTAGTAGTAGTAGTAGTAGTAGTAGTAGTAGTAGTAGTAGTAGTAGTAGTAGTAGTCAGTAGTAGTAGTAGTAGTAGTAGTAGTAGTAGTAGTAGTAGTAGTAGTAGTAGTAGTAGTAGTAGTAGTAGTAGGAGTAGTAGTAGTAGTAGTAGTAGTAATTAGTAGTAGTAATTAGTAGTAGTAATTAGTAGTAGTAGTAGTAGTAGTAGTAGTAGTAGTAGTAGTAGTAGTAGTAGTAGTAGTAGTAGTAGGAGTAGCAGTAGTAGTAGTAGTAGTAGTAGTAGTAGGAGTAGCAGTAGCAGTAGTAGTAGCAGTAGCAATTAGTAGTAGTAGCAATGCCGCGAGCATGCTGCGAGCCACCGGTCCTCCGCAATGGAAGCCCATGGGCCTCGCTGAACGAGCAAAGCGCCGTGAAGACGTCGAGCCGGCTCGCGGCACGCTGACCTGCTTTGGCGGGGACGCAGCGTCGAGTCAAGAAGGGTCCTGGGGTCAGAAGAGCAACCGAAAGGTTTAGGGTTTAGGGTTTAGGGTTTAGGGTTTAGGGTTTAGGGTTTAGGGTTTAGGGTTTAGGGTTTAGGGTTTAGGGTTTAGGGTTTAGGGTTTAGGGTTTAGGGTTTAGGGTTTTTATTCAGGGTTCAGGTCCGGGGAAAGTTTCGAGAAAGTTTCTAGGAAAGTTTCGGTTTTTAAACTTCTGAATAATTTCAAGTTACAGGGGGCTTTGAGGGTTTAGGGTTTAGGGTTTCGGGTTTCGGGTTTAGGGTTTAGGGTTTAGGGTTTAGGGTTTAGGGTCAGCATGTCCAAGGCAGTGTCTGCAAGGATCGGCAGTCTTGAAACGCCCTGAGAGACGCCACGGGATCGCCACTGAGGAAAACCATCAGCGCCATGCAATGGTGCCGAGCGGCGGAGCCAGCCATGTGCCAGTAGGTGGCCCCGGACCAAGTCTTGCAACAAAGGCTGAAGAGGGAATATTGGGATTATTGGGGCTTGAGGTCAAAGTTTAAAGAGTCGAGAGAGACTTAACGAGTTCAGGGTGCTCTGTTCAAACAATGCTCCATGACTTAGACTCCATCTTGTGGGGCTGCGTTCAGGATGGGTCATTCCAGGCATCACGCCTGCAAGCAGGACGGAAGCCAGGTGCAAGGCAGGCAAAAGCACCCGGGCCCTAAACCCCAAACCCCAAACCGTAAACCCTAAACCCTAAACCCCAAACCCTAAACCCTAAACCCCAAAAGCAGCTTCTGCTTGGAGCTTGGGTGGCCGAAGTGAGCCCCGTGAGGCCTTGAGCGGCACGCAGTTTCAGGGTTTGTGGTTGGATGAGCTCACCCATGAATCATCTAGGCTTCATTAACGTTAGAACCCCATGTAGGGTTCTTTTCACGTTTCTAAAAAAACCGAATGTCATGAATCATCTAGGCTTTTCTAACGGGAGAAGAAACCCATTCAGGGCTTTTTTAACGTTTACAAAAAAACTAACACGCCCGAAGGCTGGGCCACCCCTAAACCCTAAACCCTAAAGCCTAAACCCTAAACCCTAAAGCTAAACCGAAACCCTAAACCCTAAACCCTAAACCCTATGCTTCGGGGTGGCCATCGCTGGGCGCCAGCTGCCACTCGCCGTGCAGCTTGGGGGACACGAGAGCTGCATGCAGCAGAGCTCTCTTTGTATGGACCTTGGGTTTAGGGTTTAGGGTTTCGGGTTTAGGGTTTAGGGTTTAGGGTTTAGGGTTTAGGGTTTAGGGTTTAGGGTTTAGGGTTTAGGGTTCAGCATCTCAAGTCCAAGCATTCACTAGTCAAGAAATTACTCCAGAAAAATACCCACCCGCCCAAAGAATCCCACAACATTAAGAAAATATTGCACTTATGGAACGACCTTGCCCAGTAAAAAAATGACCTTGCCCAGTAATGACCTTGCCCAGTAAAAAAAAAATGACCTTGCCCAGTAAAAAATGACCTTGCCCAGTAATGACCTTGCCCAGTAAAAAAATGACCTTGCCCAGTAAAAACACAACCTTGCCCAGTAAAAACACAACCTTGCCCAATAAAAAGATGACCTTGCCCAGTAATGACCTTGCCCAGTAAAAAATGACCTTGCCCAGCAAAAAATGACCTTGCCCAGTAAAAAAATGACCTTGCCCAGTAAAAAGATGACCTTGCCCAGTAAAAAGATGACCTTGCCCAGTAACATTTTTACTGGGCAAGGTCATTTTTTTACTGGGCAAGGTCGTTTTTTTGGACGAAACGACCTTGCCCAGTAAAAATGCCCTTGCCCAGTAAATCACCTTGCGCAGAAAAAAATGACCTTGCCCAGTAACTCCTTAACATTTAAATTATATACGAAAGAGAGGTTAGGGTTTAGGGTTTAGGGTTTAGGGTTTAGGGTTCAGGGTTCAGGGTTCAGGGTTCAGGGTTTAGGGTTTAGGGTTTAGGGTTGAGGGTTTAGGGTTGAGGGTTTAGGGTTTAGGGTTTAGGGTTTAGGGTTTAGGGTTTAGGGTTTAGGGTTTAGGGTTTAGGGTTTAGGGTTTAGGGTTTAGGGTTTAGCTCCAAATCCCTGCGTTCCATTCAACCTGGAGAACGACAAGGGGGCGCCGGGCACGCTAAGGCGGCCGCCGGGTAGTCGGGCTTGATGGAAATGCTGATTGCAGCCAGAGCTTTGCTGTTGCCTTTCCTTGCAGGGGAACGTTGCGACAGGGATTCCACATCCACTAAGGTGGCTTCTGATAGTGACGTGCTGTGTTGTGGGCAGCCACTGCCTCAGACGAAAGCTTTGACAAGCGGCATTTCCGCAAAGGTGTCGATTGCCTCGCTGAGATCCTCACGCAGCAATCCGGCAAATTCGGCAGATTATTGACCCTAAACCCCAAACCCCAAACCCCAACCCTAAACCCTAAACCCTAAACCCTAAACCCTGAACCCTAAACCCTAAACCCTTTGCTGCCCAGTGGCCTCATTCAGCTCGTCTCCATAGTATCCAAGCTGTTGGAGCACCTCGCACTACTGCGCAAAGACATGACAGATAAGCGGTGTATCATGATCTTCCGCTCCGTGAAGCCACGAAGGAACACACTGCCCTGCAAAAATCGCTGCTACAATTCTTGCGGGAGGCAGGATGGGACGAAAGCATCGAGCACGCAGAACGCCTGAGTTCAACTATCAATTGGCACAAAGGCCAGACAGACTCCTTCTTGACCTGGCCCGACGGAACTCGTTTCGAGTGGAACTACAGCCCCCTGAGCCCTCAAACCCTTCGGGCGATCCTGGCTTGTCCCTCAGCCCCTAATTTTGGGATGTTCCCTCTTATACTAGCAGTCCTTAATAGGGATTATAATTAGGGGTGCTACGACTCCCTATACAGGGCTGTTAGTATAAGGAGAACATCCCAAGCCCTAATCCCTGAACTCCTGAACCCAAGAAGCCTGGTAAGCTTGCCCGGGGCGGTTTTGGGGGGCGGGCTTTTGAGTTCACCCCTACACCGGTTCAGCTCTCGCAAGCCAAGGAAACGCACCTGAGAAGTTCTCTAAATTAGGGTCCCTAAACCCTAAACCCTAAACCCTAAACCCGAAACCCTAAACCCACTTTAGAGAACTGCCCACATGTTGGCCAGAGGAAGTCTTGCCTTGCCTCCAACACCAGCTCGGGGGAGTCCGCGAAGAGACGGGCTCCCCCCCCGCGAACCATCTCCACGCCCTTCAGGGAACCGCAGGCCTCTGCACAGCTTGGGGTTTAGGGTTTAGGGTTTAGGGGTTAGGGTTTAGGGTTTAGGGTTTAGGGTTTAGGGTTTAGGGTTTAGGGTTTAGGGTTTAGGGTTTAGGGTTTAGGGTTTAGGGTTTAGGGTTTAGGGTTTAGGTTTAGGGGTTAGGGTTTAGGGTTTAGGGTTTTGGGTTTAGGGTTTAGGGTTTAGGGTTTAGGGTTTAGGGTTTAGGGTTTAGGGTTTAGGGTTTAGGGTTTAGGGTTTAGGGTTTAGGGTTTAGGGTTTAGGGTTTAGGGTCTGCACAGCTCTGAGGGAATGAGGTACCCTCTATGATACCTTGAAGGGTTTTTCTAGGGCCCGACTTCCCTCATTCCCTACTAAGAACCAGGGGGCCGTTTGCGGTGTAAGGTGGAGGTTGTAGGGGGTTCAGGGGCCTCGGGAGGAGGTGCCTCGAGCTTCGGGTGTAAATCCTAAAACCCGACACCTGGAATCTGAACCCCTCCAGCCATGCCTCCAGCCACGCCTTCGACGAGACCTGCTGGTGAGCTAAGTTTTGTCTTCCTCGGGACTTTAGGGTTTAGGGTTTAGGGTTTAGGGTTTAGGGTTTAGGGTTTAGGGTTTAGGGTTTAGGGTTTAGGGTTTAGGGTTTAGGGTTTAGGGTTTAGGGTTTAGGGTTTAGGGTTTAGGGTTTAGGGTTTAGGGCCCTAAACCCCAAATCCTAGACCCTGAACCCTAAAGGACCTCCCCTACCACGCCGGCCTGCGTCCCCAAGGGCATCACGAAGACCCCGGCATGAGGACAAGGAGACCAGGAGCTGCCATTCGTCGACAGCTCCTGGTGTAGGGTTTGGGGTTTGGGGTTTGGGGTTTAGGGTTTAGGGTTTAGGGTTTAGGGTTTAGGGTTTAGGGTTTAGGATTTAGGGTTTAGGGTTCAGGGTGCGTAGTAGGGCTTCGAGGGCGGCGTATAGGCTGCCCCTCCGGTTCCATTACAAGCCCTCCAGGCCTCGAAACTCCCCAGAGGAGGAACCCTAAACCCCTAAACCCTTAAACCCTAAAACCCCAAAAAACCCATAAACACCTGAAAAACCTCAAAATCCCTCAAACCCTACCCTTAAGCCCGAATAAAGCCTAACACCCTAAAACCCTAACACCCTAAACCTTAATAAACCCTAACGGTCTAGAACCCTAACACCCTAACACCCGAAACCCTAAACCCTGAACCCTACACCCTAAACCCTAAACCCTAAATCCTAAACCCTAAACCCCAAACCACCCCTCAACGTGCCTCCAGCGCCTCCTGGAAAGCCAAAAGCTTGGGCCACGCCGTCAGCGCCTTCTTGGGCTTCGGGCTCCCGCAGGCCCCGAAGTCAGACTTAAAAGGCAGGGCTTGAGAGTTTAGGGCTTAAGGGTTTAAGGGTTTAAGGGTTTAAGGGTTTAAGGGTTTAAGGGTTTAAGGGTTTAAGGGTTTAAGGGTTTAGGGTTTAGGGCTTAGGGTTTAGGGTTTAGGGTTTACTGGGTGGTGCTTTAAAGCACTTTGAAAATCACCTATGAATAGGTTCCCTTAAAAGGGAGAGGAGGGAAATTGCAAGTTATCCCAAAGCACAACCCAGTTTAGGAGTGCTTGCTGAGGTCCTGAATTCTGAAGAGTGCGGCAAAAGAAGGCCCACGACGCAGGTGTACTCCACCACAGCAGCTGTTAAGAGGCGTGGCACCGAGCACTTGCGCATAGTTCCAAGAATAGCAAGGGGTTTAGGGTTTAGGGTTTAGGGTTGAGGGTTTAGGGTTTAGGGTTTAGGGTTTAGGGTTACTCAAGTTAATGGTTGGCGAGCTTGGGCTTAGCAGGCTCTGGGGCTTCACGTCTTCGATCCAACAACGACAACAAGCAGCCAACCAACAACACTGAACACGACTGCGATTGCCCGATGAAACCTTCGGATGCAAAATGGAGGTTTACGACAATAAGGGGCCCTAATATAGTTTCCAAATAATAGGATTCCCTTGTAATAAGGACCCCAAGAAGGGTACCCCTAATATCGGAAACCCCCAGATGTCAATCTCAAGGTTGGCATTTGGAGCCTTCCCCTGAGCTGCAAAGAGCTTCGCCACTGCTGGCAGCAGAGGGTGGTCCTTGGTTTAGGGTTCAGGGTTTAGGGTTTAGGGTTTAGGGTTTAGGGTTTTTGGGGTTTAGGGTTTAGGGTTTAGGGTTCCACGTAGACTCAGCCAATGCTGATGTGCTCGAGACAAGCCCATATAGAGGAGCTGAGACTCCATGAGACCAAACTCAAATCTTTAGGGTTTAGGGTTTAGGGTTCCCTCTTGGGCTGCTTATTATCAGGAATCCTACTATTTTTGGACTCTATTAGGGTCCCTAATTTTCGTAAACCCCTGACAGGCCGTTGAGGGCTTCGGGCTTTACATCTTTGATGAGGGGAGTTGAGAAGCGTTGGTCCGCACCCCCACCCACCCTAAACCCCCTAAACCCTAAACCCTAAACCCTAAACCCTAAACCCTAAACCCTAGAGTTTCACGGCATGCTGAACCTGCGAGTCTTCCACGCCGACGGCTATGGACCAGTTCGGCTTAAAGCCAAGCGAGAGAAGTATGAGTCACAGGGTACACGCCTGAGACATCACCCTGAATGCAAAGCACTACAAGAGCAGAGGCCACAGGAGATAGGAGTAGATGTCACAAAGTCAACAGCCATTCATGGGCAATCGGGGGTCGTCTAGGGGAGCAGGAGCTGTGCTTTCAATTCCTCAGAGGTCCTACGGACCGGTCCCGCATCTGCTTGAAAACAAGTTCAACAAGCAGCGGCCTCCCACCCAACCCAACATCACCACCCATTGCGGTAATCAACTGCTGGGTTTTATCTTGTGACTGTACTTTATTACCATCGTAGTGATCTAGGGGCTTATAGGTGAGTGATAAGTACAGCTATAATTGGTTAATAAGTACCCTGAACCTCCAAGTACACCCCACGGCCCAAGAGAATCTGTGAGATAAAGCCCAGGTGCGGACGACTCGGACGGCCCCCAAAACCCTCTGCAAAAAGATTCCCATGATCCTCTTATAACCCAATACGGAAAACTCGAACATGTCCCCAGGGGCCTACGCCTAAACCCTAAACCCTCAACCCTCAACCCTAAACCCTCAACCCTAAACCCTAAACTCGGAACCCTATAGGGCATCTCAGGACCAGCAGCATGGGCCTCTAGGTAGTTCAGCTCGCAGAGCTTCGTCCGCAGGGTGTTCAGGAGGAGGGGCTCCACCTAGAAGTTTAGGGTTTAGGGTTTAGGGTTTAGGGTTTAGGGTTTAGGGTTTAGGGTTTAGGGTTTAAGGTTTAGGGTTAGGGTTTAGGGTTTATTTAGGGTTTAGGGAAAATGGGGGTACCCTTTTTAGGGGGGTCCCTTCCTTAGGGGTTATTAGAAGGGGTTCATTATTTTGGGTGGAGCGGGGCTTCCGGGCTCTAAGGCTGCTGGGCCTGGGCATGAACCCACAGCTGCATCTGCAATGGTTTAGGCTTCAACCCTACACCCTCTACCCTCTACCCTCTACCCTAAACCCTAAACCCTAAACCCTAAACCCTAAACCCAGGGTTCAGGGTCCAGGCGTCGAGGGCTTAACTTTAGAGCCGGCATGGCACCTGGCCCGCTTTCCCAAACTGCGCGGGGTGGAGGTCCTCGATGCGGCTCCACCCGTCCGGCTGCCTCAAGGGGTTTAGGGTTTAGGGTTTAGGGTTTAGGGTTTAGGGTTTAGGGTTTAGGGTGTTGGGTTTAGGGTTTTAGGGTTTTAGGGTTTTAGGGTTCTAGGGTTTAGGGTTTAGGGTTTAGGGTTTGGGGTTTCGGCACATTTGTTTATGGGATTACAGTTCAGGGTTTATGGCAGATGCCTCTCGGGCAATCCCGAAGCTCCATGTGACTTGCCAGTGCCCGCGAAGCCAGATTGAACGACGCAACTAGGTTTACATAGGTGGCTTGTGGAGGTTAGGGGTTGTAAGGGCTCCGAAAAAAAATGCACGTGGGGCATGCAGGATCAGGATGCATCGGAATCCCCACCGAGACGCAGGACGATCTTCTTCGTGGGGCGGCGCTCCACTGCGTCGTCGCTCTGAAACCATTCCACCTGTCTCCAAAAACCATGGTTTGCTTGCACTTCTTCATGCTGCTTATTATGCATATAAGATTAAAACTAGGATGTAGGCTTTAGCCTTTTGAGTAAGAGGAGTTCGATGGCATGGAATGGGAGGCGCAACCCTCAGAGGATCAGGTTCCCGAACCTCCAAAGGCTTCGGGCTTCGGGGCTCCTTGCAGCGTAAGGCCCTCGATCTCGAGCCATGCACCAAACAAAACCAAGACACACAACACCCCCACAGTCTAGCAACTCCACGGGCAGAGAGGTTTTGTGGCATCGGCAACACTGCGAACCGCAGGGGATATAGAAAGGGTCCACCCCCGTCCCCATTCTCAAACGCACTAACAAGGACACAACGATGCGAAGCAAGTGTCTAGCACCGGCGAGCAGCAGGGGTTGCGAGCGGAGAGCAACAGTGCGTGGCTGGGTTGGGGGGAAAAATCATCAAAGCACATCGACCTGAATACATGATGAGATTGATAATAACAATAATGACAATAATAATAACAACAATAATAATTCAGGTCTATGTAAGAGACGGAAGCTGGTGGGGAGCACCCGAACACCCCGAAAGAGCCCTTGGCCTCCGCAACAGATTTCCAGGCTTCGGCCACCTGGGGCGCTGCTGCCAAAGGCAGCAGCGCCAAGGTGGCGACGCCCTGGGCCTTGAGACGCTCCTGGGGTTTAGGGTTGAAGGACTTTAGGGTCTGAGGGTTGAAGGACTTGAGGGTCTGAGGGTTGAAGGACTTCAGGGTCTGAGGGTTTAAGGACTTCAGGGTCTTAGGGCTTAATGACTTCAGGGTCTTAGGGTCCTAGGGACTTTGGGTTTAGAGCCATTGGGTGCAGGGCTTAGGCTTCAAATTCAGGGTGCAGGGCTTAGGCTTCAGCGACAGTCCAGCAGAAAGAGGAAGTCAGTGTCGGGGGCAGCCAGGGCGATGGCGTTCACTTTGTCCTCTGATCACGAACGTGCGCCCGCGCAGCCGAGAAAGTGTTTATCAGCCGCATGAAACACGCTGGGGGCTTCCGAAAGGGAGGTCCAGGGCTTTTAGCCCTAAACCCTAAACCCTAAACCCTAAACCCTAAACAGGGTTTCAATTGTTCGGGGGACACTCCTGGAAGGCCAGCCTGGCAGCCTCGAAGGCCACGGCGATGTCGTTTGGATCCTCCACCGCGGGGGGCAGAGGAGGGGGGGGGGCTTAGGCTGAGGGTTATTGTGGGCTAAGGGTTATTCAAGCGCCATGACTATTCAAAGGGTAGCTACTATTGAGCTAGGACAGTGCCCCGCCGCCAGCAGGCGCCCTAAAAACCCCCAAACCCTAAACCCTATGTTATCAGCCCTCAGCCCTAAACCCTAACCCTAAACCCGAAGCCCTACACCCTAAGCGCTACACCCCCTTGTAAAACCTCGAACCATGTCGCGACAGCTCCCGCCCAGCCTTCCCGCCTTTTCCGCGCGGCACCACCACGAGGCTCAGCCCATCCGGGAGAGCGAGACGAGGCCGCGAGGCCTGGTTTCGTGCTTTTCCGTTTGGGTTACGCGAGAGGTTATTGTCACTATACGATTATTACAATGATTACTATTATTACTATTATTACTATTACTACTATTACTATTATTACTATTATTATTGCTATTCTTACTATTCTTACTATTATTACTATTATTACTATTATTACTATTATTACTATTATTACTATTATTACTATTATTACTATTATTACTATTATTACTATTATTACTATTATTACTATTATTACTATTACTACTATTACTATTATTACTATTATTATTGCTATTCTTACTATTCTTACTATTATTACTATTATTACTATTATTACTATTATTACTATATTACTGTATTACTATATTACTATTATTTACTATTATTACGACTATTATTACTGTTATTATTATTCTTACGACTATTTACAAATACTACTATGATTACTTATTACTATTATGACCATTATTGCCATTTCTTACTTATTACCATTTTTGCTATATTACTATTCTTTCTTACTATTCTACTATTCTTGCTTTTCTTCTATTCTATTCGTCTACTATTCTTACTATTCTTACTATTCTTACTATTCTTATCTTAGTGTTCTTACTTCTTACTATTCTTACTATCTTACTATTTCTATTCTTACATTCTTACTATTCTTACTAGTCTATTCTATAGTCTATTCTTACTATTCTTACTATTCTTACTGTTCTTACTGTTCTTACTATTCTTACTATTCTTACTATACGTACTATTCTTACTATTCTTACTATTCTTACTATTCTTACTATTCTTACTATTCTTACTATTCTCATTATTCTTACCATTCTTACTATTCTTACTATTGTTACTATTCTTACTATTCTTACTATTCTTACTTTCTTACAATCTTACTATTCTTACTATTCTTACTATTCTTACTATTCTTACTATTCTTACTATTCTTACTATTCTTACTATTCTTACTCTTATTGCTCTTCTTACCCTTCTTGCGCTTCTTACTATTGTTACTATTCTTACTCGTCTTACTCTTCTTACTCTTCTTGCATTTCTTAATACTTTTACTGCTCGTACTACTCTTACTGCTCGAACTACTTTTACTACTCTTACTACTCTAGCTACTTTAGTACTCTTACTACTCGTACTACTCTTACTACTCTTACTACTCTTACTACTCTTACTACTCTTACTACTCTTACTACTCTTACTACTCTTACTACTCTTACTACTCTTACTACTCTTACTACTCTTACTACTCTTACTACTCTTACTATTCTTACTACTCTAACTACTCTAACTACTCTGTCATTCTATCCTTTCTATCACGACTATCATTACCATCGTTACTATCGTTACTATCATTACTCGCATTGCTATCATTGCTATCATTGCTATCATTGTTCTCGTTGCTATCATTTGCACTTGTTATCATTATCATTATGAGTATCAAAATGTAGATTACTGTTATTACTATTTTTATGTGAGGGTTGTCATGGGGCCTTTTTTGGGGGGGGCTATTCTACAACTCTCAACAGGTACGGCGCTTTACCGCCGATTGGAGCCCTTTCCAAGGCTTCGAATCTCCCTCGCTGGAGCCCAAACCCGTTGAACGTGCACGATTATTGTTTGCATGCATCACGACCCGCACCAACCGGAAGGTCAAACCCTAAACCATTCAGACGATGGTAGAATCTTGAAAGCAGCCTGAAGACAGTGCAGACCACACCAGCTGCCAGGCGCCCGCGGCGGCGGACGGCCGCCAGGAGGGCCGGGAAGTGGCGCGGCCCGAAAACATCGCCTTCGGATGGAAAGGTTTAGGGTTTAGGGTTTAGGCTGTAGGGCTTAGGGTTTAGGGTTGAGGGTAGAGGGTTGAGGGTTGAGGGTTGAGGGTTTAGGGTTTAGAGTTTAGGGTTTATGGTTTATGGTTTAGAGTTTAGGGTTTAGGGTTTAGGGTTTAGGGTTTAGGGTTTAGGGTTTAGGGTTTAGGGTTTAGGGTTTAGGGTTTAATTAGGGTTTAGAACATATCTTGTGAGTAACTTACTTAACATAATACTAGGTGTAACAGCGCTAGTTGTGTCTATGCCTTGTTCCCGAGGCCTTCGGCTTTCAGGGCAGAACAGGCTTCATGCCTCCCTTTTGCGAACCTTTTCGAGCTACCTCTGAGGTACCTGCCATCGATCACCATGCCGTAGCGGCGTGGCACGGGTGGCCTCTCCAAAGCCACGCCATGGGTGGGGAGGTTGATAGGGCTGCTATGCTTGGGTCTGCATGGGGGGGGGGGGGGGTTTTGAGGGTTGGTTCAGTCACAGTAGCGTGCACTGTGGTTCTATGCGCAATCTCAACCCACCCTTGGCATGCTGACATGTTTGCGGCCTTCCAGGTGCTGCGGCGTCTGGCACGGCGCCAACGCCACGGCGCCCAAGCTGGCGGCATGCACGGCAAGGAGCTGGGAGCATGGGATGGGTGCCGGTTCCTTCGGTCCTGAAGCCTCTGTCAGAGCCCTGCGCTGGCACGCCCTTCGTGGCGCTCGCAACATGCAGAACAAGGCAATGGAGGGGGGCCGAACGGGGCTCCTAACTGGCATCCCTGCCCTTACTCCCTTCGGGGCTTCCAGGTGAAGAGTTCACTGGGGTCGTGAGGACCGCAGATAAACCTCCGCGAGACGCGGCGCCTGCCTGCGCCGCAAGAAGGCGGCGCATGGAGCCCGCGAGGGCTTCAGAGCTAAACCCTAAACCCTAAACCCTAAACCCTAAACCCTAAACCCTAAACCCTAAACCCTAAACCCTAAACCCTAAACCCTAAACCCATGACCGCCCTGCTTCCGGAAGCTCCGACAACCCTAAACCCTAAACCCTAAACCCCAAACCCTAAACCCCGAATTGAAGTTGAGTGACTTGGAGTGATGCTGCAAGTCCCTGCGGACTGAACAGAAACAGGGCTGCGTCATGGGAACCACCAGACACACCACTGAGTCACTCTGAGTCACTAGACTGTTTAGGGATTAGGGTTTAGGATTTAGGATTTAGGGTTTAGGGTTTAGGGTTTAGGATTTAGGGGGGGGTTTAGGGTTTAGGGTCGGATGGCTCGGAGCTTTGGCCAAAGCTTGTCTCCGCTGTGCCGAGCCCGCCGCGTACGTTCGGCGATGTCCACGGATCTCAGCCACGTCGTGCCTCGTCACCCCATTTAACACCATGTCAGTGTCTAAGGCTGGAACCTACATGAGCCGCACAACTGGCGGTTCACGAAGCATCGAAGCCACAGATCCCAGGGTGCGATCAAGCCGGGTGCACTCACACATCGGAATTCTGAAAGCCGTGTGCAGGCAGCAAGAGCTCATATTAAGGAGAGCGCATGCCGCCAACCGAGAATCGATAGAACCTGGGAAGTATGCTTCCTGGACTGCAGTTCTGTGAGGGAACCATGGCCTCTGATGAATCTCTGACTGCAAGACCATAGGGGAGATGGACGATCATGAACATGCTCAAGTCCAAGCAAGAGAGAAGTTCAGCAAGACATTTCCAACACACTCACGCGGCAAATCCTTCGGAAACTGTACAGGAGCTCGTTAAAAGTTGCATGGGAAATCTCCTGCCTACAAGAGTCCATGGCAACTGCACGGCGAAGACGCAGGTCACAGAACATGAGGCTTCCCAGAGCCCAGTGTGCAAAAAGGTCATGTACTTGAACAGGCCCAACCGTCATCACAAGCGATGGCTGTCATCGCACCTGCATGTCACCATACACGCGCGCCTCATTTCAGCGCACGGCGTCCCGGGCGAGCATTGCACCCGGGCAAGGTTGCTCGACTCCGGCAGGACATTGGGGGGGTTCCCAGTATAGGGGGTGCATTTTTTTGCCGGGGGTTTTCTAGGAAACAAGCAAGGGCTCAAGCCTTTGGAGACGATAACAGCGGGTCCTTGCCCAGGTCACGGTGCATCTTCAGGCAGGAGGGCCCTGAAGCCCGCGGCCAGCGGCCGCCGCGCCAGGCGCAAATCCTGCTTCACCTGGTCGGGCTCTGCAGGGGCCCGAGCTAACCCCCCCTAAACCCTCCTAAACCCTAAACCCTAAACCCTAAACCCTCAGCCCAGATTCCGCACCGAGGGCTCAACAGGTGGATTCTATGGAGAGTAGTTGCACCCACTCCCCCGCAATACTCTTAATTGGTAGGCTGCACTACTAGCCCCTTTACCCTGAAGCTGTAAAGTGCTATGTATCCCCAGCATCCCGAACCCCGACACATAGAGCGTGTCTTCCAGTGCTCTGACGAGGAAGCAGCCAATCTTCAACGTCAGTTCGGAGAATGCACGACTTGGGCGTCAGCCTATTTATATAGGTGCGTTGGCCAGCGGCCCAGCGCGACGACAATTTTCGCACTCCGCGGGCCCAGAAGTCCAAAAGCGACGACAGTTTCGAGGACGGCTCGCGGCCACGCCTGCGACTAGGCGAGAGGGACGATTTTCGACCAGCTTCCGGCGCAAGCAACCAAATGCACGATCTCAGCGTGGCCATTATGTTGGTAGCTATGTCCATGCCAGCACCGCCTCAAGACGCCTCAAGCGACGTAAGCGACGTGTGCAACAAACGCACGACCTCAACGTGGCCGTTGCGGGATGCCAGTGTCAAAGCCGCGTCACCATCCTTGTCGGATTGCGAAGCCGTGCAAGACGAAAGCAGAACAAGCTCCAGCTCCTGAAAGAAGATCTGGCCGTCAAGAGGTAGTCTTTGCTGGAAACGTGGGGTCAAGCCACGCAGCAGATGCAAGTACTGCTTCAAGCCCCAAACCCTAAACCCTGAACCCTACACCCTAAGGTTTTCACATCGTTCAACTCATGCTGCGGCAGCACTTTTACCAACTCTTCCCCCGCGAGCCTCCTAACACAGAGCTTGGCGCGAAATCACAAAGCAAGTCGCAGGACAGACTGGGTTAAGGATGTTAAAGGACGCCTGAGAAGGCACGATGCTGCAGGTAGGCTCATAAGGCTCATGAGTACATAAGCTATATATGTATAGGGCTACGGTTACAAGTTACAAGTATCCCAGATACGGTCGTAGGCACTTTGTCCCGTACCTGCCCTCGATCCTCCCAGCAGGCACAGGATTTTGGCTCCTGTGTTTCCGTGGTTGGGTCACTGAAATCTCTCACTCCCCACGTCCGACATGGAGGCGCATGAGAATTTTGGAAGAGGGTGCTTTCTCAAACTCTGCTCGAAATCTACCCACATACTTCAAGCAAACCCTGAACACCATCTCCCTTTGCTTCGAACATCCCGCCCTAAAATTAAAGGGATACCATCCTTTTGCAATGGGTCCTGACAACAAACCCTCTCCCGCTCCCAGCCTCTCCCCCCTCCTCCACGCCCTGACGAGCACACTTTTCAATGCCGCTCTGCTGGGATGGAAGCTTCCAGCTTTCGATGCTCGGCGGCTTGGAAGAGCAGGCGCTCAATTTGGGCATGGGCAGCATTTTCAGTGCCGCCGTCAAAGCTGTGCCACCGCTGTTCTTGGCGGTCATGTCGATGTCAGCGCGACCTCGGCGTGCCCATCTTGCGACGCCGCCATCAAAGCTGTGCCACCGGTGTTGTTGGTCTGAGCACCGGCCTCAAGCAACAAACGCACGACCTCGGCATGGCCGTTCTGCGATGCGGCCATCAAAGCTGTGTCACCGAAGTTGTTGGCCAAGTCGATACCAGCTTCGGCCTCAAGCAGCAAACGCGCGACCTCAACATGCCCGCCTTGCGATGACTCCATCAAAGCAGTACCACCATAGTGGTCGGTAATGTCGATGTGGGCACCGGCCTGTAGCAACAAACACACGACCTCAGCGTGCCCATCTAGCGATGCCGCCATCAAAGCTGTGCCACCGTTGTTGTTGGCCATGTCAATGTGAGCACTGGCCTCAAGCAACAAATGCACGACCTCAGCACGGCCGTTCTGCGATGCCGCCATCAAAGCTGTGCAACCTTCGTTGTCGGCCACGTCGATGTAAGCACCGGCCTCAAGCAACAAGTGTACGACCTCAGTGTGCCCCTCTTGCGATGCCGCCATCAAAGCTGTATCACCGGCGCTGTCGGTCATGTTAATGTGAGTACCTGCCTCAAGCAACAACCGCACGACCTCAGCGTGCCCGCCTTGCGATGACTCCATCAAAGCAGTGCCACCATAGTGGTCGGTCATGTCGATGTGGGCACCGGCCTCAAGCAACAAACACACGACCTCAGCGTGCCCGTTCTGCGCTGCCGCCATCAAAGCTGTGCCACCGTGGTGGTCGGTCATGTCGATTTGAGCACCGGCCTCAAGCAACAAGCGCACGACCTCAGCATGGCCGTTCTGCGATGCGGCCATCAAAGCTGTGCCACCGTGGTTGTCGGACATGTCGATGTGAGCACCGGCCTCAAGCAACAGGCGCACGACCTCAACGTGCCCGTTCTGCGATGCCGACCTTAACACCGTGATGCCATCGTTGTTGGCCGCATCCGGGTCGGTGGGATGCTGCAGGACGGACTCCACCTGGCGGGGAGGGATGGGGTAGGGAGGAGGGGGGGGGGGGGAGCAAACCCAACATTCGTAATGGCTTCTCAACATTAGAACTGACACCGTAGCTTGCCGTATGAGAGTTTTTAGATCCTGACCTCAGCCACAGAGCCCCGCAGCCCGGCGGAAATGAGCTCGTCCGGTTTTGGGCCTGCGCAGTACGAAAGCAGAATGAGCTCCAGCTCCATAAGCAACTCTAACTTGGTAGCATCGTCCAGGATCTGGCCATGAAGAAGTATCCTTTGCCGGAAGCGTGGGGGCAAGCCACGCAGCTGATGCAAGTGCCGCTTCAAGCCCTTCACATCGCCCAGCTCATCCAGTCGCGGCACTTGCGCCAGCTCTTTCCCGGAGAGCCACCGAACGCTGAGCATCGTGCCATGCAAAGCAGCAATGAACCCGGAAATTGACGAGCCACAATGCTGCAGGTGCTGCTGAAGTTTTTTTTTGGGCTAGGGCTGAGGGGAATTGTAAGCAGGGTTTTCTGGCGTGCCCAACAAATGTGAAGTAAGTGCTATAGCTACTGCTCCCCTAAAAGCTGCTACTGTCTGCATTAAGAAATTCTCGCACATCCCCCTAATCCCTAAACCCTAACCTATAAAGCAACTTCATGGGAATGTTAGAGGTCTTCTGGGCACTACAGCGATGCGCGCGGGAGACTTCCACTCCGGGGATACCCGATAGCCGTTTAGGGTTGAGGGTTTAGGCTTTAGGCGTTTTAAGGCTTTAGGCTTTTTAAGGTTTTAGGGTTTAGGGCCCTCCTAGAGTGTGAAGGCAAGGATTAAGAGCTTCGTCCCCCCCAATCTGAAATCAAGCTCATGGGCGCTGGAACTCCTGATGTTCTGAAGTTCAGGGTTTGGGTTTAGGGTTTAGGGTTTAGGGTTTAGGGTTTAGGGTTTGGGGTTTGGGGTTTAGGGTTTCGGGTTTACGGTTTAGGGCTTAAGGTCCAGGGTTGGATGGTTCGGGTGGCCGGAAGAGCCCTCAGCCTCCGCAACGCCGCGAAACCCACAAGCCCATGGGCCCCTCAACCCCCCACACACCCTCAACACTTCTACCTCAACCCGAACAACTCTAAACCCTAAACTTCAAAGATCCTAACCCCTTCCCCAAACCCCAAACCCCAAACCCCAAACCCCAAACCCCAAACCCCAAACCCCAAACCCTAAACCCTAAACCCTAAACCACCAGGTGAGCCTCCTTGGGCCAGGTCCGTGCAGCCTCGGCTGCCTGGCGCCAGGCTTCCTCGGCAATGTCGCCGTGCTCCTGCAGGGTCTAGGGGTTTAGGGTTTAGGGTTTGGGGTTTAGGGTTTAGGGTTTGGGGTTTGGGGTTCGGGGTTTGGGGTTTAGGGTTTAGGGTTTGCGGCTTGGGGTTTAGGGGTTTATGGGTTCTGAGGTTTAGGGTTTATGGGTCTAGGGGTTTAGGGTTTATGGTCTAGGGGTTGAAGGTTTAGGGGTTTAGGGGTTTAGGGTTTAGGGTTTGGTTGGGGCTTAAGGGCTCATGGGTTGAGGGTTGAGGGATAGCGGGTTTAGTGTTTAAGGTCGTTAAAAGTAGGGATACCCATATGCAGGTTACCCACTCAGCGAGTGACCTCATAGTCTGGAGATCTTACAAGTAGGGTTGAGGGTGCAGGGTTCGGGGTTCAGAGTGGTTCGGGTTGCAGGGTTGGTGTACGATGGCTTCTACGAGTTCGCACTTTCGGTGGTTGAGGAGATGATCGGCGACACAAACACGCAGAATCATTGGCACACTACTATAACGGTATGAGTGACACGTGGCATAACTCCGAATTTTCGTAGCAAGAGGCCGAGTTCTACGGGGCCTGCAAAGCCGAGGCCCCAAGCCCGCCGCTCCTCCGCCACCACGCCGAGAAGAACGAAGCCAGCGGCCACCACTTCGCGGTGCGCCTCTGAAGCAAATACTCTGGGCTCCAGGAGGGTTTAGGGTTTAGGGTTTAGGGTTTAGGGTTTAGGGTTTAGGGTTTAGGGTTTAGGGTTTAGGGTTTAGGGTTATTCTAACAGCTCCTGAATGGGGAATCATAATGAGGGGGATACTCGCATCCCTGTTCAGGACTGTTAGTATCCGGGGGAGCATCCCAACATTGGGGGTTTCAGGTTTGCGGCTTGTGGTTTGCAGAGTTTATGGCGAAACTCAGTCAGTTACTAAAAGCAGTGTTCATCATGGTATTTTTCAGTTCAAGATTACGGATCCTCCTATCAACATAGCGATCCGACAGCAGACATGAAAGAGGGGCGCGACATGCGACAACAGGGGAGATCCATCTTCCACCCGACAGCTTTCAACTGCTGGGCGCCACTCGGGGTTTAGGGTTTAGGGATTAGGGGTCTTAGGGTTTAGGGTTTAGGGATTAGGGGTTAGGGCTTAGGGTTTAGGGTTTAGGGTTTAGGGTTTAGGGATTAGGGGGCTTAGGGTTTGGGGTTTAAGGTTCAGGGTTGCCCAAAGTCCCTTTGGCTTTTGCCTGGTGAGAAGGGCCCCGGCAAACTAATATGAAAATGTGAGGCCTTTTAAGCCAGTATGCTTTTCATACAAATTCAATAAGGGGAGAATGATGTTATGCCAACGCCCGAATAAGAATGTCATTCCTGTGCAAGCTTATGAATACATTATTGGGCCCGGTTCACTGCATTCCCCCACTCACAATTTTCCTTCGTTCGTTCATTCACTTAAAAAGCCCATGAAAATATGTTATCGTTAGGGCCTTTTCATCACCAGTGAACACCATGAACAAAGTGCACGAAGTAAGCACATTCATGCCCCCATAAAAGCTTTCTCATACTCATTCATGCGGCCTTTCCAGGAGCTGGACCGCTATCGTCCTATTCTTGCTTCCAGTCCGCTCGCGCAAAAAAAAAAAAAAAGGGCGCCCACCCGCCTCCATGCGCTTGAGTAGCTCCTTGGCAGCATGAAGGGTCTAGCGCTTGGAGCTTGGGTTCCGGTGTTGGGGTCCTGGGTTGAGGGGCCCTTTTCTGTCGAGGCGAAGATGGCTTAGGGGATGTGGGGCTCCTATACCCTAAACCCTAAACCCTAAACCCTAATCATGGGCCTTGCCATCTTCAAGGGGCTGAGACCTGTTTGGGGCCAGAAGCTCATGCTTGGAACCTGCTTTTGAGGTTCTTTTGCCCTACGAGCTATATTATACAAGACGATCTTGCTGCCTATTGGCAAGATGCTGACAGTGGATTGTTCGAACCTTTGGCCCGAAACACCAGCGACTCAACGCACTTTCCGGCATTTTGACCTCAAGCCCCGCATCCAAAACCCCACACACCTCGACCCAAAACCCGGTACTCCACATGGCGCTGAGCTGGGGACGACAGTAATGTTCACGGCACCAGCTTCCACAACCCGCCGCAGATGCAGACCTGGGCTCTCGCGTCCCTGAAAAAGAACGATCCTCCAAGCAGTACTTGGAGGTCCATGGTACCTATTAACCAATTGTAACTGCACTTATAACTGTACCTCAAACCATGATAGGGCACTTAAGGGGCGTATAAGTGGGTTATTGGTTAATAAGTACCCTGAAACTCCAAGTATCCTGAGACCGGAGACCTACTTGGCCGACCTTGTGGAGGTGCCTTTTTCTGGGGCCACCGGGCGGTGGAATTCGGGGTACCTGACTGGGGTCCTTATTATAACGGATCCTACGACTTGGGGATCTATATTGGGGGTCCCCTATTTTCGTAAACCCCCTTAAAGCAAGCCAAGCAAGCCCTACGCCCAGCACACACGGGCTCCGAGCGCGGTCCCGCGCTCAGCGCGATGAGGGCCCGCAGGCCCTCGGCGAAGGCGGGCGCGGAGGGCAGCGCCTGGAGCTGCGCCTCACCCAGGGCCACTTCTATGGGGGGTTTCCGAAACTAGGGGTCCTCAGTATAAGGGAATCCTACTATTTGGGGTCTACTTTCGGGGTCCCTACTTTCGTAAACCCCCATATAAGGGCGATGTTGAGGGCTCTTCATGCTCTGAGGGATAGTTGATATTTCGGGGCATGTCGGTAGTCTTAAGCGGCTTAGGGTCTAGCTGAAGTCATAGATGTAGCGTGGTTGATCTTGTGGTCGCTTTCCGGGGGTGCTATTGTGGCAAACCCTCCTCTTACAGTCTGGGGTACCAAGAATCCAAACAGAGCCCGTACGTTTGACGAATCTCCAAAACCACCCAAAACCCTACAACCTACAACCCTGAACCTAATCCCTAAGTCCCTAAACCCTAAACCCTAAACCCTAAATCCCCAGAACCGCCAAGCACCGTGGGGCGCCTGCAGCAGTGCCACCACGGCGTTGGCGGCACGGAGCTGAGCCAAGTGCCGGAGCGACTCCGGTGAGCTGAGCCTCAGAAAGGTTTAGGGTTGAGGGTTTAGGGTTCAGGGTTTAGGGTTTAGGGTTTAGGGTTGAGGGTTGAGGGTTTGGGTTGAGGGTTTAGGGTTGAGGGTTGAGGGTTGAGGGTTGAGGGTTGAGGGTTGAGGGTTGAGGGTTGAGGGTTGAGGGTTGAGGGGTGAGGGTTGAGGGTTGAGGGTTGAGGGTTGAGGGTTGAGGGTTGAGGGTTGAGGGTTGAGGGGTGAGGGTTGAGGGTTGAGGGTTGAGGGTTGAGGGTTGAGGGTTGAGGGTTGAGGGTTGAGGGTTGAGGGTTGAGGGTTGAGGGTTTAGGGTTTACCGAAGAGCTTTGTCGTAGCTAAAAGGCGAGGAGGGCGACGAGGGAAGGTGAGGTGAGAGCCTAGAGGCTGCGGCGCTGCCTTATCTGATGAAACCGCAACGGAGCAGGGCTTAAGGAAGGAGACGGGGTCCCCCAAGCAAGAAAGACAGGTTCTGGCCAACGTCTTCCTCTCTCATGGAGGCGTTTGCGACAAACAACTCGCGTGCGTCCGGGCAGCGCCAGACTCTGCAGCGCGCAGAAGACGGCCACTTTCATCTCCGCCTTGCGTGGATAGGATGCCTGCAGCGACGTAAGTCTTTGTTGTCGGCACCCGGCACCCTAAACGGAGGACGTTGCCGTGTCCCTGCACCCTAAACGGAGGACGTTGCCGTGTCCCGCAACAGCAGCCATGATTCTGGGAAACTTGAAACCAAAACCCTAAACCCTTGGGCCTTGAGCAGCTCCATGAGGCTGACAAGCACTTGTCCAAGCCGCCGCCGCGAGTCGCCGTGGGCCACGTACCTTGACAACGGCATCCCAAACAAGCCCGGGAAGCTCAGGGCGGTCAAGGATTAGGTATTGGGTTTCTAGGGTCAGTACGGCAGGCTTTGAAGCCCCCAAGACCAAACTCACAAGCCACAGAAGACAACAACTAGACGATGGGCGCCAATGTTTCCAGTCCGAACTACATCGCTCACCTCTCGCCTGATACAATCCTGCGACAATGCTTTGCCAGGCAGCCCGCAGCTGTCCTCAAGCCACCAAGCAGCCTGAGCAGCTGACCCAGGCTGCGTCGGACAGCAAATCTCCGGGACAGTGCAATGTTGCCCTCAGGTCAGGGCTCTCTTGCGAAGCCCGAGGTGATGTGCCTGCGCTGCTCAGTGCGCTGCCAGCGGCAACGTGCGGTAGAAAAGACACCCGCGCGCATTCTCACCAGGCTTCGATGATCGCCACCATGACTGAGCTCATCATTACCCAGCATCACGGTCATGACATGGGGGGTTTACGATAATTAGGGGTGCCTTACTTGGGGGTCCGTATGATAAGGGGATCCTAAGATTGGGGGTCTACATGAGGGTAAGCCCCCACGTGTTCGCATTGCGATCTCTACTACAGCGCGGCCCTCCAAAGTGCAACCCTAAACCCTAAACCCTAAACCCTAAACCCCACACGGAGGCCTCCTTGGCATCCTCAGGCACAATGAGGAGCAGGCGCAGGGCCCGAAGGCCCTCCACGAGGATCCAGGGCTGCTCCTGGAGCTCGAAAGGGTTTAGGGTTTAGGGTTTAGGGTTTAGGGTTTAGAGCTTAAGGTTTAGGGTTTAGGGTTTAAGGTTTAGGGGTCCAACGTGGCCCAGCAGCACAAGCCCCTGAGAGAGGTGTAGTCACTGGCAAGGGAGACTTCAGGGCCTTGCCCACGCACCCTAAACCCTAAACCCTGAACCCTAAACCCTAGAGCCTACACCTCAAGTCAGTTGCAGGGTCCTCGGCCGCAAAACTGGTGAGTCGCAGCTGGAGGAGATCCAGCACGGCGGTGGTGAGCACCTATGAGGAGGTTCATGGGCACTGATAACCCCAAGTTGTTTAGGGTTTAGGGTCTAGGGTTTCGGTTTAGGGTTTAGGGTTTAGGGTTTAGGGTTGGGATCTTCCCCTTTATACTAACAGCTCCTTAATAGAGATTATGGTATCACCAATCAGAATCCCAATATAAGGACTGTTAGTCTAAGGGTAGGTGTTCTTCCAAGCGGCGCTGCCGGGGGGGTACCAAAACACGACGGTCATTGTTTTGTACACACAACAATTGTTGGCGAAATTGTTTGAATTGCTACAACAATCGTTTAATTGTTACAACAACTGTTACAACAATTGTTTAATTGTGGAACATCCCAAAGTAGAGTCCTAGTAGGCTTCAAGCTCCCTAAGTGGGGTTTCGGCTTTGCCAAGCTGCTATCTCTGACCTTCGGAGAAGCATTGATTGGCTAATAAGTACCATGAACCTCCTTGTCAACCAGGGTTTAGGGTTTAGGGTTTAGGGTTGAGGGTTTAAGGTTTAGGGTTTAGGGTTTAAGGTTTAGGGAACCATCCCCTCCCAGGGCCTCACTCCGCATCGCCTGCGCGAGTTCGGAGCCGCTGCAGTGGCTCTGAGGCACGGTGTCCCCTGCAACGGTTTAGGGGTTAGGGTTTAGGGTTTAGGGTTTAGGGTTTGGGGTTTAGGGTTTAGGGTTTGGGGTTTAGGGTTTAGGGTGTAGGGTTTAGGGTTTGGGGTTTGGGGTTTAGGATTTCGGGTTTTGGGTTTTGGGTTTAGGGTTGTGGAACCAGGATCTGGGCCATTGGGGAATGTTCTAAGGTAGGGTCCCTCTTGAGTATAAAGGGTACTTGAGGCCGCCTGAGGCACTGCAACCTTCAAAAAAGAGACACACACACAAAAAAAATGTGTGTATATATATATATACATACATATATAAACACACACACACACATCTATATATATATATATATATATACCGTATAGAACTGTCCTCGAGAACCCTTTTGCTGTTGAGGAAGGCACAAAAAATTGCATTGTTGGTGTTTCTCCCTTTTGTCGCTGTCATTTGTTGGAGGCTTTTTTTTGCGTATTGGGAGATTTTTTGGGGTGGCCTGACATACAATATATTCGTACCTTTGTATATTCGTACATTAACCGATTTTGTACAGCAATACCGTATTACGGTGAAATGTATCGTAGTATACTAGTATAATAGTATAGTATTATAGTGTTTTTATCGTGTTTTAGTATTTTTGTATTGTAGTATGGTAGTATTATAGCATTGTAGCATTATAGTTTTTAGTAATCTGGTATTCCAGTCTTATTGTTTTCTGTTAGTATTATAGTACTATAGTTCTATAGCATTATAGTATGATAACGTACCCCCCCCGAGCACGTCTAGGGACCTACGTGCCCTCCAGGCCATGCGTAGCTTGCGCCCAAACGCAAAAACAAGTCTCGACTCTGAGCCCGCACTCGCAGAGCAAATATTCTCCGGGCATTGTGCTCGCGCATGGCTTCCCCCACGATCCCTCAAAAAAACGCCCTGCAGCCTTCAACAACCCGAAGCCCAAGTTCAGGGAGCATCTTAAGGGCTTCCATCTGTGCCTGTAGGGTCTCCTGCCAAGGTCCCCAGTATCCGCACCTGGGGCTCAGAAAGCAGAGAATCGCAGAAGACCAGGGCGGGCCGAGATCGCCCAAGTTCGTTAGTCTGGCCTCAACCTCGAGAGAACTTGCCGAAGCCCTCAACTCCCTGAAACCCCACATGAAACTCCAATTCAGCCCTGGAGCCTCCGGGAAGTCCCCGAGATCCTCGCAACCCTGAATGCCCCTCAACCCTGAACCCTAAATCCCCTCAACCCGCAACCGTTCCAACCTAAACCCCAAACATCCGAAACCCTAAACCCTAAACCCTAAACCCTAAACCCTAAACCCTAAACCCTAAACCTCGGGCGAGGGGCCACGCAGCGAAGTGCAGAAAGCTCCGGCAGCGGCTCCCCGGCCCGGAGCGAGGCCACGAGGGGCGCCAAGGCGGCCCTGGAAGGGCCGAATTCAGAGGCTTTTTGGGGGGGTTTCAGGTTTGGGGTTTGGGGTTTAGGGTTTAGGGTTTAGGGTTTAGGGTCTAGGGTCTAGGGTCTAGGGTTTAGGGTTTAGGGTTTAGGGTTTAGGGTTTAGGGCTTTACCGGGTTCCAGGTTTTGGGCTTTGCTCTCGCAACGTTCATTCATCAAGTACTTGTCTTCCCCGCAATCAATACTCCCCTTAGAACCTTAATAAAAATAACATTTTTAATATCCTCTTGGGTTTTATATTTAAAAAAAAACAAAAAAATATTTCCCAAGGGGGATATAGTAATCTACTCAGCGCATGTGCTTCCATGTCGTGCTCACCGTTTGCTTGATGAGCTTTTGCGGCCATTTATGGTTGAGGTTCGGGGTCTGGGTTCACAGGCCGTGGGTTTTGGGTTTAGGGTTTAGGGTTGAGGGTTGAGGGTTGAGGGTTGAGGGTTGAGGGTTGAGGGTTGAGGGTTGAGGGTTGAGGGTTGAGGAGCAAGAGACGGGATGTTACCGTATCAGACGCAGCCAGCGAGATCGTCAGCACAGAAGAAAAAGCGCATTGCGGTCAGGGGGCCGGCCCTGCTGCCGAAATGCCAATCGGTGTGCTAAGTCCACCTCAGCCGGGCAGGGGGCCCCGCAACAAGTTCAAACCCTAAACCCTAAACCCTAAACCCTAAACCCTAAACCCTAAACCCTAAACCCTAAACCCTAAACCCTAAACCCTAAACCCTAAACCCTAAACCCTTCCCTGTACTTAGGACAGCCCCCGGCTCCTAAAAAAACTCTCAGGAGCGCCACCTCCGGATCTTCAAAGCCCACAAGGCCCCGCAGCTCCTCCAGCATGCCGAAGTGTCTACTATTTGCCTAAGAACCTCCAAAAATTGAAAAAAAAAAAAAAAAAGGTAATCCCTATATTACCCTTAATAAGGAAGAATATTCTTGTCTTTTTTGGGGGGGTTCTTGAGCAACTAGTAGGTTTAGGGGGCTGGAAACATCCAGGAGACATCGGCTTTAAGCGACAGGAGCCCTGGAAGCAGCAAACATGCTCTCCTCAGTCGCATCGAGCAGGGCCAACTCATCCAGCCCGTCGGTCGCATCCATGGCGGCGAAGGGAGGACTAGTGGTGCAAGGCCCCAAGGTCGTCTCCCAAAGTCTTGAAGGGGGTGCCAAAAAAAGAAGCCACTGCTTTGCGCGAAGCGTCTCTGGTTCTGCTAGGCCGCTAGGCCTGGAGATCGGGTCTAGGTCTGCGGATGTTCTGCCGGCATTTTCCCTAAACAAAAAAAAACAGCCACGGCGCACTGCAGCATGGACCCTCCCGGGCACGTGAGACATGGTCTGGTGATGTCTGGTGCATCCCGAGCCCAGAGCTTGCGCCCCAGCGCCCTCGCCACACTCTTGCCCACCGAGGTCTTGCCCACGCCCGGCGGGCCGACCAGGCCTGGGAAGAGAAGAAGTATGCGTAGCAGGTTCTGCACTATTGTTGGGGCACTACTGAACATAATCATGTTGGTTCCTTTTTTTTTGGTTTAAGTACTCATACACATGTAAAATGATTTTCAACCATGACCCAGGTTTAAGCCGCGAGAGAGAGAGGTCCCGCCAGTAAGGTTCCCAGTCGAGAAGTGTCGAGGTGTCAACGGGGGAGCCGTTGAGAAGAGGACGGGGGGGGTGGACTATGGCTTGCATGGCGATTCCTGGGTTGCTATGGGCTTTTTGGACAAGGAACAAGCCAATACTAGTATCTCTGAACAAGCTACCAAACCTGCGTTCTGAGCAGGACCATTCAAAGCCTGTTCGGTTGAAGGTATGCTTGTACAAATGGCAATGTAGGTGCGCAGCCGACCGTAAGTGAGAAACAGCATCATCAAAGACAGCAAACGTGCTGGAATATGTCCATGTTGCGACTACAACCTTTAAGTCTCGAAACCAAACCTTTGTTGAACCTCGACACATCTATGAGGGGATGCTTGCCCATTTCGGGACCATGCGACCTGCGGGATTATGGATGAGGCAACCGGATGTAAATGCACTCGGGAAGGAAGTCGTATTGATACTTTCGGGAGATGTAATGTGGAGTCGGACAGAGGTTCGCTTATTGAAACAGCGACAAAGGCGAAACCAAGACCCAAAACATTCAGGCTGTCCCGGACAGACATACCTGCAAGTAGCGACTTGGTTCTAAATCCAACCGTATGTGTGAGTAGTGTCACATGGGTGGTTGTCAAAAAATTAGGATCCCTTTTGGACACTCTAAGTATTAGGTGCCGTATTATATTAGGGACCCCCAAAGGGACCAAAATTTCGACAACCGCCCACACGCACTCCGGTACTTCCTCGTATTGCGGACAACATGCGAACTGGGCTACAACACCCAGATAAGGCCAGTGCTCACCCATTAATAGGGTTTAGGGTTTATGGTTTAGGGTTTAGGGTTTAGGGTATAGGGTATAGGGTTTAGGGTTTAGGGTAGACAATCCTCAGCCTCTGGCACATGATCTTGCCCTGGGTAGAATCCTTGGGCTGACACGGCCAAATATGCATCGGTCTAGGTATATAAGGGGGGGGTTTAGGGTTCAGGGTTTAGGGTTTAGGGCTTAGGGTTTAGGGTTTAGGGTTTAGGGGGAGGGGGAGGGGTTCCGTAATCTCCACACAGGGCCTTAACCTAGGCAATGAAGGAGAGACGTCCAGAAGTTCAAGAAGAGACGCCTCGAATGACCTTACATTGCAGCGGTTCTCAAAGCCATGGTTGGACGCATCACGGCCAAGCGAATACAGCTTTGCGCTTCCAATGGGCGTGACTTTCAACGGACTTGAGAAGTTAAGCTCGAGGGTGCAAGGTGGTTTCGAGAGTTTGCGAGTCTAAAGATTTGGGGGGTTTACGAAGACTAAGGGACACCAAATATATGGTAACCCAAATAATAGGACTCCTTTATCACAAGGACCCCATAAGGCATCCCTCAATTCGGAAACCCCCATTTCAGGGTTCTGCCCTGACGGTCCTTCAGGAAACTCACGGCGATGTGCTCGAGGATCCGCTCCTTGACGTCTTCCAGGCCGTAGTGGTCCTGACAAACATTCACAGCTGAGGCTTTGAGTTTGACGGGTTTAGAGGGGTTTTGGGGTTTTGGGTGTTGGCTTGAAGCTTCAGATTGTGGGCTTAGGGCGCGAGGTTCGGAAGTCACGTGGGAACCCTAAACCCTTACGAAACCCTGAACCCTAAACTTACCTGCCTATGCCCTGGAGGGCAAACCGAACTTGGGTGTGATTGCACATTGCCTTGCGAAAAGGTCCGGACGCACCGGAATCGTGCATGAGAGCTACCTTCAGGTAAACCCCCTCCGTGCGGCATCGTGGCATGCATATACTTGAGATGAGTAACGACTGACATACCCCAATGGAAGAAATCTCGAGAAGGATTGCCCATAGCAGCCGCTATAGGAGAGTTCCAGACACGCCAAGGTCCCATTCACACCTTCTCTTCATGTCATTTTTCGTTCAGGCACCGCCATCTCTTGCGCTGGCCGGGTGCCTCGTCCAGCACTGCTTCAGCATGCTTGATGTCACGGTTCTCAGGGGTGAACTGACCTTGGGCCCCCAACTCTATCGCTGTAAGCTGAGCACTGAAAGCCCAGGGTTGCACGATGCGTTGTGCTCCGGCTCATCCCTGAGGACTGGGCCCCATGGAAGGCAAGTGAGCCACTCTAAGTAGGTTCGACCTTCAGAGGCACAAAGTCATATTCTGACGTCCAACAATCGCCCACATGCACGGTGCGAGCTTGCAACTTTTTGGCTGCATTCGCACGCAAGCCTACTGGCACAGGTGCCTGACAATATCAAAACACAGCCCAGCAGTGCGAGCAGCGGCCCACAGTGCCCCTAGAAGCCATTTCAGAAGACTCACTTCGTGCTTAGCTACATGCAAAGCCACGTCACCTTTCCCTGGGGCGCGGACAGACGTTGAACTCTGAAGACGACGGCTCTAAGGAGTTCAGCTTCGCCAGCTCAGCCTCAATCACCTGACAGAGGCCTAAACCCTAAACCCTCAACCCTAAACCCTAAACCCTAGACCCATTGAGACACATGTTCCACTCATCATGGCCTTCTGCACCTCCTCCGGGAGCTCCTCGCGGGCGCAGAACAGAGCGTCATTCGGCGCAAGACAATAACGGACCTTCTACGTGGGGATCGCGAAATGGACCTCCAAAACCGAGCCTCATTTAAAACAAACCCCCCGCTACCCGATTGATCCATAGACCCGAAACCCTAACCCTAAACCCTAGTTTCTCTTTGCTCCTTGGACTGGATGGCTTCGCGGAACTGGTTGGTGAGCGTCTGCTTCTCGTCCTGAGGCTGAGGCAACCGTGGGGGCTTCTTACAGTTGAGGGGTCCCCGTAAGGGTTTAGGGCTTAGGGTTTAGACATGTACCCTCTTTTACTGACAGGCATTCCCCTAAACCCTAAACCCTAAACCCTAAACCCTAAACCCTAAACCCTAAACCCCAACTCATCGGGATTATAACAGGGTACTAGAGACCCTATTCAGGAGCTGTTCGTCCAAGGGGGAACATCCCAGCTTTGGGGCTTCAAGTCCAGGCTCCCTAAGCCCTAAACCCTAAACCCTAAACCCTAAACCCTAAACCTTCCCGCAAGGCCTTCTCGATGCCCAGCTCCTTCTGGATCTGGCGCATCTGCTCCTCAGTTGGGGGTTTCCGACATCAGGTCTGTTTAGGGTTTCGGGTTTAGGGTTTAGGGTTTAGGGTTTCGGGTTTCGGGTTTAGCGTTTAGGGTTTAGGGTTTCGGGTTTCGGGTTTAGCGTTTAGGGTTTAGGGTTTAGGGGCATTTGGGGGTTTACGATACTAAGGGGTACCTTCTTGGGGTCCTTATGAGAAGGGGATCCGACTAATTGGGGGTCTAGTTTAGGGGTCCCCTATTTTCGTGCTCCCCACATTCTGGAGGTAGCAAATCCGAAGCCCTTCTGTTCACATGAACCCATCTTCCGGGGGAGGAGTGAAGCCCCAAGGCCTTCTCGAAGTCTTTGAATTTCCCAAAGCCTGAACCCTGTCGACTCAGGTTGCAACCCAAAGGATCTTCGTCTTCTGCTCCTTCGCGACCTTTTCCTCCACTTTGCCTAAGGGTAGTCGAAGTGGTCGGGCTTACGGTTTGCGAGCTTTGGGGAGGGGGGGGGGGGGGTTCAAAAGCCCCTTTATTAATACGTGTTTCTCTCGGAATCATGCTGAAGAGAGGACCCCCAGAAGTGATCCTAGGGCAACTCCCCCTTGATTGGGCTGCGTAAACAACCACCTTTCAGCCCGACTCTGACTCGAAGTCTCAAGGGTAGTGATGAGGAGGGCTTGCATGTACCTCACGGAAGGTTATAACCAGCTATACCACCCCCCCCCCCCAAGTTCTGAGCGTTTCCAAAAAATAGGGTCCACTTGTGTCTACCTCTAAATACCAAGATAGCGGAATCCCGCTCAACCCTTAAAAGGAACCCGAAGTCTGTTGTTTGGTTCGCGTCTGTGCGGGGTGGGGGAACAAACCCTAAACCCTAAACCCTAAACCTTGAACCCTAAACCCTAAACCCCAAACCCTAAACCCTAAACCCTAAACCCTAAACCCTAAACCTCCAAGAACTGGGGGCGTCGACTCTTCACCTCCGACTGGAGCTTGGCAGTGCTGAGGTCGGCTTCTAAGATGCTTCGCACCTTCCCGGGGTCGGGGTTTGGGGTTTAGGGTTTGGGGTTTGGGGTTTGGGGTTTAGGGTTTTAGGGTTTAGGGTTTAGGGTTTAGGGTTTAGGGTTTGGGGTTTGGGGTTTGGGGTTTGGGCTTTGGGGTTTGGGGTTTTGGGGGTTAGGGTTTAGGGCTTAGGGTTTAGGATCTTGATGATGAAGCATCATATCCCTTCTGCAGGCCTTTTAGCTATGATCAAGTGCAGTATCTGAAAAGGGCGATTTGACTTGTGCGAGTTCACAGGTGTCTTGGCAGCATTAACCCTAAACCCTAACCTCTAATCTAAGGGTTGGTTTCCTTAGGTTATGAGCCCAAGGGCTCTAGGGCTTAGCGCTTAGATTAATTTCCTGGTTGGTCTAGCCTTTGCAAATCTTATTCTAAACGAGAGACATCCGAGAGTCGCTGCTGTGAGCCATGGACTTGAGCATGAGGAGAGGAAGATCTCCCGCGGGCCAGACAGGCCAGACCCCTTCGTCAATGGGCACAGCTTCGAGGATGGCCTCGCCGCCTGCTACACCAGCAGAGATATCGCGAGAAGTGCGTGTGGATGAGACTTCTCTTGAGCCGAGCTATGATACATCCCAGCAGATACAAGGTGGTGAAGCGCTACAACTTGGAAGGTCAGAGGCCAGCACAGGGCAAGGGCCGAGAGGGCAAGGGCCGAGCAACTCCGAGAACGCGCAGCACTTCAGCTTGAATGAGGCCTGGGAAGCGGCTCAGCAACAGGAGGAGATTTCGGTTAATGACGCTCGAGAACGCAATAGAACGATGAGATCTCTTGATCAGAACGATGGTGACAATATGCAGATACATAGGCAACGATCTCTTGATCGGGACAACGATGAGACCGCCACGTCTTTAAGACAGACAATTTCAGGGTCCCCAGGACCAGGATCTCTTGATCCAGACGCGTCACGACGAGGATCTCTTGATCCGACCAGCGATCCACGGGGAGGTCAGTCAAGTTGGAACGCGTTGGAGGCACTACGAAGTTCTTTGAGATCAGTTGGCTTGGGAACCAGAAGTGATGAGCAGAACTTGGCAGTTGCTGGTCGTGCGCAGCAAGGGCCTGAAGAGAGGATGAGTCCTCTCCCACTGGCAGGGGCCTGCGTTGGGACAGGGCCTCTGGCAGTGCGGGAGACCCCTCAGACTCAGGGAGCTCTTGCGGCGCAGGACCTGGCACAGGTTGGGTCTCGCGGTTTAGGGGTGCGTGGTGTAGAAGGTTTGCTGTACAGGGATCCGATGTCGCATAGCGGGCAAAGCCGGCATTCAGGTAGCGAACTTGCACAACTTGTAGAGGGCATGAGCCAGATGCAGGGTCTTCTGCAGGGTGTCCATGCAAGGCTGCAGAGCCTTGAAGAAGCGCGGAGTGTGGGATCAGGTGGATCTAGAAACACTTACAGCCTAGGTAGGGTAGATATGGAAGCCTTAAGGGCACATTTTGGTGCTTTGGAAATGGATCCATCTGCTCCTAGGAATCCGCCTGTAGCTCCAGGCCTTGATGGTAGGGAACTAGCGACGCCAGAGCATCCAGTAGAAGCCTATCCCATCCCTCTACATGACAGAACGTCGCAAGCGAGCTCCCCGATAGCAACTAGGCCGGTAGAACAACACTTTATCGGGTCACCTGACAGTTTTGGTAGCCAACCTCATGCCCCTTTAACCTCGACATTCCAAAGACCCTTGATGCACTTATGGGAAATTGATGCTGGAGTAGGCCTCAGAAGTAGGGAGAGCGCGAGCGATGGCTCCTTGGACCTGTGGGGACAAAGTAGGGGTGATAAGGGGATAGGAAAAGGGAATCCTGAACCTCGAAGCCCTGCTCCCCTCCAGGCCCCAATCAATTCCTCTCTGCAAGGCCAAGTAGGTCCCAGCATTCCGCCAGATCCCGTGCCGACTGTGGCACAAAGGACCGCTCCGGCCCAGGAGCTTACGGTGTGGATAGGGGATGTAGAGTATGAAGTGGGCTTTGAAGGGGGTAGAGCTACAGTCAAGGGAAGGGTTGATAGAGGTTTGGATTTCGGTTGCAGTAGGCCAGCGTACAGGCCGCCGTCTCCTCCGCCTCGGCCACCCCAAACAACACCGCCTCCAAGCCCCCCAGCACACGTTCCTTTTGTGCATCAGGAAATGACCGCAAGTAGTAGCCAGCAAGCATTTGTGCCAGGAGCTTCTGTGCCTGTTCTGAGTATGTACCCACGCCCTTTGATGGAGTCTATGCCGGACATGAGAGCGCATGATGATGCTAGGGCGTATGCTCCAGATAGAAGCCGTGAAATCATGTTACCAACTCTTGAAATAACTCCAGAAGAGGGACCGCTAGCAGTAGGGGATTGGCTAACGCTAATTGCTCCACTTATCTCGGACTTGGCGCCGGCAGCGTCGACTTGGTGGGGTTTGGTTGCAGCAGAAGCAGACCGACGCTACAAAGTGTGGCTTCAGTCCCCGCCGCTTGAAAGAGCGGCGCTGAAAGGAGCGCTCCCCGAGAATCTGCAGGAACCACGCTACATGCGGTTGGAGCAGAGGACGGTTTCGATGCTCATCAAGGCTTTGCCTAAGGATCTCTCTGAAGAACTCATATCGCAAGGGGATCTGACAACGGTTGGCGTGCTATTCAGGGTGTTGATTAAGGGTCAGCCTGGCGGGGCCAAAGAGCGACAACTTATCCTCTCTTATCTACACAACCCAGGTGTGGCTAGTAGTCCTTCGGATGCGAACTTAAAGTTAAGACGATGGTCACGGTGGGCCTCCCGGGGGAGGCAGTTGGGTATTTCGATGCCTGATCCGTCTCTTCTTCTCAAGGGAATCGACTCGTTGATGGCGGGAGTTCTCAAGAGCTACACGCAAGCCAGCTTTAGACTGTCCTTTGTCAGGGTACAGAGCAGCCTAGACCATGCACCCACGCTGGAGTCAGTCCTTTCGTACTTGAAGCATGTTCAGGCCGAAGCGGAGCTTCTCGAGTATGGGTTGGAGTCAGATCCCAAGAAGCCACGCGTAGCAAAGGCCACTGAGACTGATGATGTAGCAAGCCCAAACGCCCCAAACAACCCTAGGAAAGGATCTCCAAAAGGGAAGCCTAAAGGGAAGCCGAAGGGTAAAGACCAAGGGGGTTCCGGGGGTTCCGGGGGTACAAGGGAAGGGCAGGAAAATAAGCCGACGTGCAAGGGGTACCTAACGCCGCGCGGGTGTGCTTTTGGGGATAATTGTAGAAACCTGCACGACTTTGCAGAAGCTGCTCGGCAACAAGTATGTTATGCTTGCGGAGCCACAGATCCCGCAACGAATCATCGTCGTCCTGAATGCCCTACTCTTCAAGGTCCTCAGTTCAAGAAAGGGGATAAGGGAGGCAAGGGCGGTAAGGGCAACAAGGGTAACAAGGGTGGGCCTCCAAAAGGAGGCAAGCCGAACATTGCAGCGGCTACAGTAGAAACCCCAGGACCTGTCATCGCCGAAGTTGCTACAAACGCATCTACACATAGCGGAAACACCTCCGCAGCTGCAGGGACATCCGCAGAGCAAGAAGCTGGTCGGGTCTTGAAAGGGATTCGTTTGGCATGTCTTCAGGGGCCCGGAGTGGCATCCTTGCAGGATGGGGGGAGTCCGGTTTCGTTTGGTCCGGTTTCGTGTGGTGCTTCAACTTCGGATTTGAAGGTCAGTTGTGGTCCGGGGGGAATTGGGGAGGTTGCTTCGAATTTACAGGAATCACCTAGAAGTAGTGAGGGCGGGGTTCCGAAATGGACTCGCTCAAGGGCAGATGTTCGGTTAGAGCCGCAAGGGACCGTTCATCCAGATTGGCTAGAGCCGGAAGGGGCCAATCGCCTGAGCTGGCTAGAGCCAGATGGGGCCAGCGAGAGCAGGGATCGGCTAGAGCCGGATGGAGCCGACATGGGTGATTTCCGTGAATTGAAGCTTCCAGGGTTTGAAAAGGATGTTCCTAGGTTCTGTACGTTTGGTGTAGAGGTTGTTGTTGGTGAAGATGAGCGTATTTCAGTTGCAGAAGCTTTCTTGGATTCAGGCGCGACTCATGTGTACCGATATGCGCAAGTCAGAGAGTATCAATCTGCAGTGGCCTGTGACATTATGCTTCCGGTAGGTCTATCTGTAGGGCGAATGTCATCAAAGGGGTCCTTGCTTTCCATGGACACGAAGCCTGCGGTAATCCCTCTGGGAAAGGTGGTTGAGGTCCTAGGATGTGAAGTCCGTTGGGATTTTCAGGGACCACTTGTCAAGCATCCACTAAGAGGGCTTTTGGGTGTAAGGACTGTTCATGGCAGGATGGTCCTAGGAGTAGCAGATGCCCGAGCTCTGGTCGATGAACTAGAGACTGCGTGGGAGCTAGGGGTTACTCGTGAAGATCCAAGCCCATCGTTGCGGGTAGTGGAATCTGCGGGGAGCCAAGGGCAACCGTGCGTGTCTGTGAGATTTCTGAAAGCGGAAGAAAACACCTTGGGACTAATCGATGGCGGGGCTACTAACGCGCTTCGTCAAGGATCTGCCAAGGAGCTTCAGCAGGCTAGTGTAGTAAAAGTGGAGTTGGCTGCTGGACAAACTGAGCTTCGGATGAATGAGCAAGGCACCCTGCTCACTGCGCATAGGGTCACTCCGATACTGCCTCTAGGACCCGCGATTGAGTGTCTGGGTATGGTTTTAGAGTGGTCAACAGAGGGGATTCGCCTGACTCACCCTACGAGAGGTGAGCTTCCGGTTACCTTGGTCAAGGGTTGTCCTATGATCGCTCAAGAGTTGCTGATGGACTTGATTCTGGAATTGGAGGACAAGATCAGAGTCAGGGAACTGAGAGTCAAGGCTATGCAGTTAAGTGAGAGTCCGGATTTTGAGATCCAAGGGTCTTTGAAGGAGGCTCTAAATGCCTGTAGGGGAGATGCCAAGAAAGAGTCAGTCGTTCTGGCTGCGTACGCTAAGAAGATCTTCCCGGAGGTGCCTCACGACATCCTTCAGCAGGTCGCTCCTTTGCAGG